CTATTATTAAAAATAGGAATACTAGGAATAGGTTTTTAAAAATTATATAGAAATTTAACTATATTAAAATCTAGGGCAATCTAGTCCTATTATATAATTTAATCCTAGATTTCTATAGTATATTTATATAGAATTCAGTAGGCTGGTTGCTGTAAATAATAAATAATCTTTTTAAACTAAACTCTATACTGGTATTACTTGTAAATAATAATTAAAAAACTATCCAGCTGTTTAAAAAACTTATTCTTTATTTTAATAAATAGCTTATCTTAAAATTTGTTTGTTTTTTAAAATACTGTTTTATAACTGTTTTAAATTACTCTGTATAGTTTAATAAGTAGCGGGTTAGTTATTAGCTACAGCTATCAGCTACCTTATTTAAAAAACTTAATATTTTTAAAACACTGTAGTAAACCTAACTTAAGCTGAATCTTTGGGAAAATTAGAATAATAGTTTGGAATAGGCTTTTTTTTATTCTATTTAAATATTAGAATTATTAATCTATATATAAGATTACCACCCTACATCTACTTTTTAAAATACTTTATGGTTACTGTCAGGGTGCTCAGCCAATCGGGTAGCAGCATGCGACCCACAGGTTGAAACACCCTATGTAGGGTGTTCCAGGGCCTGTGGAATAATTGTTTATACTACAGCAGCTGTATCTTTCCTGTCTATAGTCTAGATAATATTACTGCTATTATTAGGATTTAAATATTATAGTAGGTATAATTTCTTTTACTTCTGTCTGGCTATTAGGTGTCTATCTAGAGGACTAACCCTACTTTTAGTTGCCACATCCGGTATATAATATTTACCTAGCTTTATTTTTATTCTGTATTATAATAAAATTCTACTATTACTCTGTATATCTGTTTTTTATATAATAAATAAGTATATTACTGTAGTAAACTTTTCTACTGTAATAAATACAACTAACAGTAATAATATACTTTTATTTTTTTTAAATACCTATTATACCTATTATAGGACTGTTTTTATTTTAAATTATTTTAGTTACCAGCTACTATACCTACCGCATCTGTATATATAGCCGGCCCAGTTTTTGGAATATTATTACTATACTATTTTAGTAAAATAACTGTCAGACTATCTGCTACAGCCGGCTGTATATTATATCTAATCTTTTTTTTAAATCCTAGAAATTTATACTAGTTAGTGCTGAAAGTGTGGAATATCTATTACTGCTAAGTAAAAGTACTGGCTGTATTTATTATTTCTGATCTATATACTATCTGTGCTATCTGGGATAAAGATATAGCTTATAAGTCTGTTATATTTATCTACTAGCTATAAATATCTAATTTTTTTTTATATTTATATCTGCATCTATTGCTGCCTGCGCTGCAGCTATTTTTTTAAACTAGTTATTAGAAAATATACTGCTCTGCTGTAGAAACTGCCAGCTGATACTAATTATAATATTTTAATATATTTAAATATTAATAGCTGTAGATAATTATATCTGTATCTTCTATTTTAATACTGTCTGTAACTGTTTGGGTGTTTACTTTTACTAGTTACTAGAATTAGAGCCCTAAACTAACCTTTGTATATAATATTTTTTTATAGTATTAGATTCTAAGACAGTATATATACCAGTAGTAGTATTAGATCTTAGTATAGTAGTAGAAGTCTGTATTTTATTAAGACTGCAGAGTAGGCTACAGCTGTAGTCTAATTATATTTTAAATTATTAGATAAATAGTAGTATTAGCTATAAATACCATACCAGCAAACTACCCACCTCGCGGGGCAAATACTGGTGGATTACTTTAATATTATTACTAATATAAAATTCTTTATAATATATAGAAACTATTGTTACTATTTTATTATTAATAAAAATACTCTGCTGATAATTTTACTTAGTATTAATATACTGTAAGCTTAATAACTTAGATATATATCCAGACTAACTACTAGTAATATAGATTAACACAGCCAATTTCTCTTTAAACTAGGTAATAGTATGGAAATAATAGTAGACTGGTTTAATCTGCAACTGGTTGGGCTGCTGCTAATATATAAACTATTTTTATATACTTATATTAGTTTATATATATTTAATTAACTACTACTGCCCATCCACCAGCCACTAGGTCTGCAGGTTTTATAAAAAGTTCTAATTTACTATCTGCTGTATAGGGTTATTATATAACTAGTACTATAAGATCTTCAGTATCTATTAGAATAATAGTTAATTATATAAAATTTATTATATAGTCCCTACCAGCCTATAAATAAACCTGCAGAACTGCCCTATACTAAACTTAATATTCTTATATAAAAGTTAATTTTTTTTTATTTATATTACCTGCTTGGGTATGCTGCTGTTATAGTAGATCTTTAGTCTATATATCTACTAGTTTTATAGTATTTTTATTAGTATCAAAAGCAGTCAGAGGCGGTAAAGCAGTCAGGCAGTAAACTTTTCTAAAATAATAGAGTAGTTTAAATAGTAGATTAGTCTTAGCAGTAGACTAGTTTTAGATAGTAGATCTAGTCTAAATATAAACTTTAATAGCAAGCAGTGAGTAAATTTATTTTACTATTAGATAGTTTTCTAATTAAGATATAGAATATTATATTTTTATATATATATAACTTTAAGTGAATACATATTTGCCTACTACTATGATTTAAATATAATATTAAATAAAAAACAGGTCTCTATTTAAAAGAAAAAATTACTGCTTGTCTAATCTTAGGCTTATAATCCAAAACTAAAACTATCTAAAACCAGATAGAAAATAAGTACCTTTTAATTATTTTTAATTAAATATCTATCTATTAATAAGCTGCTGTATGTTGAAAGTTAATAAAAAATATAATATAAATATATGTTAATTTAAGAACTTCTTTTAAGATTTCAAATTTAAAATATCAGCTAAAAATACTGTTTTTTATAATATTAAAGCAGAAGTTGCAACTTACCCAAACTGGTCTTAGTTAAAATATATCTATATTAAAATATATTTAGAGATAGCTTTAAAAAGTAGAAAAGCTGAATAATATAATAAATATATATAAAATATAAATAATACTTAACATATATCTATATAATAAATTCTTAGTAATAAATTATATCTTGTTTTCAATAAAAATTAGGTATAGGCAGTTAAGTATTAAAAATTATTTATTTATTTGTTATCTATATAGATAATAGTTATTTTTTATATCTTTTTAGTATCTAATTAAGGATTGGTAGCTCTAACTAAAAAGTATTAACTTATTTTATAGTTTTAAAACTTTACTATTAATTTTTAGTAATTACCTGGCGGTAGTATACAGCTGTAATAATTAAATAAATTATTTGATACTTTACTTCTATAACTACTAACAATTAGTAGAAAATAATCCTAATTTTCTATTATTTGTTTACTGCTAGTAAAGAATACTCATTTTATATTTTTATTAATATACTAATATATTTAGGTTTATATTAGTATAATAAGTCTTATAAAAATATAGGCTTCCAAAGTTTATATAGAATATATTAAATATTTTTTTAATTCTAATAATTTATAGAATTCCTACTTCTATCTACTGCCTTATATAATATTCTATAACAGGTTTTTAGCTAATATAACCATACTATAATAAAAATCATTTTTTTAGCTGGTTTTAAATATACTCTTATAGTTTGGTTTTAATAATAAAATACTAATCCACCTTTTACACTCTCCTGTAATATAAAAAAAGTAGTCTTTATTTTTATAAAAAATAAAAATATATTCAGCTATTTTTTATTTAATTTTTAGTTCTTAAGATTTCTTAGTAGTTTAAACTATAGGTAAATAAATTAGTATATTAGCAATATTATTAATAAAATTAGATGAACCAGATAACTGGGATATTTTTTGATATATTCTTATATAATTCTTTTATAACAACTATATAATTCAAGTTTTTTAAATACTGACTTATTACTATATACTGCTAAATAAATACCTATTGTCTTATTTTAAGCTAAAAATATTATATCTAAGCTATTTTATATATAATCTAATACTAAAAGTAAAAGATTTTATAATAATTATATATTTTTCTACCAGAATATATATTTACAGCACTTTAAAAGAATATTTAAAATAATATTATATAATTTTAGATTATTATAATAAAAAAAATACTAAATTTAATTCTGTCTCCAAATCAGTATTTCTTAAAAAAAACTAAACTAAAAGTTTTTATTAATGGGTTATGTTTGAATATATACCTTTATAAAAGGTATAGTATTTTCTATACTACTAAATCTTATTTATTTTCTTAAATTAGTAAATTATATATAGATTATAAATCAACAAGTTTTAATGCCTTTGGTAGAGTTAAATATTATAAAATCTAAAAAATAGTAGATAAAAAAGGTATAGGTTTTAAGTAGTTATAAAGTATTATTAATCTATAAATAAAGTTTTTTTAATAACTTTAGTTAGAATTTAGATTAACTTTATTAGTACTTAAAAGTATATTAATATCAGAAAATTTATATTAAATATAAAATAATTATTAAAATAAGATTTAATATTTTTAAAAATTAGAAAAATAACGGGCACGCCGGTAAGACTAAAGTAAAATATATAATGTTAGTAGTATATATATTTTATTTAGATTATAAAACTAAATTATATAAACTTAGATAAGGATTTAGAGTAATAGTTACTTTTCTAGTATTTACTTTTAAAGCAATCTAAAATTGCATAGAAATTATTTAGAATATATACTTCTGTGCTCCCCCCACACTCCGAGCTGTTTAGTGAGCAAAAAGCGGCGCCAAATTCAACCTAAAGCGGAAAGGGAAACTCGCTCGATTTCCGCAGCAATCAAGTTCGTTAGCTGGTTATTAAGGCTGGCTTTGTATTACTTTTACCCGGACCCAAACCCGACCTGTGACAAGGCCTAAGTATGGTCTACAACTCTGCATAATTGCCTCTTTTTCAACCAATACTATAAAAATATCATCATACAAAACTTCCCCAAACGCTTAATAACATCAGTGAAATTGTCTTAAACCCGGCACAACCGCCCATTTTGGTCTGGTAACCCATCCAGACTTCTCACCTGCCAATCCTCACTCCCCACAGCCGTGGGCGCGTAGAAGAGACCCGCGGGATCCCACCGCTGCTTGAGAGCATATAATCGTGCGTAGAAATTTCCGTAAAATGCCTGCTGGAAATTCGGCTCCTGGATATCCGCCTCGGACATGTACGCCCCGGAGTCCGGGCAGGTCTTGCGCCACTCGCCTAACACATCGTACGTCAGGGTATCCATTGTCTTCATGATTTCCTCATTGGTGTCATTGCTGTTCCAGCTGGTCGAGGTGATGGCGTGCATCAGCGTGGTCCGGAAGGCCGGGTTGGCCGCGCTCTCCGGGTAGCCGGCGGGGAGCTCGGCCTTGAGGTTGAAGGCCAACAGCGAGTAGCCCGCGGAAACAGTTGAACGAAAGGCGGCAGCAGTCTGGTTGAGGAGGGTTGCGTTCACGAAGTTCTCGCGCGGGATGAGGCGCGAGCCGGTCATCATCGTGACGCTGCCGATAGTCTCGAGAGGGAAGCCCGCTTCCCAGGCGTCATAGAAATTGTCGTAGTAAGTCGTATTGGGGGTGTAGGTAATGCCCAGCCGGTCCAGGTCGGCGAACCACGGGGCCATCAGCGTGTTGAACTCGGCCACCGTGTGGTTCACCGCGAAGTAAGGGTTCATCAGGAATTCGAAGCTCTCCTCCCCGAGTTTGATGATCCAGAAGTAAGCGTACGTGCCTGCGTCGGCGTTGGTGGGAAAGCGCTTCATATACGCATCCACGCCCGCCCAGAAGGTGTCGGCTGTCACGTTCGTTGATGTCATGAAGGAAAAGGTGGAGACGGTTACGGGGATTTTGGGGTGCAGGCGCGAGATGATGGAGCTCACGACACCGTAGGTTCCTGTGGATTGTGTTAATTCCGGGACTGGGGAGAGCTGCATGGAAGGGTGCATAGGTGCTTACCACCACCGCCGCCGCGAAGAGCCCAGAAGAGGTCTGGGTTTGATTTCTCGGTTACAGTCACGAAACGACCGTTGGCCAGGACGACTTCCAGGGCGAGAACCTGATCTGCAGCCAGTCCGTATACACTGGACATGGGGGAGTGGCCACCGCCGAGCACGTACCCACCGGCCACACCCACGGTCTTGCCCTCGCCCCCAACGACAGTGTAGCCGAGCTCGTGAGCCTTCTCGTAAACCTCAAAGGCCTGGACACCAGCCCCCAGCTTCACAGCCGGGCCACGGTAGTTACCCAGGTGGTATTCATCGTAGACCTCAATATCCTTGAGGTTGTGGGTCCAGATGCCCAGGGCCCCAGCACCGGTTGACTTGCCGCTGAAGTCGTGGCCTGTGTTCTTGACTGTCAAGCGTAGCCCATGGTTGCGCGCGAAGTTGACCGCCAGCTGGATTTGGGCCACAGTGCTGACATTGACGGCATAGCTGCTGTAGCCACCAATGGTGCAGGTGGAAGAGGTCGCGATATCCGTGGGGAGACAGCTACGACCCTCGAACAGGGGCCACATGATTGAGGCGGGGTCTGCAGCACTGCTAACGATTAGCGACTACATTCAGGGGCGTTCTCGGGGGCTGAACACGTACTGCAGGTACGACACAGTCCAATCACTAGAGATCTCTTCACAGGCTGTCTGGTTGTAGTACGCCGACCAGGCCGGGTAGCAGGTGGCAGCCAAAGGGACCGTCTTGATCAGGGCACCGCCCAGTGCTTGATCCAATATCGACCACTGGGAGGTCGAGGGCCACGCAGCATCTCCGGGGTAAATCTTGCATGTGCCCACGGCGGGCAGGGATAGGTTGGCGCCAGCAAATTCGAATAGGGACCTGTGGTTCCCCAGCGTCCGTAGGACACTTTCCGTGAGCTGCCGTGTTTCACTGACGAAATACGGGGCATTCGCGATTGGGTTGGCGGAAGGGACCGTGGTGGCAGCCACCGAGACTGTCCCCGCAGCGGCAAGGGCCTGCGAGCAGACGCCCAGTGCGGCCAGAAGTGAAAGTGCGGAAGGAGCCATGGTGGAAACTGAATTCTCAGTTCATGGTACACCCGGAGGCCGGGGGCTTGGCCGTTAAGTATTCAGGAGAACCTCCCAGCACCCATAGGCTACGGCAAAACATCCCATGCGGGATGATGGACGAAAGTCCATACCAACGTGCAGTCGGCTAAACCCTAAAAGCCTGGGCATCAGTCTGGGCGGATCCTTGCCGGAGATTGCACGGAACAATTGATTGCATTCCCCGGGGCTAGTTTTGTTGTTAGCGAGGAGCTTTTGTGGATAGTCCGGTGTTAGCGAGAGTCCGGTGGATTGAAGTGGATTGAAGTGGATCGGAAACCCCAGATGGTCCGGGCCACGGCCAATCCCGCCCCGAGCCCCAAACCACCCAAAACTACCGGCGCGATTAGCTTCGGAACAAGCCCCAGGCAGCAATTCCAATCTTGCATGAGATCCAATCTATTCGTGCTTGTTTAGTCTCGCACGTTTTGGCCAAATTATCTTGCATTTAATTAGCCTGCCCACGCTCTCTGCCGTGCTTTCCGGCCGAGCCAGCTACATGCTGCCTCTTTAAGAATTGCTGATTGATTGGCTGGACCTCACTTTTGGCGTGAATAGGACACGCCACAGCCATTGCCTGCATTTTGCAGGGCCTTGGATTCCCACGGCACGGAGAGAAAGGAGCATGATTAGAGCGCCGTTCCGGTGATTTGGCTGCGCACACTAGGAAACACACCCCTGCTGCGCTGGTCGGCGTTGAAAATTGGCGCCATGGACCTGCATGCAGGAATTTATCCCTGTCAGGCTGTCTGCTGCTCCATTGAGTTCATAAGATCACTTGTCCCCGATCCCTGGGTCCTGTGAATTTCTGCAATGCATCGATGATCATCCACCCTCCATGGTTGACGACAGTCACCAGAAAGTGGCTTTGGGGGTCGTAGTCGCCTTTCCTATCCTGGGGGGGATTGCAGTCTTCCTGCGGTCATGGAGTAGGTTCATGACACGGACGCGGTTCGGGGCTGGTGAGCTTTTCTTTCCCTGGTGAACTTGTCGATCATATAGCTAATCGAGGCAGACGATGTGTTCATTGTAGCCGGATACGTGGGTTGCATGATGGATCTCCCCCGCCAGTTCACTCCCCACTAAGCATTCCTAGATGCTGGCCATCGGCCAATCCATCACGTCCTGGTATTGTCTGTTTGCCCTTTCATCCGCTAGTTGATCTTCTATCTGACAGATGAAGACATTAAAACCAACTATGTGGGCATCCACGAATGGGACATTCCTGCAGACTACAACATGAAAACTGGCCTCATTGTACGAGCATTCCGAGTAATATCCTGCCCCACCAAAACAGATCAGGACTGACCCCCAAGCTTGGATGGAAAGTGGAATTTCGCCAACCAACTCATCTATAACCCCTGCCTCACAATGGTCAAACTCTCGATCCTCTTCTTCCTCCGCCGCCTGGAGTCGCAATCTCGCCTAGTCAACCTCCTCATCTGGAGCACCACGAGCGTTACCATCCTCCTCTTCCTTGCTGTTTTATTCGTCGACATCTTCCAGTGCCGCCCGATCGCCTACGTCTACGACGAGTCCCTCGCCAATGGGAGCTGTATCAACCAAGGGGCCTTCTATGTCTCCACCGCCGCCATAAATCTGTTCACAGATATCCTTGTCGTCTCGATCCCGACCCTGATAACCTTCCGCCTTCACATGCCGTGGCGAAAGAAATTGGCCGTCTGTTTGATACTATGTATGGGATTGGTGTACGTTTGGCCTCGTTTCCCTCTACCACATGTAACGCACGGGAGCTAAAATCAAGAGCCTAACCACAGAGCAACAGCAATTGGCATCTGGAGAATCATTCTCCTGGCGAACGGCTTCTTCCCGACCCACCCCGTCACCGACGCGACATATGCCATCGGCTTCTGCAGCTCCGCCGTCGAGGTGCATGTCGCCGTCGTCGCCGCCTGCGCCCCGTGTCTCAAAGCGGTCGTCAGCCTCATCTGGCCGCGCCTCTTCGGCACGACTGATCATTATTCCTCCGGCAGGACGATGTACGGCTACGGCTATGGCCGGAGTACAAGTACCTCGGGGTATCGGCCTCGATCTACCAAGAAAGGTTGGGGGACACAGGATGGGGACGGAAATTGGGGCGGCGGGGCGTTTGAACTCGCTGTAGCTGGACGACCACGACCGACTTCGACTGAAGTGCTGCGGCGCGAGATGCGGAAGTATCATGTCGGTGTTAAGGCCGGGGGTGGGAGGAATGGGAGTTTGGATTTGAGTTTGAGTAGTGAGGAAGGGATTCTCGTGGGGAATGGGGGGGCGATTGTGAAGAGGATGGATGTGCAGGTGGAGGTGAGCCATGGTGATGGGAGTAGGAGTGCGCAAGAAGAGGCAGCGAGAGGGTCCAACAGGCATCCCGGGGAGGGCAGTGTGGATTCTTTGGTCTGATTGGGGGATTTTATAATACCAGGCAGATTGCATGGGTCACTCGCTTCATATCCATCGATTTCGTATGTTTTTTGACCCGGTTAAGGGAGAGAATAACCGGGGAGGATCTTGTGTGCCTCCTCTAATATGACTGCGTCTTTCCGATTGATATCTGACATTTACCTCCGGTTTGTAATTTGAGTTGCCACTTAAAATGGAAGAATTGCTAATAAATGCCTCTGAAGCGGTTCGTGCATGATCACGCATCATTTCTGAACATTCCAATGGCCGGGATGGTTGACATTGTTGCCTCGATCCGATTGCTCGCCACATACGGATAATTGGCCCCACGACGTTCGCATTTCTTCCTCATATCAGCTAATGATCTTTTTAAGGAGACGAAGGTAAAAATCGACAAATGTCTTTGGCCTACCATTCAACATTTGTCGGGGTTCTAAAGCAAGAACATAATGATTATGAAGTTGTGAAGCTTTTACTCGATTTTCTGACTCTCAAAGGGGTGGAAGAAAATAGCCGGTGCGCAAATGCAGTATGGCTAGAAGCTTGCCTGTCTACCCGCAAGTCCCCCTTCCATGGTTCACTGCAATGTGGTTTATGATTCACGTGAGATCTTAGATTTAATCACGCCGATGTCGAACCAACCGAGCAGATAAGAATGTGATCTAGAATCGATCTAAACACGTGAGCAAACATCAATCGACCAATGGCGCTTCTAAACCATAATCTTAGCATACAAGCATAGCCGGAAGCGATCCCAACACTGTATGGAGACCTCGTACAAGCCGCCCACAAAACTCCTTTTCCACGGATTGAGTTAAACTTACTTTGCAATTGACTTCATGGAATTCAATATGCGCTCTCGGTCGCACAGTCATGTGTGACAACATGGGCACACTCTGGCTCTTAAAGGCGCAGCGCTGCACCTACTTTGGTGTGCAAATTGAATTTCCATTGTGAAGACCCCAGTACAACATCCCGACCTCAAGCGCCTTTTGATGTAACCCGCTTAAGCCATTCATCATGCTCAAATCCACCCTCCTCTACCTCCTTGGCGCCTCCCTAGCAAGCACCTCGCCGGTGCTTGAAACGAGAGACATCTGCAGCCACACCCCGGCCGACGGCCTCGTCGGAAATGCGGTGGCGAGCGTAGCTTGCGCACAATTGACCATCGCCAACGAAGGATGCTCGGTAACGGTCAAGTATCCGGCCGACATCTACGGGGACTCGTTCACTTTCGACAGCGCGTCCAAAACCTTCAAGGCTTTGCGCAAAAGCAAGCTCACATTCACCGCGGCGCCGAAGCCCGGCTACAACGCCGCGGTGTGGTCGGGCACGGCGGGAACGAGCAACCCCACCTCTTACTCGGTTCCACTGACCGGCCAGCCCGCCAGCATCTCTGTCAAGTGCGCCCCCCCGCTGCAGTGCACCGCCGTCGGCCAGCCTTGCATCTTCGAATACCCCGAGGACTGCTGCTCCCAGACTTGCGCCTGTATTTCCGGAGTGTGCAATTGCTTCCAGCTGTGATGATGGATTCGTGCCTTTTTTTGCCCTTTTGTTTTTGCTTTTGTTTTTGCTTTTTTTCTAGGGACAATGCCCCTTACACCTAGTAGTGATGGTGTTATGACAGAGAGCTTATTGGGATTGCCGGGGTATTGTAAAGCGATGGGACCCTATGGTTGAAATGAACTCCGATGAAGGAAACAACTTGAGCATCATTGCGACGAATTAAAGTAGATAGATAGCAAATGCCTAAACAGTCATCAACTAAGCTGCAAAAAATTACAATCTATCTGATATGATCGACAACATCCGTTCTGTGTACCCAAATTGTTCCTTAAGCAGTGCATTAGGTGAATAATATTAGTGGCCTCAGGCACCAGCTTGCTGAGCTGTATTCTACTGTACTGTACTGTACTGTCAGATGCTGTACTGTTAGATAATGTACATGTAACGCTGTACACAATAGAGTGGGCTAGTCGCTGATGGTTAGAGTGGGATCCCCAGCCGCATTCCCCCTCTCCACATCAGCCATCAGCCATCAACCATCAACCATCCCTAAAACACCCCTCCACCAACGTCCAGGAACCAGTCACTTTCGCCCGCTGATATGATACCACAACTGGATGGTACTTATCCAGAGGCCCCTGATTCTCTCAGAATGTGTGTGTCTTCCATTTAGTCTCTTCCATGCCCCCACAGCACTAACTTTCCCAAGTCTTTAATTATCCTCACAATCGTCTCCTTCGCTCCTCAGCTTTATTCTCTCTGGTCTAAAAAAGAGCAGTACAGGGATCTCTCTTGGCTATGTGCTTGCCAATTTCCTAGTCGTCACTGAAGATCTCACGAAAGAAGTATACCTCACCATCAATGTTCCTGAGGCTGCGGCGGGAACTTTCAAGCACGATCCTCTCAGCACTGGGGACTGGCTGAACTTCGTTCAAGACCTCGTAACATGGGCTCGCTTTCTTATGCTGTACGCGTCCACTCTATGTGCTTGTACTGCCTTCTACCAAATCAAAGACGATCAGCTTTACACTGTGCGTTCGCCTCCGACGGCCAGGCTCCAACACGAGCCCGTATCGCAATCTGTACATTCTTGCCCTCCTAATCTCGCTGGTCCCGGAGATCCTGGAGTTATTGACATTGGAATTCAATAAGTGGCATACCCGAATTGCCATACCTTTCCTAGGCTCACGCTACTGTATCATCACCTGCGACGGTTTCAATCCTCGCTGCGCCATCTCAATCTGACCTTCGTCTCCGTAGGTCGACGCCTATGGCAGGAGGCAGAGAGCCCGCAGCCGAGTTTCTTTGGATTCCTTCGTGAGTTTTCCAACTTGGAGACTGTACATATGCGATGGGGAAACCTGCTACCGTTCGACGGGAAAGGTGCTTATAAGCCCACGATACCACCGTGGGAAATACTTCCCCACTCGCTCAGGCATCTCTTCATCGCAGACTGCTTGTTATACTGCTTGCAGTGGCTGTGTGCTGAAGTAAAAAGCCTATCTCTGCGAGTTTCAGACAGTGTACCTCTACTTCGGACTCTCTATGTTCGGTTTGCTTTTGCTGAGCAAGAGTTCGGGCAAGGCTGTATCAAATGTATCGACGGGTGGGTGCCGCGGAAATCTCTGGAGCTGGACTCAAAAGGAAGAGCCCAGCTGCTAGACTTAGAGATCAAATTTGGTGCCTTAGGCGTGGACTTCCGCGTTGTCGAGAAGGACGAGACGGTGCGATTTGCTCAAGATCATGCTATAAGAAAGAGGTGGTCTATGTCGGAGGCCGATGGAAGTGAGGCAGAAGTTTGAATGTTTTGACTTGTGTGATCGTACAGTCACTGTGGATCTCGCAGGACGGAGTAACGAAATGCTGCAATGTATCAGGGCATCTGACAGAAGCATTTTCAAATCACCAGCAGCCGTCAAGCTCTTGGAGATTTGGTCATCCCAGTCTCGGCTAGTCAGTACTCAGCCAGAGGTCACTGGTTCTTTACATCAGACGGGGTTTTTTTAGCACCTTGGGCTTTGAAAGCTGTACAGTGCACGGTCTACCAGGCACAAGTCAAAGGCAGAACCAGGTTCCCTGGTCAAGTTTTGGATACGGGCGATTAGAGAGAGCAATCATATTATGCTAAGCGTTTTCAATGCAATACATCAGTGTCAACACAAAAGTCAAAAAAAGTGACACACATAGGGCTGTCTCGGCGGCCGACCTAAGATTCTCCTAAATTCACGCGCAGCAAGCCTGAACCCAGAAACAAATTAATTATTCAGCAGCACAACGACCTTCTTCGCAGACACTCCCGACTTGTGGAAGTCCACTGCCCCTTGAATCTCCGCCAGGCCCTTGCCATACACGAGCGGCTCAGGTGCTGCCCGAAACCGGCCCTCGGCCAAAGCCTGCGGCAAATACTGCTGGAAAAGCATGGCCCCCACCCCATTATGATAGAGCGTGCTGGCAAAGATGTATTTGTACTTGATTCCTCGCATGCGGGACTTGTACCAGTACTTCGAATTGCCGACCATGAATGCGAGGGCTGTCCGAGGAACCGTGAGATGTGTCGGCGGCGGCTGTGGAACTGGATACGCAGCCATGGAGATAATTCGGGGCCCGGTGCATTGAGCGAGAATATCAAAACAGCAATCCGCCGCATTGGCCCCCACAGTCAGTGCTCCAGCGACAGTCTTGCCTTGGCACGCAGCGACCATGTCCGCGACGACCGTCTCGCTGCGGTAATCAAAGACCCGACTGGCGCCTAATCGTGTCACCAGCTCAAAATTCTTGGGCGAGGCGGTTGCTAAAACTTGGTATCCCGCGGCTCGAGCGAGCTGGATTGCGCAGGTACCGACACTGCTAGCCCCACCCCAGATGATGACGGTTTGGCCGGTGGGCTCCGGGCGAGCGCATGGGGGCTTGAGATTGAGCTGGTCGGGTTCAAACAGCCCGCATGCGGCGGTGCAAACTCCCAGGGGCAGTACTGCAGCTTGCTCAAACGATAGTTGATCGGGAATGGGACAGGTCATATGTGCAGCGAGGATGACATACAGTTGAAAGCCGCCTTGGGAGTGAGAATTGATCATCTCGTCGGTGCCGCATGCTTTGCCGAGTACACGATCTCCGACGCAGAATGTGGTGACGTTCGGTCCAACCTCGACGACTTCTCCGGCTACATCAGTGCCCAAGATGGTAGGGTAGGATAGCCATTGGTACATAAGGGTGGTACCCTGGCCTTGGACCGTCCAGTCAATGGGGTTGATGGCCACGGCGTGAGTTCGTACGGCAATTTCTCCTTCATGTGGGCGTGTGTAGGGAGCGGATCGAACTTCGAAGAAATGACCCTTAGAACGGACAAGCCAAGCTGCTTCGTTGGGTGGCATATTAAGGGTGTGGTGGGTTGTCGGGAGCAGGGTTATTTATCCTCGACAGGGACACAATGTCGGAACCTTGAAGATTGTCAAACGAGTATGATCAGTGGTTTGAAATCAAAGCTCAGGAGTAAACTTGGTATACGAACACAGTGCCAGTGCAATTCCAGTGAGGGTTCTTCAGAACTGTTTTTATACTCGATATCTCACCGACATGCTATCCACGTCATGATCTTGGATCGAAGCCGACAATGAAGCTGTATTGTCCATCGAGCCAATCAGGGATGTCTGTAACCGAAAAGAGGTCTAGCGCCATCCGTCATCCTTAAAGCCGGTAATTCCGGGAGCCGTCACGTGCATGCATTCCTCCATACCTCGCGAGGCTGAGAACAAGTCACTCACCGACAACATCTCCCTCACTCCACAAAGACAGGGTCAGTGAAATTGGAGGTTGAGACAATGGGGACAATTCGTGTCAGACAGCGATCAAGATGGGGTTGTAAGAACTGCAAGCTTCGACGGGTGAAGGTGGGTCTCAGTCTTCCTTTGGGTGCAGTGGCTAATTTGCCTCCACCTATGGCAGTGCGACGAGATCAAGCCCATGTGTCGACAATGCCAGGCTTATGGGGTCTCCTGTAGTTTTACCTGCACTCAAATTAAGACGCAGGCACTACAACCCGTGATCGAGCATGTTTTTGCTCCGCCCCGGCCGCCTGCTGGTTTAGCCTGCTGGGTTTGCCCGACCGATCGGCTGATAGCTCAATTCCAACTACGAATCGCCCCGACCATGAGCTATGGTAAACGATTAGATGTATATCAAAATCAGGTGGTGGAATTAGCACACACGGTGGGCTTGTTCTTCTTCCTCTCTTCTTTCCTTCTTACCCATTTTCTGTATTTGTTTTATTTTTTTTCTTCTTTTTTCTCTTGGCCGTGACACTTGTGTCAATCAGTTGCTAACGTACTCCCTAGACTCCGTTCCTTAAGCATGCCATCACAACGGTAGCCTTAACGTACCAGCGCCACACAACAACCCCCATCAGATTGACTCCAGACTTGGTGGAATCCTACCACTGGGATCGAGCCTTGGTTGGCTTCAATCGCAAGCTGTCGCAGAACCCTCAATCCAATGACAAAGCCGCCTTGCTGAGCACATCCATGCTTTTGTGGCTACTAGTCTTCTGCCACGTCGATGCATTGACTCCAGAAGAGGCCTGGCCGTTGTCTCCCGATGTCACCAGCGGTCCCACCTGGTTAAGGATTGCGCGGGGGAAAGACGAAGTCTGGCGCCAGATGCCCTCCCTGCCGCGAGACTGCATCTCAGCGGCTCTAGCACCAGTGGAGAACAATCCCATCATGAATCGACCCGCTCCACCCCAGGCAACGCTCCAAGGTGTTCCAGCCTCATTTCTGCGGCTCTTTGGTTTGAGTACGGTGAAAGAGTCATTGGTATTTGAGCCGGTTTATCATCGCATCGCTCTCGACGTTGCGTGGGCGCTGTTCGCTGATCGTCCGCTTCTAACCACTGTCTTAAGCTTCGTCACATTTCTCAGCACTATGTCGCCCAACTTCAAGTCGCTGTTGTTGGCAAAAGATGCCCGGGCGTTGCTGTTGCTGGCCTGCTGGTATGGGAAAATTCGCGGACTGGGAGTGTGGTGGATGACCCCACGTACAGTGCTGGAAGGAGAGTCAATTTGTCGGCATCTAGAGCGAGGCTATCCTGACAACCGAGATCTACAGGAGATGATAGTCTTTCTTCGGGCGCTATGAGTCAAAGATAGGAGCATGATCTCTGACATGTCCATTTTCAAGTCCTACATGTCAAAACTCTCTAGTCTTGAACTTTTTGTGAGTATTTTTTTACTGGCTTGGTGTTTGAGCTGGCGAGGGCTCGCGACGTGACCCAGAGAACCAAACTTTCGCAGTATCGCCTCGTGAAGACTACATACGGAGTGAAAAGACAATCCCAAACAGCAAAAAAAGAAAAACATACAACAGAAGGGATTCGCTGGTGGTCACCCACCCAACTACTAACCTCCCGGCGTGTGGCTTAAGTACGGCTGAGCGGACGGGAAGCCCTGTTTTCCACACCCTGTGGTCGTATGTGCCTAGTATGATTGAGAAAGCGCTTATGATTCTGCATTTGAAACATATGCACCCTTACTCCTGAGATTTGACCTATTTCCTAGTATAGGAATAGATTGCATAGAATCTCAGATATACGCTTCTGATGCAGGGTGCTTTTTCAGTGATCAAAGCTACCGAGCAAGATGTTAACCCCCTTGAATAGCCTACTCGATCTGCAATCGGCAACAACCACCACCACAATATGCAAAAGCTGTGAAATGACACTTATTGAGCATAGAACAGATTGATACAATAGAAGATCTCAACCAGGAACCTGACAGCTGCCTCCTCAGACACGACTAGAATAATACCACCTTTGTCAACAGGGTCACATCTAACATAATAGGACTCCTTTCTTTTCCTAAGTGTGCGCTTAGTATAATTCCAGGCGCGCGTTGGGTGCCCTAGTACAGTTATGCACAGGTCATTAGGCGATGAAGACAAAGAGCGCCTCGTCGTAACAACAAACGCTGAATGTGACGAAGTACAACTTTGGAAGCTATGCTCGTGATACAGCCGAGCACCATGATTTCCAGTGATGACAGAGCTTTTTGACAGATCCAAGGGGACGGTCCTAAAAACCCTAGAGGGGAGACAACCCAGGTGTCTAGTCATGCTCCGGGGCGCTGGGCCCTTGACCCGACCCGTTTCACTGCTCCACTCGCCGCAGATGAACCATAACATCTTTCTGCTTCACAAACCAGTGGTTGACATGTTTCATTCCCTGCGATACCGGCTCGATATCATATCGCTCACGAGTTCGGGGATGACTTGGTGATCTCCAGGATTGAGATATTCTTGCCAATACACGTGCGTGTCCCAGCTCCGAAGGGTAGGAAATACTGCTCCATCTGCTTGAGCTGCTCCTTGTCCGTGGGGGTGGGATCCCACCGACGGGTCGAAAGACGATTGCGTCTGTCCCGAATACCTGCAGATTGTAATGGGCTACCGGGCTATTGATGCCGATGATCGACTACATCGCATGTCAATCTTGGAAGATTCGGTGCGTTGACCGGACTTTGGCAACTCTCTCCCTCTGGGAAGAACGTCCCAGCCACTATGGTCCCTCCCCGGGGACCCACCCGCCACAAGGGCAGCCCTGTCGCTTCATGCATCCGGAGACCTTCCTTCATGACCCGTTGCAGGTACTGCATCTTCTGTACGCAGTCAAAGGTGATAGGAGCATTGGGTTGGGTAAGTGTCGCTTCCCTGACCTCTCGCCGAAGCTTCAGGTATACATTGCGGTTTTGGGCGAAGTAGAAAAGAATCGCGGTGAGAGAGTTGCTCGTCGTGTCCCTTTCGCCTACAATACTCATGGTTAGCGCCTCCCCGGAACTATAGGATTCGTAGCCTGCCTGATCCTTTTCGCGGAGGATCTCCAACTTTCGGTAGAAGTCTTCTGCTGTTCGTGGCATGCCATCGGCCTCTTGTTCCTTCGCCTGCCGCGGGTTCCTGCTCCCATTCCGAGCATCAGTCAGTCTTTGCACAAATGCGAACAGAGCAGTGGTTGGATTTCCGAATCTGGCCCGGAGAAGCGGAAGCAGCTAGAAATTGGCGCCGAGCAGAGCAGAAAACTCCATGCTTCCTTACAGCCCTTGCATCATATTGTCAATGTCTTGCCAGCCGGACTCCATGAATCCGAGTCGGTTACCAAACTGCAACAAGCGTGGTCAATCAGGATCGTCACGGTGTCTAAGTCCCTCGCAAGAATGAGGGGACTCACAGTAATCTCCCCGGATCACATCGAAGGTATAACACTGCATCCATCGCTGCAGGTCGATGGTACTCCCCTCGCGAACGAATTCATCGAATTGACCAAGCAAGATGGCGATGCATTGTTGACATAGGGTTCGTATGGTTTGATGGCGGTCATGGATACATGTTGGGCGCCACGCGCCCCACCTTGCCTTCGCCTGGTGTATCAGAAATAGCTCCAGATCAAGCAGCTCTTGGGTCATACCGTGACTGGCATGGTTCCGGGTGTTCGATGCTTCATTTCCCCTCCCAGACCGTCCATAGATACCAAAAATGTGGGAACGCCGCCGGCTGGCTCCCTTGAGCAGCAGAATACTTCCGTGCAATTGCCACGACTCGCAGAAAACAGCCAATTGCCCCAACCAGAGCGGGAAGTAGAAATTGAAGCATTGTGCCGATTGCAGTAGTGGATGAGAGGGAGAGAAGGAACCCTGAAGCAGGCAGACGACCCCGTAGATTATATCCGCTGGGTAGGCTGCGGGGAAATTGCACCAAACATTGGAAGTGGATGGGATCCTGGTCTCTTCTACTTCTCATTCGAATAAGGTCCAAGACGAAAAACATCATGAAAACAGGAGGTCAGCAAGATGTGACCAACCATTTCTACCCTCCCTGCAAGCATTTGGGATACAGTTCAGTTTACAGTTAGGTACAGTACTAGGGGAGAGCAGGCCAAGTGCGGACGAGACGGAGTAACGGAAGACGGAAAAGAATTGCTAGGGTATCCGCTGAGTTGACTTGATGTGCTAGTTAGTTACAGAAAGAACTAATCCCACTACGAGTCAATGCACATACGCCAAAACCTGATGATCGCCGTTGGATTAGTCCAGTGGTGGGGGCGGAAAGTGATCAACGAACCGAGTTGACTCAAGTTGACTTGGCTCAGTTAGAGCAAAGCAGGTTGTAAGGTTGTGAGAGATAGTGCATCGGACAACCTACCATGCCTTGACATTATGCACGGAAATCCGTATCCAAGATATTATCAATTTCTCTGTCGCTACTTGGGTCAACAAGGGAAATGCTAAAACAGAAACATTTATTTCTTCAATTATATAGACGGGACATGGAGGGGCTAGCCACCACTTGTGATGTAAAGGTACAATGGCCATGAGTCGAGGACTCGGGATGACTGACTTCCCCCCACATGACCGGTTGAAAAGCAGCGCCTTCATCTCCGGGCGGGGGATGACAGGCCGCACTAATGGCCGCACTGCAATGCGCCGCCAACGGCATAAGAGACTTGAAGCGGCGCGCCCCCAGCAGCAGCAGTGCGCCCATTGCCATCCCAAGGAGAATGATAGTCATGAAAATCGCCATCGGGGAAAAGCCACATCCGTTGGGGGACGCATCGTAATCGACTTCCCCAAACACGTTGTACACATTCCAATCGACGGAGTAGAAGCTTTCGGTGAGTAGCCAATGCAGGGCCGCCGACATGACAAATAACGGTCCGCTGTATCGCATCGGCAGCGAGAGGTAGTAGGAGGATCGCTGGTGGCCCCGGGGCCAAGACACGCGGAGAGGCTTGCGCTGCGTCGCATAGTCGTTGTACTCGGCCGTGACCAGCATGCACGATAGCAGGTTTTTGCTGAGGAAGTACAGAATAGAAAACACCAGTTGGGGGGAATTGGTCAGTAGAACCAGGGCCAGGATGTTACTGGTGCCGAAATATAGCCCTGTTTCATAGTTCGGACTACCAAAGCCCAGGTACCACTGGTCCGCCAAAGACCACTGGGCTTCGGTGACAAGGGCGTGATAAATCCAGCTGGGCACCCCGATACAGGCGGAGAATCTGAGTATTTCACATTAGCGACCAGCTCTGGCGATCGGGTCGGGGGAGACTAACAACACAAGAAAAAGCACCCATCGCTTGTAACTCGCAGCCTGGAACCAGAACTTCCGACCGGAGAGCTTCCTTGGACGACTTCCCTCCAACAGCCCTTCACTTGGGGTTGTGGAGAGGTTCACCAAAGCAATATCTGTCATCCTTGGCAACCACAGGGAACGTAGCCGGCGCCGGAAGATACTCCCCCCACTGGGTGGTAGTTCCCAGGGGTTGGGGCCATGGATCATGTCTTCCCGCGACATGAGACACCGGCCCTGGGTGGTGAGATCAGGCTGGTTGAGGAACGAGGCGACAGCATCGCCCACTCGCAGTAAGATTCCTGGTCGGTCCGTTCGAGCGGCCAAGAACATACATACTACCTTGACGAGATTGCTGACAATCACTGCCAGAGCGATCGACGGGCTAAACAGCAGCTCACAGCGCTGGACTGCGCGCTTGGCCATGCAGTGGGAAATCTGAACCTTGGGGAGCTCATCGGGGTTCTCGTATCCGATGGCAGCAGAGGAAAGATTCCAGCTGATCCCCTGCGCAGTCCACGTATTATTCGCTATTGCAGTCTCAGCGACGCCAGTCCCTTCGTTGTTCGTGTAGTCATAAATGGAGGTATAGCCGTCTATCATCGCGCTGAGGCTGCTTTCATTCGGGAAAAATCGTCGGTCGGCCACAAAGATCAGAGTGGCCTGCTGCGTGTTATACTGCACGTCGTAGCTGTCGAGACAAACTTCATTGGTCATGTTGGTGAAAGTTCCGTTGAAGATCTCGGTGAGGATTGTCTCCGGGGTGCTCCCCACCGCCGCGTAGAAGTTGGCCGAGTCGTTCGCCGGGACCAGTGCCTCGGTCGGAGACAGATCGGCGGGGATCAAGATCATGGCATAGTTGTAGGTCACGATCGAGGCGTATACCACGGAGTTGTAACTGTATGGGTACAGATCAGTACGGGAAAGTGGATTTAAGGATAGGACACGGGCATGGCGAACAGCATATGGATTGGGGTGGAGCTGAGAAGAAGCAACAGCCACAGGACTTTCCGCTTAGGGTTCATGATGCGCAAATTGCGCCAGCTCACGACTCCAATATCCAGCCAGCGGCGCCTCTTATGCTCCCGGTCCACATCTTCGCGGGTGGGGGCTCCCACGCACTGCATGGCATGGCTGCTAGCCGCCAGCAGGGCCGTGGAAAAGAGATTGATGATGATGTGGATGGCGGTCGCCCAGTGACTCGTTCGATTACAGTGGCCGTGGTACAGTCGGAGTCGCGAGAAGCTGCGCGCGGTAGGTCGTTTGGAATAGCCGATCCCGACCGCAATAAGGATGAAGAGAAAATTCACACATGCTATCGCCATGGCGATGTAAGCACAGAGCAAAGCACCTTGCATCCATTCTTGACCAGGCGGGCGCTGCCCACCTCGATTCCTCCTCTGTCTGGTCGTCCGCTTTAAAGGAAACAAGCTAAAGGGTGTCGTCCAAGTCTCAAATTGGGAGTCTCCGAGATTAGTGGTGGTTATCTGGACAGTCGGAACCTTTGGTCCTCCCCACCACGCCCCAATGGTCATGATGCCCTACAAGGCCATTAAACACCCAACAAACTTGACATGACCGGCGACATATTTTGTGGGGTAGAAACAGGACGGACCATCAGGGAAACCATCTGGCTCCGGGGCGAGATTTGAACCATTTTCTCACCTCCACTTTTTGCTGGGCCCTGACTTTTCAGCGCTAATCAAGCCGATGCTAATTGCTGCTAAGAATACCGTCGCCGCGTGGACTCGGACCCGTGATTGGCGGAGCCCTCAGATTGCGTCTCAGTTGCTCCACATTTCCCCCTGCCCAGCGCCCATTCTTTGACGGAGTTCTTGGCCATTTTGTCTCGCTCCGCCCAACTTCAGTCAAGGTGTGTTGCGCTTTGAGTTCGACTGCCCAGCTCATTGACTCAGTCGCTTAATTGATACCCGAATGGTTCTTGAAAGCATCTCGAATCTCTATCATCAACCCCTATGGGTTCTGGTAATCTGTCGCGTTCCCGCGTAAGCCGGTCATGTGATCCGGGGCGAATTCACCAGGCTTGTTCTCACGCAAACAACTTAGCTAGCTTAACCAACCAGATCAACCACCAAGAATTTAAGATATCGTCCCATATCGTCCATCCCTCGGCTTCCTCAAATTCCTTTCATAACCTGCTAGGTGCTGTGGGCTTCCCGCGATCGCGAGATATATATTTCGTCTAGGCAGTATCGGACCAAAGCACAGTACGCAACTCGATCATAGCACTTCACACCACATGCTGATATGTCGTAGTGCAGCTTGGAGGCACACTTTTGAAACAGACCGAGAAAGTTGCTGATCATATCCTCCACACAAACTGTCAACCGTAATTCATCTTACTGGTGGTGAAATTTAATTGTGTGGCGACAGTCAGGTCATTTGCGCAGTGACGGGCCGATAAGGTCGATAAAGAATGGCAGAGCGATAGCAGCCGAGACGCCGAGGGTGTGGCCCTGCGCCTACGTCAGAAGTCTCGGTCGTATACAGGAGTCGTATACAGGAGGCTTTTTGAATAAGAGATTGCGATAGAAGAGCTCTTGACAATTTGTCTTGAGGTAGGACGTGGTGATCTTGTTGAACTGCAGATTGTCTAGTGCCAGTGCCCTATGAATTGCATGGGATGAGGTAAGCAGACTCGAGCACGCAATCCCTACCTATGCTGAGCAACTTTCGCAAAGATCAGAGGCAAAGTCGTCCCTGGTTTGAAATAAATGTCCAGGAAATAGGAGCTCAACAATCGTGGGTGTATAGCACACCGTTAATGATGGCCGTCGTTCTCTTTCATTTTTTTTTCTGGTGGATATGAAGATGATGCGTCATTCAAAATAGTACCTTCAGCAGCCTTAGCAGTCGTAAATCGAAGACTTAGGATTTTCATGTTGCAGTATTGCAGATATGAATCTCGGAAGGGCTACCGAGGACCGGCAATAAGCTTAATTCTGCCCCAAAATCCAGCCAAGCACCTCATCCGAGAGTTTATGAAGCGATGGCTATCGGCCGATATCTCTATGCGAAGTAGACAATCTGCTGGTAATGAACCGGAAGGCCACATGGCAAAGCCATTCTCATTGTTGGAAACCCCCAAGTGTAGATCAATCTGGCTCACTACCAAGGGATAGATCGTCTGTTCATTCCTCGCCATCCTAATTGCCAATGAGGTGCTAAACCCTAACCTGGGGCCTGAGGTCTTCAGGGAGGTAGTAGTGGCTACATATATTTAATTGTAGCCGTAGGTGGTCGTCATGCCCAAGCCATTCTAACACGACGATCGGAGTCACCCACCTTGCTGTGGACAACAGCCAAAATGTCTACTACCGACTCAATTGACCACATCAGCACTGAAGCCAAGGGAACCCCGTCGGCCTTAGACATAGAGCAACAAGGCTCTCACCATTCGGACCCGAACGAGTCCAGGCCAGTGAAGTCTTTAGGCGCCGGAGTAGGTCACTCCTGTGATCCACACATTCTAGCTCTAATCATTCTGCAGTCCGCTCTCGCCTTAGGCGCATTTGGCACGACCTTGACGACACTGTCGTTGAGTCTGATGGAATGGCGTGGCGTGACCACGACCAACGTCTTTGTCGCAAACTTCTTCTTTATTGCGGCCTTTGGCCTGGTGGTAACGGCCCAGTGGGAACTATCCATTGGAAATGGGTTTGCCTACACTGTGTTCAGTGCATTTGGTGAGTACCAGACCAATCTGACCCGGGCTGGCCACCAGTGTAATGTATACTAATAAAGTGAAGGACTCTTCTATGCAGGGTATGGAGCGATTCTGACTCCCGCTTTCGGGATCGAGCAAGCATACGGTGGTGATGTCGCGCAGTACAACAATGCGCTCGGGTTCTTCATGATTCTTTGGACGGTCTTCGTGTTTACGTTTCTCATTGCTTCCCTCCCCAGCAATCTCGCCTATATTGCCGTGTTCTTCCTGGTGGACCTGGGGTTCTTGGCCGTGGCTGCCAGCTACTTTGCGGAGGCGGACGGACACTATGCAGCTTCATTTGCGCTGAAGAAGACCGGAGGGGCGTCGTGCTTTGTGGCGGGGTTAGTTGGGTGGTATATTGTGTTGCATCTACTGTTGCAGGACTCGATTGTGGATCTGCCTCTGGGAGACACGTCACGATATTTTGGTAAGAAGAAGAAGATGCATTAGGAGAATAGTGTTCTCTGTGTTGATAATAATTACCTTACAATGAGTACACTAATAATATGGAGAGGGGGGTTGTAGAAGAATGGTAACTACTACGGACTCGAGTAATAGTTTTCTGTCTCGATGCCTCAGGCATCAGCGAGGCACCATTCCCCTTTTGGTCGTCGATGCGGGGGCCCGCGGCGTCTGCTTATCGCCGATTGTTATTCCTCCGTTCCTGTCGTTCCTCCTCCACTCCTAACTCCGGCTTATGCTTTCTGTCAGCATTGTTCCTCCACTCCTTGCAGAGCAGAGGCCACGTCCTGGCGAAATGAAAAACGTTCGCATCACCTCCCTTCCCTCTGATCGCTCACTCGCAACCAAAGGTGAGTGTTTCTGCTTCCTTGATCGTCCCAGTCCTGACGCGACCACGATGCCGCAGACTGTCGCCTTTGCACCAAGCGGCGCATCCGATGCGACCGCACTCTGCCTCACTGTCACAAATGCACCTCCCGCAATCTTTCCTGTCCCGGATTCGATACCTTTCAGCTGAAATGGACTCAGACAATTACCCAGAAGCCTAGTTCGACTCGAGACACCAGCACAACCACGGAAAGGTTATCAAAAGAGGCGGTTCAGGCGTCGACCGAGCTGGCGGTCGCAACCCACCCCGAGGCCGATGCGACCCCATCACAAAATGCTCTCTGGCGCACGCCATCTCCCACCAGTGATTATAATCTCGTACAACACCACTCGTCGACGGCCTTCTCCGACAAACTGCTCCACTACTTTCATGTTATCGTGGTTCCCCGTCTAACTTGGCTGGATAGTGTGGATAACCCATGGAGAAAGGCCATTCTTCCACTCACTGGTCGCTCTGTCTCTCTCCGACTGTCGCTCCTCAGCCTTGCAGCCGCTCATTTGTCAGTCACATCCGCTCCTGGTAGCGCACAGGCAATTATTGCGCAGAGAGCCTATCCGGTTCTCAGAAACGGTACTCTCCAGGCTCTGAATCAAGCCATCAGTCGCGAAGTCAGTCAACGCCCTCGGAAGGATACCGTGGCCGGAGGTGGCGGAAGTTCCGCCCTCACGATCATCCTTGCCACAGCAGTCGCTCTCTGCTACGAAGAGATGCTAATACCAGAATCCACAAATTGGAATGTGCACTTGCAAGCGTGCCGTGCGATAATCGAATGGAACCAGTTGCGAAACAGTGGCCGGCAGTCCAACGATGCCTTGTCGAGATTTGTTGTCAAGGAGGTGGAAGACTTCGAAATCTTCAAGAATCTCGTGTCGTTCTCGCAGCAGCAGCCCAGAACCAAGTGCCCCTTGCAGTCAAGTCCCGAAGACCGTCTCTGGGCTTTCACCACTCTTATTAATGAAATTACCGCAGTGGAGCGTTCCAATTATGAACTCCATGGCGAAGGGTACGGGCTGGAGGAGCACGAGATGGTCATCTGGCGAGAAAGAGTGGAACAAGCGCACAAGCAGGTCTGTGTCACCGCAGCTTCGGCTTCGCGGCATGATGAAGCCACTCGCATCCACTTCAATACCATGGTAAAAGCTCACTACTATGCTATTCTGATCTATTTGGAACAAGCCCTGGCGCCTCGCAGACACGCAGAGCGGGCCATCAATCTCCATCTATCTATCCTGTTCCAAGACCTTCAAGGCCTCGTCAAAGACTCTTCGCATGTATTCTCGCATGTATTGTTCTTCCCTCTATTCATCGTGGGTACCGAATGCTGGGGCGATGCGCACAGACAGAGCGCGATCCAGAAGGCATTCATAGAACTAATTGTCGCGACCGGAGCATGGTGTAACCACACTGTACTGCAGTTCTTACTTGCCCTCTGGGCTCGACCGGATTACTGGGGTATGGGGCAATGGATCAGGTATGCTCGGGAGAATGAGGGCGAGATTGGGCCGTTCATGCTTTTCTGAGCGAGCTGCAACCCCTCGGATGGCAATCACGTGACATCAGCAACATCCCCCCTGAGCGCACAATCACCAGGGCATGAGCAACCGTGGGCTGGGCATGGAAGCAAATTGATCGGGGCAGGCGCTGCAGGGACAACATGTCCCGAGCTCTCGGGCGAATCTGATTGTATCTGCGCATCAGGAGACTCCGCCGCCGCCGATCGTATCGGATGGAGTTATCCCAAATCAGCCTAAATTGCATGAACCCTGCAGATGTCTCAGTATATCTAATCTCCAGGAGACTTTGCGGGGTTACGTTAGTTCACGTACCGCAACTCGGCTTTTTTCCAGGCTAGCTGTGAGACTATGCGCTCATCTTCATGGTATTTAGAAGGTCGATTGCATGTTTCGAAAGCCGGTGCGATGGCCTCAGGGCTTACACCTAATCCTTGATCGACAAGAGTACAAATCATGCCCTGCCGAGCACTCTTACTTCTGTCGCTATTCTACGCTCATGTAAGCGCTACTCTCGATGGTAGAAGATACATGTGGCTCACCCAACCTGGTCGATGGCCTACCTTTGAAGAAGGAATGCCAATTGGCAATGGTCAAATCGGGGCGACAATTTACGGTGGCGGGGCAGAGGTCGTGGACATGAATGTGAACTCCATCTGGACAAGGCACTTTCAAGATCGGACACCACTCAATGCGACGGAGACCGAGCCTGTTATTCGGGAGCTACTGCTGAATGGCAGCATCACTCAAGGCAACGTCTTGACCATGGCCCAGATGATCCCGACCAACAACTCGCCGCGCGCTTACAGCTACTTCGGCAACATCAATCTGGACTTCGGCCACCCTGATGAGGATATGTCAGATTATGTCCGATGGCTTGACACGAAGGAGGGAATTGCTGGGGTAAGCTACAGTATCAACGGAGTGAATTATACGTAAGCTTTTTCACGAGAGTTGGTTTAAACAAACCTGTCGCTGATACCTGACCTGGTAGCCGAGAGTATGTCGCCAGCCACCCGCAAGGTGTTTTGGTAGCGCAATTTAAGGCCAACAGGCGGGGAGCCCTGACCATCAACGCCACAATGACCCGGATCAGGGATATCAAAACGCTTTCGGCCAACGTGGCCAAGAATAACAATAGCCTTACTCTAGTCAGCACCAGTGGGCAATCCGAGAATGATCATCTAATCGAATGGACGGGCCAAGCTCGTTTCAAGTCCGATACAGGTATGTTCATTCTTGCAGGCACATAACCCTGCTAACATTTCCAAGCACGTTCACCGTGTCCGATTCGTCTCTCTTCACACACAATACAACTAGCATAGAGATGTATTACGACGTCGAAACCAACTTCAGATACGCGTCCCGAGATGCGCGAGAAGATAAATAATGCTCACCTGCTTGGTTAAGATGTTGTGAAAGCAGAAGCTGTTGCTGACACCTGATCTCTCTTGGATCGAGTGACACTCGACCTGGGCACATCGCCGAACAGCTGGGCGAGTCTTCCAACCGACCAGCGCATTAGCATTGCCCGTAAAACCTCTGCCGACATGATGATAACTACCACTTCTCCGGGGATACAACATTTCTCCGCGAAGTGGCATATCCGTTCTTCACCAATGTCGCCGCGTTCTACGAGTGCTACATTTTCCCTACCAGGGTTACCATGTCATGGGACCGTCTTTATCGCCAGAGAACAACTTCTATGTTCCCGCTGACGACACGGTCGCCGGGGCGGCGTAGAGCGTCGACATCGCCCCCGCCATGGACAACCAGCTAACGACCGAGGTGTTTCGCAGCCTCATACACGCAGCCTCGATCTTAGAAATCAACGACACTGCCGTGCAGGCGGCCAAAGCATTTCTGCCTCTGATTCAACCCCCGTTGATCTGCTCGCTAGGCCGGATTCTGGAATGGCGCAAGGAGTACAAGGAAAAGGCGATCGGGCAGAAGCACTATTCGCCTTTGTGGGCTCTGATGCCCGGTCGGCGCCCGCTGCTGAACAACACTCTTAGGACTGCGGCCGAAGTGTTCCTGGACCGACGTGTTTCCCACGGATCTGGGACAACCGGCTGGTCACGGACCTGGCTGGTCAATATGTATGCCCGGATATTCTGTGGTGATGATGCGTGGGAGCAATTGACCCAATGGTTTGCGGTAGACCCCACTCCCTATAACTTGTACAACACCAATGAAGGCCCGGTCGGCCCGTACCAGTTCCAGATCGATGGCAACTTCGGGTTCGTGAGTGGCGTCACGGAGATGGTCTTGCAGAGCCATACTGGGATCACTCATCTGCTGCCGGCCTCACCCTCGGCCTTAACCCAGGGATCAGTGAGGGGCTTGGTGGCTAGGGGCTACTTTGTAGTTGACATGGAGTGGGAGGCGGGGAAGCTGGTTCATGCGAATATCACCTCGCGTGCTTGTGGGCAGTTGCAACTGCGGTGTATGAATGGGTCTTCGGTTGCGGTTAACGGGCATGGGTATACGGGTCCGCTCAAGACACAGATCGGCGAGACGTACGTTGTCACGCTGGTCTGATATAAGCGATATTCGACAAGCAGACATTGGGAGCTAGATGCCATGATATTAGTCTCTTCTGAAGAGCTATTTCCATCGTACCATGAACAATGAATCGTCGTGTTTTGCATGCAAATTCAAACTTTTACGGACGGGTGTCGACCAGTTATGCACTGAGGTGATTAAGATAAAGGAGGTAACCAGTGATGTGCGATATCTCGGCCTGGTATATGAACAATGAGCTACTACGAGATGAGATCGAAAGCATGAACTTGATCAGTTGCATGGCAGTGGCCTGCAAACAAGGTGGCATGTTGTCTGCTCTCCATTTGCAGTGCCCCTTATCTTGTCAGCGTATCTTATCATCGCAATTTCCCCTCACGCATTGCTAAGTTAGTGCTGGCCACCACTATTAGCCGTGTCCTCTCGTGCGGGGAAAATCCCGTCCTATAGCCTCGGGTCTTATCAACCTGCAGAGTGGTTGGTCACATTGCTCGACCATCATGCCTGGCCTTTCCAAACCGTCTTCCTTATCTGTTGCCGGCCAAGGCACGGCACGGCCGAGATGGAGGCATAAATACAGGCCTTTGGTAGCTCTCTCACAGCTGTTGAACCCCCAACTGACAGCTATGGACACTCCTACAATATCCGAAGAGGTTCGCCCTTCGCCGCCCCAAAACAAGCACGATGCAAAGCAGGAGAAAGTTCGCGCAATCATCCATGATGTCCCTGCCCCACAAGAGGTGGCTGTGCGCCCCAAAGCATCGAAACTCTCGGTGGTCCTGATGGTGATCTTCTCCGGGCTCGCCATTGGCTCCGATGGGTTCAACGCATCGATCATCGGCAACCTCGAACTCATCATGGCTGTCATCTACCCCAACACTTTGACCACGGCCGTGGCGTCCCGGTTGTCCAATGCTTTCATGGTCGGGATGATCATTGGTATGCTGTCATTTGGCTACATCTCCGACAAGCTGGGCCGCAAGACCGGCGCTGTTCTGACAACTGCCATTCTGGTCTTGGGCATTGCCTTGAGTGCCGGGGCCAGTGGGACGAGTCAAGACGGTATGCTGTGGATGTTGATCATTGCTCGGGGAATTGCGGGGGTAGGTGCTGGAGGGTGAGTCTTCCTGCGATTCAAATATAATATTTGTCAACATAAACCTAACTTGCAGTGTATAGGGAATACCCCGTGGCCGGTGCCGGCGCTGCCGAGGCAACAGACGAGGAGTCCGCTGTTCGAAGCAAGCGAGGCTTCATCTTCGCCATGATCGCCGACTTATCCGCATCATTGGGCTTCGCCTTCGGAGCACTGGTCCCGTTGCTCTTGTTGCTCTGTTTCCATCAGCAGGTGCGACACTACAACGCGGTGTGGCGCATCTCCCTGGCACTAGGTGCCATTCCCCCGCTGTCGATCTTCTGGTTTCGCTATCGCATGGCGGTCAGCTCGGCGTATAAGAAGAGTGCCATGGTTGAGCAAAGGATACCTTACACACTTGCGCTGAGGAAATACTGGCGACCGTTGCTGGGGGTTTGTGGGTCGTGGTTCTTGTGAGTCGCCCTAATCCATGAGACCCGTCAGCCCATGCACATATGCTTACGGTGACAACGACGACAGGTACAACTATATCTCTTACCCCTTTGGTCTGTTTTCGTCCACTATCGTCGGTCGCGTAAACCCAACCTCGTCATTAGCCCTGACAATGGCCTGGGGAACGCTGATCAACTGCTTCTACATCCCGGGGGCCTTCATCGGCGGGTTCCTGTCGGACAGAATCGGTCGCCGCAAGACGATGGCGCTAGGCTTCCTCCTCCAAGCTATCCTGGGTTTCATCCTGGGTGGCGCATTGAAGTACATCGAGCGCTCCCTCCCTCTTTTCATTGTCCTATACGGGGTCTTCCTCACGCTCGGAGAGGTCGGACCAGGCTCCACAATTGTGCTGACTGCCAGCGAGAGCTTTCCCACGGCCTTGCGCGGACATGGCGTCGGATTTGCCGCTGCGTGGAGCAAGGCCGGCGCAGCCATTGGAACGCAGGTATTCAAGCCCATCCTGGCCAGCTGGGGCGGTGATGAATTCCATGGGACTCAGGCAGTGTTCCTCATTGGGTCGGGATTCGCGGTGGTTGGGGCCTTGCTCGCATGGTTTGTGCTCGAGGATCCCAGTGCGGAGCTGGATAATGGGGATCAGGAGTGGAAGGATTATATGGCTGCAAACGGGTATGGGAATGTGCAATGGGGGGTTTCGACTGGAGCTGGTGATGGGTTAGAGTCGAAGGCTGTTTGATTCTAATACAATGCGGCCTTGTACTCATCCTTCGCGGCAGCTGCAGCAGCAACCTGGGGGAGAACCCCCAGACCCACGCTTCTTTTCACCTTCTCAGAGCACCACAAAATGACAGATTCCCCCTTCGGAAGAATCTGCCTCAGAAACATGTTTTAAACACAGACATGGGACAGGCCTTCGCCTCCTGCCTCTTCTTTGTTTTATCCGGGGCGATAAATATATCCGGCTAAACAAGAAAGAATTACTGACATTTGCTACCATGAATTTATCGACTGGACCAACACCTGATTAAATTGCAGTGCTGCACTCACTCTGACAAGACAATCAAGATCTTGACTCGGGGATTGTAGAACAATTTCCAGACACAGGGAAGGCGTCGGCGTCTCTAACTCAACCAGGTCACGTGATCCGAGGTGATTCCCAAGGCGTGTTGTTCACTTAGAGAACGTAGCAAATCCAGAGTTCAACCTCCAAGCAATTAAGATGTCGTTCCGAGACACCCGTCCCTAAGCTTCATCAAAACGTGACAGAACGGGCCCCCTATCAATCCCAAGACATTGTGTTGGTTGGCATAACGCCAAGAGTTGAATCGGTCTCGTCGGTATAATTTGCCCTACTTGGCTTCAGCTCCAGGCTCTAGTCCACGCCACATTATGGCTCTAGCTCGACTGAGTAATTATTTCTCACTAGACTCAGAATAGCTCCACCGGTTCCTGAGAACAAAGGTCTATACGAACTTGCCATCCAAGCAGGGTTGGATGGGGTGGAGTCCCAAGTCTTTGAAGAGGAGATGGCCTCCCCACACAAGCAGAAATCTACCCAGGCCCCTGGATCTGCTCCTCGATTGCTCTTTTTATTTCTCTTTAGTTCTGATCTGAACTCATCCTCATTCTTGCAAGCCTTCCCTCGTTGTCATTCTTTCAATTCCCACGGGGAATAGTCACTCGTTGCCCATGATGGGCCTCTCATTTGCCAATGGCTTGCTGCTGCTGTCAGCACTGGTCCCGAGCAGTCTAGCCCTGACCATCGCTCGACCTGGAGCGAGTGTAGGAGGTGAGACTGTTGCGACGCTCACCTCTTCTTACACCACCACCCTCACCAACGTGGTGACAAGCACATCCACTGTCCTATCCACTGCTGCCACCTGCACTCCCGCAACAACCACCCCTCCGTCTTCGGCCCAGTGCTCGAATTACATCTGGTGGCGGTCAGGAACATGGTATGAAGAGTACTGCACGGATGCCTCCGTCGTCGGAGGCTCTACCGCAACGCAGCTGTCAGCGCTGGGTCAGTACGTCAATAATATCAATCAATGCGTGCAAGTCTGCGGCATGGTGCCGAACATGTGTAATGCGATCAACTATGACCCGGCGTTGCGAACCTGTTACTTCATTTCGGCGGCCACAAGCCAGACCCTCGGATCTGGCGCCGGCTATCAGGCGGTAACGTGGCATACCACCAACCCTTGTGTGGGCACCGTGACTGCGTCCTTGGAGACCGCGTATTCGACCGAGTATATCACTACGGAGTATACCACAACGTATACGGTGACGATCTCCAGCACGCCGACACCCTCCCCGACGACCACTGCAACTTCTTCGTCGGTGGTCCTTCCGAGCCAAAGTGCGTCGAGCGCTCGTGTCTCTACTTCTGCTGCGGTATCGGTGGCCATTCCCTCGCCGTCCGCTTCGTCCCTCTCGACTTCACCGTCTGCCGTTAGCTCCAGTGTGAGGGTTTCATCTGCGTCTGTCGCGCCGTCTAGCGTCCCCTCACCAATCAACTCTTTGACTTCGAGCTCGAGGATCGTCATTCCATCTGCATTATCCCGACCCGCATCATCGCGTCCTAGCTCGTCTACGGCGCTTGTCATTCCTTCGCCCTCGTCGGTCGCATCCTCCATCACCCACAGCTCATCGATTCCACCGCATGTTTCTTCAAGCACTCCCATCATACGGCCCAGCAGCTCGCTCGGCGGGATTTCGATTTCCTCAGGCTCAGCTGTTGGCTCTGGCCGGCCCACCCGCCGAACCACGACCATCTCAGTTACCGAGACAATCACCTCCAGTACCACGATATGCTCCCTGTCTGCAGCCACAACCCTACCTTCCAAGCCCGCTGAAAGCGCCGCATCCAGCAGTGGACAGGCAACTACATCCAGTGAGGTCGCCTTCACGACCTCGACGGTACTGACCACCCGGACGGCGACCATCACGGCTTGCCCTAGCTCGGTGACCAACTGCCCCGCCATGTCCCGTACCACCTTCCTGACCACCGAGACTATTGTGGTGTCGACGACCGTGTGCCCAGTCACGGAGACCAGCACTCCTCAACCTACCGAGAACAATGCAGAAGCGAGCGCAGCTCGCGGTGGAAGTCCTGGTGAGGAGCAGGGGTTCACCACCTCGACCATCTTCAGCACTCGCACCGCGACCATAACGGCCTGTCCCAGCTCTGTAACCGATTGTCCCGCTCGCTCCAAGACCACGTACTTGACCACTGAGACCCTCGTGGTATCAACGACTATCTGTCCTTTAGCCTTCACCGGCGAAACCACAATCCCAATGGCTCCCAATACGGCAGCTACCACGGTCACCCACGACGGTCACAGCGCAAGTGAACCGTCTCCCCAAGTCGGAGAAGGCTATACCACCTCGACGATCTTCAGCACTCGCACCGCGACCATCACCGCCTGTCCCAGCTCGGTGATGAACTGTCCAGCCCGTGCCAAAACCACATACCTGACCACCGAAACCCTCGTGGTATCCACCACTATCTGTCCCCTCGCAGAGGCGTCGAGTCTTGGCTCAGTCGGGCAAAGTCTAAGCTCCGTCGGTCAATTCGCCGACTCGAACACCCTGGGCTACCCAGGCACGGCTGTAGATCTTGCCCAGGGAGCTGTCACAGCCTCCCCGATTCTCAGCACGCGCATTGCCACTATCACCGCGTGTCCTTCGGGGCAAGTGAGATGCGATGCCGCAGCACAGACCACGTACCTCACCACTGAGACACTCGTGGTTCCGGTGTATGCCACGTCTACCAGTGTCGGTACTTCGAACTCCGTTCCGGGGGGTGCTGATGCGATCAACGCTCCCGGAGAGCATCCAACACTGCCCGTGGCTACGGGACTCTTGGATTCTACGGCGGGCAGCGCAGCATCGACGGTGGAAGGGTGCTCGGACGGCGAGCTGCCCTGTTCTGCTACTGGCACAACGACAAAGACGTACACCCTCGTTGCCATCGGCACTGCGGTCCCCGCTGCTCCTAATGCCGAGACCGCTGCCCGCCCCAGTTACGGTATGGCAAGCAATCACACAAACGCTGCATTGCAGACCGCGTCTCATCCGGTTGGCAGCTCCAGCGCCGTGTATGCGGCCTCATCTGCTTCTACGGCTACCTTGGCTGCTTCGATGTCCCCGGGTACCGGATCTACCAGCTCTACATCTAGTGCCGTGAACGCGCTGTTTACGGGCCGTGCGGTGGTGGGTCGCGCTCCTTCTTTCATTCTCAGAGCCGTAGCCGTATTCATCGCGGCACTCATTCTGTAATTAGACTAGTTCCCTATGGATCAGGTTCAGTTTCTAATGTATTGATTTCCGACCATCACAGACACTCTGACCGCGTAGAATAGGCTTTCAAAGCTTGCTGCTTCGCGAATCCAGGGCTTCATCTTTGGCAAACGTGCAATAGTACTCCAGACTCCGAGGGTTGAGTAGCGTCCCAGAGGGCTTGATAATTTTCCCCGAGACGATCTGCTTGACGGGAAGCTCAACTTTCTTTCCATTCACCGTTGTCTAGTCCATCCAATCAGTACTACTTTAACCAACAAAACATGAGTTTGATTGAGTACGTACCGGGATTTCAGGGGTCGGAAAAATGAACGCTGGCACATGGCGGGGACTCAGCTTGTGACGAATGGTCGTCTTGATCCGCTGGACGAGATCGGAGCTGAACAACACCTTGGGCTTCATGAGGAGGAACAGGATTACTCTTTCGTCGGTATCTGACGGTCGCCGTTGGCCCACGCAGATAGAGTCGACAACCTCGGTCGCAAACTCGTCTTCAATGACCTGGTAGATCTCCGCCGATCCGAAGCGGACGCCGGATGGGTTCAGGACCCCGTCTGCGCGACCGTGGAAGAGTAGCTGTTGTGTCACGGGGTGGATAGACACGAAATCCCCGTGCGTCCAGACTCCTGTCAGAGTATCAGCTCACTGACCTGAGGTGTAGTTCGGACTCGAGAATGCATTACCCTTGAACCGATTGAAATACGCATTGTGGAACTTCTCGGCACTCCCTGCCCCCCAGAATCCCACAGGGACATTCGGAAAAGCGGCAGTCGCGACAAGATCCCCAGGTGTACCGTGTGGCACCGAGGAACCTTTCACACCCTCCCCTTCAATCGACGAGTCGTAGACCTCCACTGCAACGCCAAGGCTCATGCTGGCACAGCCTCCGGAGTAGATTGGCAGTAAGGGATTCGAAATCCCGAAGCATCCGGCAATGTCGGTGCCACCGGAAATGTTGTTGAGTCGCACATGACGCGGAAATCCCGTGTCGTAGAACCACTCAAACAGACTCTCAGGAAGGACCATGCCGGTGCTGGTGACGACCTTCAGGGATGAAATGTCGGCTAGGTCGCGGGGTTGGATGTGGGCTCGTTGCAATTCAAGCAGGTATCGCGGGGAGATTCCCAGGTGAGTTAATCTATGTACTACTTAAAAACTTGCCTTTGCTGGATTGCCACCGTCATAAATAGGTGTCTTACCGTTCTTGTGCCGCCAATTTGATCAAAGATGCCACCTCAGGGAGGAAAGGGCTTCCGTCGTAGAGGACCGCCCGCGCCCCTACGAGCAGACTGTTGATGACCGAAAGATACATGATCCACCCGGTTGTGGTATACTGCAGATTCACACTGTCCGAGTTCATCTCACTGTGCAGATAAAGCTCCTTGAATGCGTTGAGCATGACTCCACCGACGGAGTGCATGATGCATTTCGGCTGGCCCGTGGTGCCGGACGAGTACACGATGAGGAAGGGGTCTCGAAATTCGACCTGCTCGAAAACAAGGGTGTCGCCGATCGCAAGAGCCTCCCAGACCTTCAACGGAAGTGTCCGCGATAGGTGGCTGACATTTGCGGGTTGCGCAGCGAATCTGGGCTGCGCTACGATGCCTTTGAACTCGGCGATACCGTCCATCCCGGCTATGATCTCCCGCATCTTCGGTCGGAGATCGATGGCCTTGCCGTTGTAGAATGCCTGGTCGTCCATAAACAGCCATGTGGGCTTGATCTGTCGCAGCCGATCGAGAATCCCCTTGACCCCCATGTCCGTGGAACTGGACGAGAAGATCCCACCCAGCGCCGTGGTGGCCAGAAAAACGAGCAGCGTGTCGATGCTGTTGCCGGCACAGACCGCGACCCGGTCACCTTTTTGAATTCCGTGCGCCTTCATCGCCTGCACCAAGCGACCGGTTCGTTTGCGCAGATCCCCCCACGTGAGATGTCTGGCTTCCTTGTGACCCCCCTCGCGCACCTCAGTGACGGCGACCTTGTCATCCTCCTTCCCGACCGTGCTAGCCTGTGTCCCGTGGCCGGAGAAGAGAATGTTTTCCGCGTAGCTGAGCCGAATGCCGTCAAACCATTGTGGGACCGCATCGATTGGAGCGTTCTCGTCGACGACGGAGGTGTAAGTGCCTTGGTGCAGGACGTTGAAGTATCGCCAGCAGAAGTCCCAGAAAGTAGCGCGCTTCGCGATGGACTGGTGGTAGAGATCGTGGAAGGTCTAGCGGAATTAGCGGGTCAATCTTTGTGGGAGGGGAGGAAGGAACCCACTGGTATTGACACGCCCAGCTCCTGCTCCCAGGCTCGCCGGAAGTGAGCCATGCTGGAGGATTCGGGGTCGGGATGCTCCCAGAGCTTGCGAGGGATGGACAGGGAGGCCATGGCGAGATGATTCGTGATGATCTCACCAGAACGTCGATAAGGGCGAGGTTGATGGAGGAATAAAGATGAGGATAGCGGAGGAAGGAGTAGTTCAGGTGGAAGGAAACAAAACACAGGCCCCTTGCATGGATGCTGTGTTTCCTTCCTTCCTTCCCTCTCCGCCTTCTTCCTCCCCGCATTTCTCCCCGCACTCGCACGAGGGGATGCCGAGGTTGTTCGTTCCCAGCAAAAAGATCGAATCGAATGGCTTGGCTCTACAGAGCAATCCACCAAAAAACCCACTCTAAGTTGTTACTGACGTATCTTACCACTAAAGCTCCATTGGAAAGAATTGCATTGCCCTATTGACTTATATAAATCGCGACGGTCGGACGGATTCCGAAGATGATGAGGCAGGACCCGTATACTGGGCAAGAACAACAGAAAGAAAAGAACCAACAACAGGCTGTGCTGACACTTTGGCCTCCACGTCAACATCACAACAGCGGCAAACTTCACTTATGAACCCAATCGACCCGCGTCTAGCAATGTTCGAAAGGGACCATCTCCCTTCTGCAATTCTCGAGGCTGGCCCATCTCCACCACCCGACCATCCTTCATCACAACCACCACATCGAAATCCAGCAGCCTCTCTATCTGGTGCATAACAACAATCACCGTCCGCTGCTCGAACTCCTCCAAAACGACCCTTTGGATCAGATCCGCCGTCTCAGCCGTGAGGCTGCTGGCTGGCTCGTCCAACACCACCACCGACCCAGACTGCAGCAGGGCTCGCGCACACGAGAAAAGCTGACTCTGTCCGGCGGACAAGGTCTCGTTGTCTAAGAAAGCCGAGAGACCTCCTCGTGTCGAGACCAGGTCCCAAAGATTGACCTTTTGCAGGGCTGCGATGAGTTGAGAATCACCCGATGGGTCGACACATCCCAGCGTCAAATTATCCCGAACGGAAACTCCCGGCATGATGTAACTGTGCTGGGAGTTTCCAATCAGATGCGATCGGACGAATTCAGGATTGAGAGCTGTGAGGTCGACACCGTCAATGAAGATAGGCCTAGAGCTGAGGTCGACCATCTGGAACAGTGCAGAGATGAGGGTGCTCTTTCCGCTGCTCGTTCGACCGCAGATTCCGACTTTGGAGCCTGCCGGGATGGACAAAGAGAGATTCTTGAGCACGTCGGGACCATCCTCTTGGTACCGGGCAGTCACACTCTTGTACTCAATTGATCCATGCAAGGGCCACAGACCCCCGATCCCCGGGGCAGCGGGGTGGCCTTGCTGCTTGTGAGAGGACATTCACCGGTAGCTTCTTAGAAAATTCCTTCCCGATACAGTCCTCTGCTATCGAAGCTTTGAGTCATACCGTACAGGGAACATTGCGCATAATCATGTTTGAAACGCAGTGGAACACCCAACTGATATTGAGATCACATGAACTAATAATGCGGGGCACTAACAAATTGGTTCATCTGAAGAAGTCCAGGCAAGATCATATCCAGACCAAATTCATCACACTCCTTCTAAAGAGGCTTGCTACTTTTTATAGCTATTTGGAAGTAGTTTCTATGTGTTATAATCCTGTTCATTGCGGAAGGGAAACCAAATATCCAGTCCAGATGTCAAATGATCCATGTGAAAACAACTTCCCCATTGGTTCTCCTCCCCTCGGTTTTTCCCTTGGCAACGTGTAGCTGAGTTTCCTTAATGGTAAGTCGTCTTTGCCATATCGTGCTGAAACAGCTACTTACATCAGTCACCTAGAGAAAGAAACCCTCGCGGGCCAGGAGCCAGATAAACATGGCGATGTACATCCAGGCAAACCAGATGAGTGCCAGCTCATACCGATTTCCACGATCCTGCAACCAGAGCATCATGTCGACATCCGAGATATAGCCGCGGAAGAATATCTCGTGCAGGCCCTGTAGCGCACTCAGTCGAGCAGTGAACGGCTGTCGCTCACCGATCCCATCCTCCGCAGCGAGGTTGTCATCAAAATTCCAATCCAGCATGTAGATCATGTAGCCGTACACGATGAGTGTGATTAGGAAGATGGAGAACACCGACAGGGAAACCCCAGACCAGACGCGATTGTGGAAAACGTGCCGACGGAGCCAGTGCTCTGTGGCGCCTCTGGTGAAGTGGATGAGGCCTAGGACAAAGACGATGAATGTTGCATCAGACATGGGGTCGAGGATGGCGTCGGTGGACATAGCCTTGATGGTGAGTTCATGGAGTGATGGAGGCAGGATAACGGTCACTGGGTGGAGTTGTTGTAGGTGGTGAGAACGGGTTGTGATGGTTGAGATCTGTGCAGAAGATGTCTGTTAACAGACATCACATAGTGATTTAGAAACTTCTGACCTCATCACATGAGTCGTAGCGTTGCTGAGTAACCTGAACCATTTCGTTAAACACTGGGAAGAAAGGAACTCATATTGAACATCCTCTTCTACCAGGGCTTTCCTGTATCTGCCGGAGCTTCGACCCATTAGCAATCTGACAGTGTTGATGGCAGTGATAGTCTCGTCGGAGACGTGAATAAGTAATGAGTTCCGCCAAGTGAGGCTATCCAGGCAAGGAACTATCAACATGGCCGTGGCGGGCGGTCAGCGAGCTGGCTACATTGAGACCCTCACTGTTTCAGGCGGTGAAATACTTTCCAGGCTGTCGAGTGTGCCACATACGATCGTGGCTGGGCGGTATCAGATCATAGTTCCACTGATTGACAAGTCTACTACGATGAAATCTGCGATACAGTCTTTGGGCCGCCATGACACTCACGAAACGCAGAGCCACCCTCTGACGCAGAACGCCAGGATGCGCAAAGTTTGCCCTTCATGGCGGCTCTTACCGTATCTCTACCCAAAGACTATGTCTCATTTATAGCGCGATGGAACACTGGTATCTTATGGGTGAATATATTAAGATCGTTATAGTCCACCCCCCACCACTGAACATATTGTGGCCTTTAGTAAGTCCGATCGATCCAATCCCCCCAAGTGGAACCCAGCACTGTAGTCTTGGTCACAGCCGCCGAGATCGAGCTCTCGTACAGTCTGCTAGACGTGCTCGATCCATCACCCGAGTTGTTGTACTCGTAGTATAGGGGAGTCGCTCCAGCTGCCATTGTTGTCCATCCCTTGGGGTTGATGATGTCGGACAGGACCGAGTTCTGATAGATGACCCGGGCCAGGACTCGCCAAGGACGACCCAAGTAGACCGACTCGCTCAGGGACACTCCCGACGCGGCCTTGATGTTGCAGTTGTCGAAGGCATACCAGCCATCGTCAGTTGAGGTTTCGCGAGAGGAGGCGGTAATGGCTCCCGCTCCGTTGGAGACGATGTCACATTCGCCGAACCAGACGGAGGCGTCTCCGAAGATATAGTCCACGGCACCTATTTGTGTCAGCCATTGCGGCTAGGCCTGTGTCTTGACTTTGGTGTATCCATACCCTCAATCAAACAGTTGGAGTAATATTGAGTGCCGGCTTTGACGTAAAGGGTGTCTTGGTATCCCGTAAACTGGCAGCCGTAAAAGCCCAGTTGATCCGCGTTGCCGACCAGTCTATAAGCAGCGGAGTCAGATTCGAGCGTCAAAATAGATCGAAGTCGAGAAGATAATACATACGCCACGGCTTGAGCGCCCTTGCCGTATCCATTGGCGACGTTGATGTTATACATCTTGAAGTTGTCGGAGACCACGTTGACAGTGGCACTCTTGTCCAAGGACCCAGCGTCGGGTGAGGAGATGGTATGGGTGATGGTGACAACATTGTTCTTGTATGAGCCGGTGTCACTAGTCTGCCCGTACAGCGTTAAGGCGCCAGCATAATTGATGGTAAGCTGTTCAGAATAGGTGCCACTGGCGACATAGATGCAAGCTGCGGCAGTTGAGGAGCCGAGAGCAGTAATGGCTGCTCCGATGGTCGAGTAGGTTTGCCCCGAGCCGACACTCAGACAGCCCGACGGCGCGCTGGTGCGACTTGTCCGTTTCTCGAGCGATGAGGCTGGAGCTGCCAAAAGTGGGGCAGCAAGCCCAACAAGGGCGACAAGAGCAGAGTAAAAATGCATCGCAGAAAAGTTGCAAAGTCTGTCGTAGTGAAGCGCTGATCTTTCCACTGTTGATCATGCAGTTGGGATTCTGGGCGGATGGAGATATATAGGGTTCGGCCCAAAAGAAAAGTGCGATTATGCAACGGGGGAGCCACTTCTGCAACAATTAGAGTATTTTCCACCTCTCAGTTCGATGTTACCTTGCGGTGCTAAGGCCGAGGCACGAGGAATCATTCTGACTGGCTCGAGCTGAGGCTTGGTGGGAACAAGAGTGGCATCGACAGTGCAGAGAGTCCGGAGGAATGCAGCCCAGACGAACAGAAAGATCCACATTTCCATGAATAGGATCAACTCCTCCAATACCCTTCCGAGGCGCTCTGTTCAGACACCCGGCAGTTTGAGTTTGCAGAAACTGGAGTGCCCCTGACAATTACCGGTGTCCGTCACAGGAACAGGCTCAATTTAGCCGGGGTGGCAGCGGGAAGCTGAAACGCTGGATTGCCAAGGGCGCCTCTCGGCCCTGGCAAAATTGCCCCGCTTGTCACACTAGGGTCTTGGGCTCGTAGTCGAAGTAAAGCATTGGATACTCTGCCAGGCACCTCCATAACATCCCTCTGATCATCTACCTCCGGTTAATCCGCAAGCGAGGCAGCGGAGTTACCGCACGTGGCCCGGACCGTTGGAGATAGGAGCTCTAGCACCGCTTCAGTTTCTCCGTCCAGCCAGCCCCACTGATGTTTCGCATTCACATGTCAAGCATGCAGTTCGTTGGAGGCAATGCCCCGAGACGATAGCCTGAAACAGGCAATACTGTACCGCCGTCCGTGATGAAAATAGCACGCCGTGTCTCGCAATTCAGGTAAGGATCGTCCATCTGAGCTTCACTCTGCTATATATCTAGGCTTGCAAATGATTCAGCTCAATAATCTCCATCAAGCATCTCATTGACTTTTCGTGCCTCTGCCCTTCAGTATGACACCACACTGGACGTCGCTGCTGCTGGCGGCCGTTGGCCTGGTTAGGGCTGTCCCCTCGCCCGTGCAACATAGTCCGGATGCTGCGCTTCGGCCTCGTGCGGTCTGCACTCCAACTGCAGGAGGCAGCTCTTCTATCGATGATGTCCCTGCTATCACCAAAGCGATTGCTAGCTGTGGTAACGGTGGCACTATTGTCATTCCCGCAGGCACCACCTACTACCTCAACAGCGTCCTCGATTTCGCTGGCTGCACGGGATGTGACTTTCAGGTCGAGGGTTTACTGAAGTTCGCCAGTGACACCGACTACTGGGAGGGGCGAACGGCCATGATCAGCGTCTCTAAGATCAACGGACTCAAGCTGCGGTCCTTGACCGGGTCGGGGGTCATTGATGGAAATGGTCAGGATGCGTAAGTCATGGCACCCTCCCCATGATTCATTCATCACAGTACTGACTCTGCTCCGAACCTTTCCAGTTGGGACGTCTTTGCCTCGGACAGTAGCTATGCCCGACCAACCCTCCTCTACATCACCGGCGGCAGCAACCTCGAGTTCTCCAACTTCCGTCAGAAGAACCCGCCCAACGTCTTCAACTCGATCAAGGGGGGCGCCACCAACGTTGTTTTCTCCAAGCTGCGCATGGACGCGACCTCCAAGTCCGACAACGACCCCAAGAACACCGACGGGTTCGACATTGGCGAGAGCACCTATGTCACCATCTCGGATACAACCGTCAAGAACGACGACGACTGCGTGGCGTTCAAGCCGAGCTCGAACTATGTCACCGTCGACACCATCACCTGTACGGGCTCGCACGGGATCTCGGTGGGCTCTCTGGGCAAGTCCAGCAGCGATACAGTCAAGAACATCTATGTTACTGGTGCGACCATGATCAACTCGACCAAGGCCGCTGGCATCAAGACCTACCCGAGCGGCGGCAGCCATGGGGTGTCGACGGTGTCGAATGTGACGTTCAACGACTTCACCATCGAAAACTCCGACTACGCTTTCCAGATTCAGAGCTGCTACGGCGAAGACGCTTCGTACTGCACGACATATCCCGGGAACGCGAAGCTGTCGGGTGTCAAGGTCACCGGGTTCAGCGGCACCACGAGCTCGAAGTATGATCCGACCGTGGCCAACCTGAACTGTGGATCGGGTGGAACGTGCGATGTGACCATCAGCGGCTGGAGTGTCAAGGCTCCTTCGGGCAAGTCGCAGGTGCTGTGTGCCAACACCCCTTCGAGCTTGGGGGTGACTTGCACCTCCGGGGCTTCGGGCTAGGGGTTTGGCTTTTGCATTAAATATCTATTCCATTAATCTGCTGATACATCCTTGAATATGCATATAATTCATCCGTAAAATATTTGCAAAGTCGGACCCACCACCTTAACTCCGACATTACATGCTCAATACCGCGGCACCGCCCCCTTGGGAATCCCCAACAAATCCCCCACCGGCCGCCCCAGCAACCACGCATCCATCGCGGCATACAAATCAAAAAACGCCTGATTATTCATCGTGGGCAGATCATTAAGGATCGGATGGCCGAGCCGGGACTGTGCGACAGCCAAATACTGGTAGCCGGGGGGATACTGCTGCAGCTCCGAGCGGTCGAAGTGCGGGACGGTGCGTCCGTCGACGGGGACGACGCGGTCCTTCTCGTAGAACAGCTTGATATACACCACCTTCCACTCACCCCCCTCTTTGAGACAGAAGTTGATGAAGCGGCAGTCGCACTCGACGTCGAAGTCCACCCCATCGTCCCAGCTGAAGCGCTGCGTGATCGTGGCCTTCATCTTGCCGACTGCGCGCTGGGTGGCCGGATTCAGGTCGACGAGGGTGCCGTTCTCGCGGTGCATGATGAAGTCGCCGTTGGCGCGGCCTTTAATCGAGGTCCGGATGAAATCGTCGATGGGGAGGCCGCCGCTCCATGCTTTTGTTGTCTTAGTACGAATTGAGGGCTGGGGAGGGGGGGGAAGGGTCAGTGGGGAAGACGCACTGGTGAAGACGAAGGCGCCCTCCTTGGCGAACAGGTGGCGGTAGTGGTTCCATTCAGATGCGTCCCGGTACACCGGCCAGCCTTTGCACAGTTCCGAGACGCAGTATCGGTCGTTGATCTCGGACGGGGAGCCGTTAATGTGGCTGTAGATTGTCGGTTGGGTTTCTTTCTCGGTGATGTTGTAGACCATTGCGAGCGAGTTGCAATTGAGATGGTGTGTTTTGGATGTTCTTGATGCTTCTGATGCTTTGCAATAGTGCAAGTATTTCTTGTCGATCTTATACTTTCATTCCCTTTGGTTTGGATGGTTGGTCTGTGATGTCATACCCAGGCATCGCGTGGTGCTCCGAACAGTTCCGTCTTCGGGAATGTCTTCGGTACTTGCGCCAACATGGCCGCATGGTTCTGACATATACCAAAGCGCCGTGGAGAAGACATTACATCGTCATGAATCAAACGTGTATTTGCAATGATTTGAGTATATACAATTTTTCGCCCAACTGCCAGCTCAACATTACACGTGACATCACTCACGGATAGTCGATCCGCACACTAGCCAACCCCATCGGCTGAATCCTCTCCCGCACGTCTCTTCCTCTATGCATAAAACTCCGCCACCCAGGCCTTGATCTGAGCGATCTCGTTATCCACCACCTTCTTCACCCCTGCGTTGACCACGGAGTCTGTGATGTAGAGATCCGAGCAGTGGAAACCGCCGGGGATGATCTGGACCGGCTCGCTGGGGGTGCTGGCCAGGGGGCCGCCCGGTCGGAAGGTCGACGAGACGGTGGCGTCTTTCCAGGGGTCATATTGACTGGTTGCGGCGTTAGTGGTCTTGCGCATTGCTTGTTCTCGAGGTGATGGACTTACCCGTTCGTCCAGATCAACCGCGTGGAGTTCCCATTCAAGAACCATCCATCGGTCCAGGCGTTGAAGGTGTTAGCGCTCTTGCCCTTGGCGCTGCCGTACGTGTAGCCGTTAACTTCGGGGAAGTACAGCGCGCATTGTCGCTGCCAGTAATCCGCGCTCACGAGACGGGGGACAAGCGTCGTCTCGCTCGTGGGGGCTCCACTATTTTCAGTCAGTCACACATCGCGCTGGGTAGCTGGGTCTGGATTGAAGGTACGTACTCCTGCCACCAGAAGAAGGGCTCGTTGCACAGGAACCATTGCCATTGGCGGTCGACGGTGTTGTCGACGGAAGTATCCGTGAAGAGGGGGCTGGTGGCGTTGTAGGTGTCGTAGCAGGCCACGCTGTACTCGTCGGACCAGTAGCCGTACGAAGCGCAATCTAAGGTTCTGGAGTTAGCCGAGCGCTCGTCTCGTTTGGCCTGGGCAACTCACAGCCGGGGAAGGTCTTTGTCTTGAACCAGTTGGCATAGCCCTTGAGGGCCTTCTCCAGGCCGACTCCCTCCGCGCCGGGGGTCACAGCGGCACCGGCCTCGACGTTCTGTTACCGGTTAGCAAGTCACCTACCCAGACGAGGCACGATTACGCTACAACAAACATACCTCGACAGCATCGCAGAAAGCAAAGAAGTCCGAGTAGCCGGTCGCGAAGGTGTTATCCTGCCAAAGGTAAGGCCCAACGGGAAGAACACTGTTCTGGTCAGCATGCCTGCACTCAATCCGAACGCAAGGAATGACAATGAACGACTCACGCTGCAAAGTCATCGAAATGCTCGAGAGCCTCCAGGCCAAACAGCTTCTTCAGTTTCGTCTGCTGAGCCTTGGTGCCCGTCTTGCCAATCTTATCGACATGCTCAGCCACCAGCGAGACGTCCTTGCTGCAGTTCTTGGCCATGCCGTCCTGGATGGGGCGGAAGTATTGCCACTGTTCGGTCAGTTACGGATGCACACCAGCCACGGAGCAGGACTACTCACGAAATCATAGATTGACTCGACGGGAGCACTAGTCGCGTGGTAAGCCCAGAAGGTTCCGGGCGCCAGATGCTCGGTCCAGGCCGTCAGGGCTCCACTGTAAGAGCCACCGACGAGCACCCACGGCTGTAGCAGATCATCAACAGGTGTCACCCAAACCGTCAAGCAGCTAGACCACTTACCACGTGGGGCGCATTGCTGCTAGTGCTGTTGCGAGCGAACCCCAACTTCACATTTTCCGCAAAGTATGTCAGATCGAGAACAGATTGCTCCAGGGTGAGGTACTGAAGGGTCTCCGCGGTGAGGTTGGGGTAAGGCGAGGAGCCACCCCAGTAGCGGTCTATCCACGTTAGTCGCACAATACACGTGGTCGGACCACGGCCAACTCACGCTCAACCAGAACCACCGCTCCCTGCAGCTGCTGCGCATAGACACCCGTCAGGGTTGTATTGGTCAAGTAGCCTTGATATCCGTCGGCTGAGACCTCGCCGGGGGTGAACAGGACAACCGGAGAGCCAGGGCCACCCCAGTACTGGGCGCTGTACCAGTAACGCTGGGAGAAGGTACCCTTGGACGGATCACTGTGGTCGATCAACTGCTCGAACGTGCTTTCTACCACGGAAGATTCAGCGGCTTGGCTCGTGGCAGCGATCGGACGCGGAGCAAGACGGGGAGGCCGAATGGCTGCCGCGAGCGATGCCCACAGAGCCGTCACGGCCACAACACTGACAGGGGAGCAGAACCGCATGATCGCCGTGCTGGGGATTCAAAATCACGAGCGATCGGGAGAGTGAAGAATCGCACGATCGGCCTGTGCAAAAGTCGCGGGGGCCTGCGAGCAATTTATGAACGCGTCGAGGGGTCCGTCCGTCGCGGCACGGGCGACGAGCCGACAGCAGGAAATGAGCCGGCCATGGTGCGCAAAATGCAACCCTGTGCCACGCTCTGGCCGGGAAGATTGCGCACTGGGGTGGTGGTATCTGCAGGTGAATTGGCGAGGATGCAGGTTGACTGCCGATGCAGCGAGGCGGACCTCCTCTCCTTCCTCCGTCGGACAGCGTCGGGCCCGCGCCCGTGGTGGAGCCGGGTCGCACACATCGTCAAGAACCGGTGTGCTAGCTTATACCGGAAGGGGCATTAGGCTCACCGTTCAGGATGATTAGTCTGCAGGAACGGGCTTTGCCGGTCGCGCAAATTGCAGGGTTAGGGTGAGAAGAAAGAGGGGGTGGGTGAGCGTTAGGGCGTTGGTTCGGCAAGTCTAGATAACTGGCAATCTATTTGTTTATCGGCCCAATTTACACTCTTATCGGTCCAGCACGCAATGCAATCTGCAGGGGCGGGGTTTCTTCATTCCACATTCCATTTCTTCTCGCAGTGGCGTACTGTGCATTGAAATTGATGCTATGGTCTTGTTGCTCCTTGTTGAGGTCTGCATCTCTTCCAGACATACCCCTAATGCCGTTGAGCTGGGTGCCGTGAGGGCTGCGGCGGTCACTTGACCGGGCTCTCCCTTGCCGTTCCCCCTCAACGTGGACATGAACACAGTAAAGCTTTGGATAGAATCAACTCTGCGTAGTTCCTTTTCTCTCCCATAGAACTGGGAAGAAATCTCGGGGATTTGCGATGACCGTCCACTTTCCGCACGAGCAAAGATTGGAGGATACAGACAAGGGAAGGTGCGAGGGGTACTGTATATCGGCAGAGCATATGTACAACATCCGTGCGGTCGAGATCCAAATTCGAGGAGAATATGTCCCAGCTTGGGTCATGGCACCATGCTCGACCTTACACGGTTGATATTGCTGCTGTGCAGTGGTGGTGGCAGATGCGTAGCAGATTGATTTGGTCAGTTTCCTGAACAACATCATGGTATATCTCCCAAGCGAGGGTCAGGACTCGAAGCTCAGGGTTGGTGTATGCCTTAGCACGATTTCACATGGCTAGGCCAGCATTGAGTATATGGTTGTACTCCGTGAGGCTCAATTCAAGAAAGCATGCTTTTGGAGATGTCACTGTCGAATCCTCACATATGCTGGACCTGCATTATAGCGGTGGCTTCAGCGTCCTTCCCAGTTGTTTGAAGGAAACACCGGACGAGAAGGCGGCCGAATATGGCAAAAAACATCAAGCAATGGTCACATGACATGGATGCGTCACCTGATCACCTGGCCGAAGGTGGTTAGTCTCTTCCAAGGCGGCAGGGCGTGACCAGCTGCGCCATGATCTAATGTCCAGCCTTATCAACTATCACAAACGTCGCATCGTCGCATGGCATGGTCGCTGCTTCGACTGGTGGTGATAATTAGAACACCGATGTCATCAATCCTCACACTTCGATGACACCCCCGCAGGCCTGCTATACCTGCCGATATCGGCGCATTCAGTGCGATCAAGCGGCGCGACCCTGCGGAAAATGCAAGAAGGCGGGGGTGGAATGCCTGGACAAGAGACCCGTCCGATGGGTCAAGGGCATCTCCATCCGAGGCAAGCGAAAAGGGTTGTCTCTCAGCAACTCTGATGCAAGCCCTTCGACCGGATCGGCCATCATCCCTTTTGTCGTACGCTCCAGACCCTCTGCTTCAGCCATAGATCATGTAACCAAGATGGGTAAGAACCCGCCCTATCGGGAACCGATGGTCCGGAAACTAACCAGTGCGTGACCATCAGCGCCTCCCACGATGCCGTTCGAGCTCGGAGATCCTTCTGTCGCCTGCTTAGATTCAACCTCAAAATACTACTTCAGCTACTGTTAGTGCCTTCTCCACTTGGCTCACGTACATCTTTCTCATCACCAAATCACAGATGAGGACAGTATATGCAGCCTCTTCATCGTTTGCGATAGCGATAGCAACCCATTCCGAAAACTCATGTCGCTAGCCTTGAGTGACGCCACTCTTTTGAAGGCTGCTCTCGCCCTGGCAGCGCGCCACAGAGCGAACCTGGGCTATTCGTTCCAACGGTACGACGAAGAAAGCCCTCCCACTCACCTCAATGTGCACCAGGACGCCCTGGGATACAAACATCGCGCAATCAAGGCAATCTCAAATGCACTCAATGATCCGATTTTATGCGGCCAAGACAGCACCGTGGCCAGCGTGTTCTTGTTGATCTTTCTCGACTTATTGGAGTCTGGAAGCGATCGGTGGAATTTTCATCTAGAGGGTGCGAAAAAGCTGATCCGTTTCAGCCAGCACCAAGCTCGCGAGCCTGGGCAGACGGTCAAGCTCATTCGAGACTTCATTAATAGTCAGATATACCTGTAAGTGACAAGCGTCGACGCCCTCAGTACCCACAATTGATGAATGCAGCATTGAGACGCTTGGCGCGACCTTCGTGCGTCCCAATCTGTTAACGGATTCAAATCCGTTAGATCAAGCACGCGTGGTGCCCAAGGAAACACAGGCCGTAGAGCAGTCGTTTCTCGGCTGCCCAGACTACCTGTTGATTGCCATTCGATGCATTTCGCTCTCGCGCGACGCAATCCACGATCCTTTCGACCAGGAGACATTGGAGTACCATAAGTACAACGTGGCATCGGTCGTACAGATGGTGACGGAGTTTGATTGCTGGGCCTGGGCCGTTAACTTGCCACAGTCTGACCAGACCCAAGAGAATGCGATAAACGACCTTTGCATGTTAGCTGCGTCCTACAAGCTCGGGGCCGAGATCTACGGGCAGCGCGTTCTCGACACTCTATGCCACACGAACACTTCAATAACCGATCTTCTAATCCAGTTGATCCATTCCATCGAAGCACTCTGCGCCAGCGACAATCTTCTCAAATGTGCTCTATGGCCGATCTGTATTGCAGGCTTGGAGTGCGACCAGGCCGGGGAAAGAGACTTTTTGATTCAGTCGCTCGAGCAATTCTGGGACAAAACAAAATGCGTCAACGTGATTAATGCAGCCAAGATCTTGCAAGCGCATTGGCAGCGCAGTGGCCGTCAAGCACGGGACTCCTCGCCGTGGATCATTGATATTGGGCTATCCGGGCGTGATTGGCTTCTGATTTAACCCGGGGCTTGTGCAGGTTGTGGCTGAAGCAGCTGGAATCCATGACGCGGCTAACCTGTTTCGGAAGAAATGGATGTGGCGGGGCCCGGGCGAAAGAGGCCTTTCCGCATACGGAAAGTGAGGGGAGTGGGGCCCGTTCTCATGCGCCACACTGCAATCGTCAGATCTATATAAGATCCTTCATGTCAAGGTCTCCGCACGAGGAAGGTCTTCAACCGAAACTCTTTACTTTCCGACCGCTCACTAGCAGTGTCCGACATGGCTCCAGGTCAAGCTCATCCTGCAACACGTGCACTTCATGCCGACGACCCTCTGCATCTGGTGACCGACGTCGCTCCACCGATTCATCTTTCGACCATCTTCCGCTTCCCCGACAATCCCGATGAATTGATTCCGTCTGTGGATCCTGTCGTACGTGATTGACTTGGGATCTGTGGCTCGTGTATCTTGGCTAACTTCCCCAGGACGAGTTCACCGGCAAGAACTATGTCTATTCCCGTGAATTCGCGCCCAATGCAACCCGCTTCGAATCCATCCTGACCAGTCTAATCGGAGGACATGCCGTGAGCTACGCCACCGGTCTCGCGGCCCTCACTGCAGCGCTCACTCTGTTGAATCCTCGACGTATTGCGGTGGGACAAGGCTACCACGGTAGCCATGAAGTCATTGCCGTGATTTCCCGCCTGTCGGGGCTGCAGAAGCTCGACTTAGACTGCCCTGCTGAGAGCTTGGAGAAAGGGGACGTTGTTCTTTTGGAGACGCCGATCAATCCGTTGGGCACGGCCTTTAGCATTGAAGAGTATGCCATGAAGGCGCACTCTCGCGGCGCATACCTGATTGTCGATAGCACATTTGCGCCACCTGGTTTGCAGGACCCTTTCCAATGGGGAGCAGACCTCGTCTTGCACTCGGGGTCCAAGTACTTTGGCGGCCACAGTGACATGTTGTGCGGTGTTCTCGCAACCAAGGACGAAAAGTGGAAGAAGCAGCTTATCGAGGATCGCGTGGCCGTGGGCAACGTGATCGGAAACCTGGAGGCCTGGTTGGGGGTGAGGAGTCTACGGACTCTGGAGGTTCGCGTGCAGCGCGCGAGCCAGACCTGCGGCACACTGGTTTCCTGGTTGGATCAGGCAATGAAGTCCGCCAATACCGCTCCAGGTAGTGATGAGAGCGTTGTGCAGTCTGTGGTGAGCACCATATACCATGCAAGCCTGCAGGATGAGCCGTGGCTGCAGAAACAAATGCCTAACGGGTTCGGCCCGGTCTTCGCGATTGTGCTCCATAAGGAGGATTTCGCACGGACCCTGCCCAGCAAGCTGAGCTTCTTCCAGCATGCGACCAGTTTAGGGGGCGTGGAGTCGCTGATCGAGTGGCGCGCGCTGTCTGATTCTCGTGTCGATCGGAAGTTGCTGCGGATCAGCGTCGGTCTCGAGCACTGGGAGGATTTGAAGAACGATCTGCTGCAGGCTTTCAAGGCGTTGATCGATGCTTAAATTTAGCTGAGGAATTAGCCATGCTTCTTTCCGGTGCTGCGAAAAAAAGGATATCATCATTAGCCGCGTGTTTTCAATGTTTTGAAGTTATAGTGTCAATTTAGCGATCAAATCACTTTGTTCATCACTACCTTGCCGTCTGCATTCTAAGCTCTCGTGCAAACTGCCTGCGTATACCATCTAAAACAGGGTTCTTGGAGACATGGCTGGATCGTGAGGAATAGGTATGAGGTTCCGTTGGGTTTGAAACCAGCATATATGACTCGCTTTTGACCTTAGCGAGTTGACAGGTGTTACTGACCCTGACCCTGACCCTGACCCTGCGTAGGAAGGGACCTCCTCCTCCCCGCACCAACTGTGTTATGAATTCACCTTGGAAATCCCCGTCAAAATTCACCTGGAATGTCGATCCTCCAAGGCTCATTACTCCGACCCGCTGAGCAGGTGATTGTCCAGTATCGCCTTCAGGAGCCACAGCGATATTCCAACTCCACTTATCAACACGGTCGTCATTATGGAGCCGTTGCGTGACCCCAATCCAACAGCCGCACACACCGCAGCGATGGCCGCTCACATCCTGGAAAGTTCTGGTCGCATCCCCTACCTACTTTGGGGCCATTTAGCTGTGCGACTGGCCGGTGGCCGCGACTTGAGTAGCCCACACCTACCCGACAATGAATGTTCCTTCGTTGTAGACGATGCCGATCTGACACGGGCTGTTCGGGTCCTGATGTCTGGCGGATTCCTTGAGTGCACGCTTCGATGGCACTGTCGCTACCGTCTCGGTAGCCCGGGCGCGCGACTGACATACGACGCTCACCTGCACACATCTGAACGCGATGAGCACGACACCGGCCTTTTGCTCTATAACCAGTCCCGCATCATCCCCGATCTGAACGGAGCGATGATCCCCGGGCCTCCAAGTCCACACGGGCCTCTGGTGCCGTACATGTTCTCCAGCGATCCGAACACCGTCCCTCCACGTAATGGGGACCGGGGTAGTGGGTACTGGCGCGGGTTGTGGCCAGTGCGCGCTCTAAAACCGAGCGTGCTGACTGTGGCGCTGCTGGACTGTATCCTCCGGGACTTTGCAACTCAGAGGGGCCTAATCCTCGAAGAATGGCTCGCGCTGCTCGTGCGGGTGATAGAACCGGCCTATCCCCCAACGATGAGGCTGCCACCGCGCTATCGCGCCCTGTGGAGGGCGTGTAACTCCCGAGTGGTCGAGGACGAGTGGCAAACGACCTTTCTGGCGCAGCTGGTGTGCAGGAACTACGAGTACATCCCGCACCCGGATGATGAGGAGGAGAACGACGCCGATGTAGCCCGGAGAGCAGACTTTATGGTTTCCAGAACGCAGTTTGTCAACGACGGTAGATGGCTGTGAAGAGATCGAGATTGATGACGAGGTTGATGGGGTTGACGGCGCATATATAGCATTGCGGAGGGCATTCCTATGTTGTTCTAGTAGCATCGCAAGAACAACCAACTCCGAATTGTATTCAAAAAAAAAAAAAATACGTCTGAGTCCAGGGAGTGAAGTAGTTACGTGGTCCAGAGTACTGTGATTATCCAGTGCAAAATTGCTGATATTCTCCGTCTTTCGGCAGCCAATCATCATTTTTGCCGCGGACTCGTCTCTCCACTGCTCCATTTCGCCATTCTGCCATTCATGCTCCGTACAATTGCATAAGAACACGCAATCCCAATGTCCTTCGAGTGGCAGCTTGGGCGACCGCCACCTAAGCGAAGGGGTCGTATCGCGCATTCGTGTGACGCCTGTTTCACGCGCAAGGTATTGCACTTGCTTCCCGAGCATTCTGCGCATTCTGAGCAGAGCTAATCCTGGCAACACAGATCAAGTGCAATGCCACAAGCCCGCGATGCGACTGGTGTTCCCATCAAAACATCCCATGTACCTTCGAAAGAAACAAGCAGTAGGCTGAACAGCACATAATAACCACGTACTTCTCATTAACCATCACTTTCACCTACACAGAAAAAGTCCCGTCAATCCACAGGAGCGAGAAATCCACCCAAACCCAAACACCGCGCAACCATACCAACCATATGCGCCCAGTTTCACTCAAGACCTGCATTTCGCCGGGCGCCATCTGGGGAACATCTGCACCTTCGATGGAGTGCCGTTTTTTTCTGCCAGCGGGCGCGAATGGATTGCTGCCTGCACGGGGGACGACTTCAGTTTCCGTCAGCCATCGTCTGAATCAACCCTGGTGCAGCAACCACCGACCCCGGTGGCAAACGCAGCCGAGCTCCCTCTACCCGACCTGGGATTTCTCTTCAACGAGCTCAGACACTATCAAGCATCCACCTTTGCACTGTTCTTCCCGGTCATCGACGCATACCTCTTCGAGAGCACGATCAAGGCGGCGTACAGCCGGGAACACTCGGCCGCGTCCCCCGGGATGAACAGCGCACGCGCGTGCATCTTCGCCTTCCTTGCGTTAACCTCTCTGACGGTGCATGGTCCGAAAGGATATCCACTCCGATACAGTGATCAATACTTCGAAGCTGCGCAACGGCTTTTGCCGGCTGTCTTTGGTGAACCTGTGTCCGTGGACGGGCTGCAGACTGTCTTATTACTGGTACGTCCTTATCTATTATGCTCATTGAACTCCCAAATACTGACTCAAAGAAGTGTCTGTGTTGCCAAGGTCTAGCAGGGAACCTTTATCTAGTCGACCACTTCCTCTCAACCGCCGCGCGATTCATCTACTACCTCAAAGGCAACGTATCCCCGCACAGCACCACCGACCGCCCATCACCCATCGACCACCACATCCGGGAACTCTTCTGGATCATCTACGTCTGCGACAAGGGCCTGACGATGGTGACTGGCCTTCCCCCACGCCTCGAAGACAGCCACTGCGACCTGACGCTCTCACCCGACACCCAACCACCACAAATCCGCGGCGACCCCTCTCCTGGAACCTACCTGCACACCTACGCCCGCCTCGCAACCCTCCAATCCCGCATCTACTGCGATCTTTACTCCCCGTCAGCCCTCCGCCAATCCGACGCAGACCTGCTGCGCACGATCCGCGACCTCGACCACGACCTGGAAGCATGGAAGACCACCCTCCCTCCCGTAAACCAGCCCTCATTTGCAGCGGGCCGACGCACCCCGCAGCACCGCGATATGCGGTTCTCGATCTTCCATGTGCAGTACCATCACTGCATGGTCCTGATCCACCAGACGAGCAGTCGGTGTGCCGCCTGGGTCCGGAACCAGGATACACGAGGGACAAGCTCGAGCCTGGCGATTTCCGTTGCGGCCAGTCGGGCGCTGTTGGAGGAGTTCCTCGAGTCGAGGTTGGAGTTGGGGCCGGAGAATCTTCTGTAGGTCCTATTTGTCCCATCTTCTTGAAAAGTGTGGTGCTAACGGTGCTAATGGGTCAAGGTTCTCGTTGTCGTATTTTATCCAAGCCGTGATCGTGCTTTTCTGCCATGTGCTCTCGCAGCCGCTGGAAGGCGATACTCAGGAGGTCCTGCGGCTGATGGGGCGGATCGCGGAGCTGATTCAGAGGTCGGCCTACCAGCAGCACCATAGGTGCTATACCATGCGAATCGAGACGGCGAGGGGCATTATCATGGAGTTGAGACGGCTGGCGGAGTGTGCCATTGTTAAGGCGAGGGGGGATGCGAGTACCATGTAGCCAGGCGATTGAGTTGAGCGAGAGCTTTTTCTATTCATGTGCATGCGAAACATGTTCCTGGTGTTCCGTATATGTATGCATTAGCTATTATTGTGATAAAGAACATCTCTATCATGATGTACAGGAGCCGCAGACCCAACAGGACCCAATGCAATTTGCCACTGCATCTCTAAACTGTCAATTGGAACACCTGGACGTATACGTCGGCAATCACTGCTCGACATTCCGGTATCCCCGTCGACCCCACTCACTCTGCCGCCACTGCTTCTTGTACGTATCCATTTCGGTCGATTGGACTGGACTCTGCGGGCTTTCAGCCAGCGCCCGCTCCAGCCGACCCTGGCGCCGTTGCCGGATGCAGTAGAGCACGAACACCGCCACGGCCGCGGCAGCAACAACCGCGGCGGCACAGTACACCGCAACATGGGCAGCAGTCGGAAGATCCGCCCAGTTCTGCGCCAGAGTCTTCTTGGGCGTCTTGTTGATCTCCGCTTTCGCCGTCGAGTTCCCGCTAGACTCACCCGTTAGATCACTCTCCCCCCCCCCCCCCCCCCCCCCCCACCAACCCCCCCAAAAAAAAAAAAAAAAAAAAAAAAAAAAAAAAAAAAAAAACACTCACCTCACCACCTTGATGCTCTCATACAACCCCGACCGATCCGTATACTCATACTCCTTCCCCGTATGAAAGTCCTGCACGCGGATCCGCTGCACCACCATAGTAAACGGCAGATCATCCCAATCCACCAGCCCGCCCGCCCACTCGATATTCCCGATCGACTCCGACGGGATCCCTGCCGGCCACACACTCACCTTGACGCGACACGGCGTCTGGGGGTAATTGCGGCCGTACACCGTCAGCGGCTCGGAGTAGTTGACGGTGCGCACCAGCTGGCCGTCGATCCACCACTCCAGCCGGTCCCGGTCCCAGAACGAGGTATAGTTGTGGAACTGGGTGTCCGCGTCCGCGACGGCGTGGAACCCGCCGCGGTCGCTGGTGGTGGTGTTGCCCTTGCCGAAGAAGTCCGACTGCACCTCGCTGGTGTTGTAGCCCACCCACTCCCAGTCGATCTCGTCGAGGTCGTCCGACTGCAGGATCACGCTGCTGATGATCCCCGCGCCCGCGGCCATCTTGACGTGCGCCTCCACCACTCCAAAAAAGATGTAGAAGTTCGACTGCAGCAGCGTCGAGCCGTTCACGCTGTGGATCGTGAAGTTGGCCCCCTCCGAGGTGTATTCCGGCGTGCCGGTCGTCATGTTCCAGAGGCTGCTATCCAGCGTGCTGTTGAACCACCAGGTGTGCTCCGTGCCGAGGGCGGCGTCGGCCGGGCAGGTCTTGTTCAGCGGGTTGCAGTCGGTTTCGTCAGCGAGGGTGAGGGTGGGGAGGGTGAGGAGGAGGGTGAGGAGGAGGAAGGGCAGGAGGAACATTTTGGCGGGTCGAGGTCAAGGCCTTGTGTAGGCACAGTGCATGGGTAGCTGGCTTTGACTGTAGGTACGAGGACGTCGGAGGGCTTGGGATATATAAAGCCTGGCGCAGATCCTGATTGTGTGCATCCATGGCAAAAGGGGCAGAAAAAAATTGAAAAGCAACAGCCAACAGGCTGCCTAGAGTAAGACACCGCGTGAAAGGGTCCACTGGGGTTCTATTTCAAGACATCGTGACATCGGTGTTGAAGTGTGTTGGTATGGAGATGCATCGCTTATGGGTTGTCGCTTCAGCGTCTCTTGTGGTTGGATATCGGACTGTGTCGCCCTGCATCACAGCTGCCACCCTGGAGTCGAGCATTGCTTCTTGAGAATTCAGCAGACACAGTAACCAGATATAAGGGACTTTGCCCGTGGTGGGAGAATTTTGTATGATAGGAGGTCTGGAATAGATCGAGAAGCAACATTCGATCTATGGAATTCTCCGACGCCTTCCCCGACCCGGCATGGTGGGGGTGACTAAGCGGACAAATGACTGCGCTTTAGCCTGGATAGGCATGGTGGTGATTGTAAGTGCAAACACAACAAAACTCGCGCAGGCGAGATGGCGGTGAGAGAAGGCAGGAGCGTCTCCGAGGGAATGACGGCATCATCTCAACCCATGACTTTCTCCTCTCGTCCTTCTCCTCTCTTCATAATATCACTCGTTATCACTCGATAGACTGGCCCCCACCTGCTCCACCTGTTGTCCACGGTATCAATTTCCTCTCCCCTACTTTCTCTCTCTCCCCCTCTTCTCTCCTACCTCTTTCTCCGTGCCAAATCAATCAACAGATTGTTAACTGACAGATACTCGCTCTCAAGATGCGTCTTTATCTCTCCGGTCTCTCGCGACGAGCCTTCAAACCGTACGTTGCCGAATTTCTCGGCACCGCCCTCATCATCGTGATCGGCGATGGTGTCGTGGCTCAAGCCCTGCTCTCCGACTACCAGTATGGCACCTGGCTCTCTATCAACCTGGCCTGGGCGGCCGCCGTTTGTCTCTCCGGCTACATCGCGGACCCTAGTCCTGCCAGCAATCCCGCCATCTCCCTCGTCATGGCCTTCGTCCGCCCGCAGCCCGATCAGTGGCGGAAGCTGCCCGGCAAGCTGTTGGCCCAATTCCTGGGCGGTTTCGTGGGCGCGGCCATAGTCTACATCAACTACCGGTCGGCCATCTTGGACTGGGACCCGGAATATACGATCCCGGGGGGTTCGATTCTGAGCCCGCGGGGTCACCACTCGGCCGGCATCTTCTCCACCTATCCCGCCAGCTTCTTCTCCTCCAATTGGGAGGCGGTCTTCTCGGAAGTCCTCGGATCGGCCGTGCTCATGTTCGGCTCGCTGAGTGTGTCGGACCCGGCCAATGCCCATCGCTTCCACTCGCCCCAGTTCTCCATGTTTGTGCTTCTGCTCGCCATTGGAGCAGCGCTGGGCTGGCAGACTGGCTACGTAGGTGCCCTCGTGATTTGATTTGTGTGTAGAATGCTAACCGCGTTTGCTCCTAGGCGATCAATCCCGCACGCGACTTCGGCCCGCGTCTTTTCTCGGCCATCCTCTACGGTCGCGAGGTATTTACCGCCGCCAACTACTACTTCGTCGTGCCCTTGTTTGCCCCCGTCGTCGGATGCTTTGTGGGAGCCACGGTCTACGATTCGCTGCTGTACGAGGGGGATGGATCGCGCATTGCGGACGCGCTGGACAAGGCCGAGGACGTGGACGGGGAGCTGCGCCTGCATTAGCGGACTGGAATATCGACGACTGCATGTTTTGCCATGAATGACCACGACAATGAACCCACGGATCGTCTGGACGATACCGCCTGGCACGAACACCACCTGGACAACGGAGAGCGCGATAGACTGGATCTGGATACACGGTTGCTCATAGATGGTAGACGAATATCCTAGAATACATTTATTTTAGATGCAAATGACACAAATGAATGAAAGGGGACCGCGTGATGCGTTGCATGAAGACGTACAATCGGCCAGGGCTCGATGATTGTCTCCGGTCGGCTTCGGCGATAAAAGCGGGATCAGGTCCATGCGCCAGCTCTTTCGGTCGGTGACTCATGCGAAAAACTTCAACTTGGAACAAACACTGCTCGAGGTGAACTACACCGAATTGACTCGACAATCAAAGCCCATCAGACTGCAATACATCCTCCCTCGCTCATTGAACGGTAATTCCAGGATCGCCAGATTAAGGCCGCTGATCAAGCCCTGCTAATCTCCATCGGCAGCGCGCAATCCATGGCGTCCAACCCGTACACGCTGTACTACTCCCCCGGCACGGCCAGTCTGTGCGTGCACTGGATGCTGATCGAGGCCAACCTGCCCTTCGATGCGATCCCCGTCGACTTCGCCACGGGGGCCCAGCACAGCGAGGCCTACCGCCGATTGAACCCAACCGGCCGCGTCCCCACGTTGATCGTGAACGGCGAGGCTCACGGGGAATGCACGGCCCTGCTGATGCTGCTGGCGGAGCGCCATCCCGACCGCGGACTGATGCCCGCAGTGGAGGCCGCGAACCGCCCGCTGTGGCTGCAGACGATGATTTACCTGGCCAACACGGTCCTTCCCGCCATGCGCGACTGGTTCTATGCGGACAAGGACGGTCCGGCCGAGGGCGCGACCGCAGTGCGTGCCTTGGCTCGATCGCGGATTGAGGGGACCTGGGATCTATTTGATGCGCGATTGGCAGGATCAGCGGGCTCCCTCAGATCGCCTTCGACGGAGGGAGCTCCAAAATACCTTGTAGGGGAGACCTTGACGACGGCGGACCTTTTGGCAGTGATGCTGATGCGCTGGTCGCGCGACATGCCCCGACCGGCGACGAGTTGGCCGCACCTGGCCCGTTACGTGGATCACCTCACAGCCCTGCCTTCCTTTCAGGAAGTCTGTCGTCGCGAAGGATTGTCCGATTGGCCCCCGTCCAGGGTCGGGGGTGGTGATGATGGTGACGAACTGAGGATGTAATGAGGAGCAAGTGAGCTATCCAGGACAGGAACGTATGTATCCAGCTTAGTCGGTCTTGCTATTATAGTCTACGCTCACCATCGAGCTTTCCCCCTGCGCCTTAAAGGGGATTGTAAACCTGTAACATAAATCAGATTACAGCTGTGTATTTGTGGAGATTGATACGAATGAACCTGTCAATCAATCAATCAATGCGAATCAGAGGTGATGGATCAAGTCGCACGGGCCGGGGGTTTGAGCAAGAGACCCAATGACTTCACCATCAGAGAATTCACGATCCCCAGGCATTCCTGGATTGACTGCGGAATTATAATTCCAGCTGTTATAGGCCTCCAATTGCCCATTTGGGCATGATTGACAGGGCTAGTCTTTAGGGGACGGTGATTGCCTGACGCAACCCCTTTCATATGGAGTACGGGAGGTCTGACAGACCACTTGGGCACATCAGACTCAATTATCAGAACTGCGCCGATTTCCCTTTGCAGAGTCAATCAAAAGCCCTATCGCCGATCTGCCGACGGCTCTACTTCCGTAGTACGGATTGCATTCCGCCTTGCAGCAGAACTCTGTTGATGGGTGTCTCAACTCTGCTGTCAAACTCTGACTGCTTGCGACCCTTGGTTCGGCCGAAGGAAACCTCCTGCCGCATGAGGCTGTTAGTGGTGGATACATCACAAAGATGGGTCTTGCAGCGTCGACATCTCCACTGTAGCCCAGTGCTTGCTGCTGGTTGGGGCTCGCGGTGACAGGTGCCATTTGCAGGTGCATGCGTCGTTCACTCAAACGGTGACCGTTTCACCTGCGCAACCTTAACGCTCGGTCGCAAAAATGGGGCGAGGCCCTCCCCGTGCAGCCCGCCAGGGATTCGATGGTTCACATCAGTGGGGCTGGCTTAAATTAAGTCTTGCCTTTGATCGCAATCCCTCTTCTAGACTGATGATGCTTCCCCGTTGATCCGCGGATTTCCCCTGCAGTGGCGGTTGGGTTTGAGGTATCTAAATGGCGCCATGTTCGCATCGCTGTGCTCTGCAGACAGGGCTGGTACACAGTCTGTCTGTCTTTGCGGGACATTGACGTTGACTTTCCTGTCAATATTTTTCTTTCTCTTTATTTCCTTTGTGGAAGTTCACTCAGCCAGACTGAGTCCATTCTTCCGCCGCCATGCCAGGAGGGCTGCATCCGCCATTATCGGTGATCGAGTCATGGCCAGCACCCAACACCGTCAACCCCGACTCGCATGGCCCGGCCGCCATTGTGGTCGCTGCGGTCTTCGGCGGGATTGCAATCGTGACGGTGATGGTGCGGCTGTACGCACGGTGTATTATTCAGCACCAGGGCGGCATCGATGACATCCTGATTGCGCTGGCGCTGGTATGTGACGTCGCATCCTGCTCATCTTTGGCCCGAAACTAACCACCACCAATCCAGCTACCGACCCTCGGCCTCATCATCGCCGTTCCGATAGGTAAGTATCTCCCCATTCTTCGGGAAACTACCGGCTGACCGAGAATCCCACAGCCAGCGAAGTCTATGGTGAAAAGCACCACTCGTGGGACAACAGCCTCGCGGATCTGATCGGCGAGCGCAAAGTGGCGGCGGCCTCAGAGCTGTTCTACGTGCTGGCGTCGGGGCTGATCAAGACCTCGGTGCTGCTGTTCTACCGGCGCATGAGCCAGCGGACGGTGTCGCCACGGTTCCGCGCGCTGATCTGGGTCAGCATCGGCTCGGTGGTGGCCTACAGCGTGGCGTTCGTGCTGGCGCTCTTCCTCTCTTGCCGGCCTCTGCGCGCGTTCTGGCGCCAGGTCGACCCGACCTGGGCGCTGACGCACCACTACAGCTGCTACGACGAGGGTGCGCACCTGATCGCGGCGACCTCGATCAGCCTCGCGCAGGACCTGCTGGCCACGACCCTGCCCGCGGTGTTCTGCATCCGCCTGCACATGCGCCGCCGCCAGAAGGTGGCGCTCACGGCCGTCTTCTCGGTCGGATATCTCACGGCGGTCGTCGCGGGGATCCGCATCTACTTCCTGTGGCGCATGTTCTACGCCACGTACGACGGGTCCTGGATGGCCTGGTACTGCTGGGTGCTGGCCCTGCTGGAGGTGGCCCTTGCGGCGACCTCGGCCAGCTTGCCGGCCGTCAAGGTGTTCTTCCGGTGGTACCAGGTACCCTCCAGCCTGGCGGGAAAGCTGCGGTCGTTGAAGTTGAGTCACAGCCACAGTACGCGGACGGCGACGGGCCAGTCCGGTTCGCACGGGGGACACAATCGGGAGCGGGAGCGCGGTCGGCAGTCTGGCGATACGGACCAGTATTTGGTGACGACGGAGACTTCGGGGGATGAGCATCCCAGAATGGTGGAGTTGGAGGCGTTATCGTCGCCGTCCGGTGAGGGGGAGGAGCGGGAGCTGAGCAAGGGGACGGCGGAGAAGAGCTGGCAGTGCGATCGGGATGCCATTGTTTGATTGCCCTGTAGGTTGTGACATGTACATACCATCAATAAAGCGAGTTCATGAGCAATCGAAAGTGCAGTACTTAAGGAAATACTCACCCACCCTAAAGTCATCACGAACGATCACTGACAAGGAAGGCTAGGGCCAACCGCGCGAGGGCGTTACTTTTCCCGCGGCGCAGGACTCCACAGTGGGGATCGCGTCGAGATACCGTTGGCTTTGGGCATGCGATCGCGCATCCAACCGCCTAAACGGGTTAACTTACCCGGTCGGCACCGCATTCTGCTCAGTGGGAACGGATGGCCGTGCAAAATGGCGACATTGGTTGGCGGTGCATTGTGTATGTCCCCGCATGAGGGGATGGGGGAATGCTGCAGGCATTTTCTGCATGTTCTGAGGGGAACCTGGGCTATATAACCACTGTCAGTAGACTGGCGAGCTCGTTGGCAGAGTCCCCTCAGTTTTCTACCACTTTACTTACCTGCTATTACCTATCGTTTCTCTCACACATCCTCCAACACCGAAAGAACCCCCCAAAATGGCCATCTCACTGCACCCCCTCCTCGACAAACCCATCCAGAAAGGCTCCCCCAACTTCACCGGCGGAACCCTCAAATGCCACTGCGCCACTCAACCCGTCACCGTAAAGATCAGCAGCAACGTCGCCCACAACCACGCCTGCGGGTGCTCCAAATGCTGGAAACCGAAGGGTGCCCTGTTCTCCGTCGTTGGCGTCGTCCCGCGGGAGAAGGTGCAGGTCTTGTCGCACGCCGACAAACTGGCTATTGTGGATGAAGCGGCCGTCATCCAGCGCCACGCCTGCACGGCCTGCGGGGTGCATCTGTTCGGGCGCATCGAGAAGGACCACCCCTTCAAGGGGCTGGACTTTGTGCACGTGGAGCTGTCGGAGCAGCAGGGGTGGCAGGAGGTGCAATTTGCCGGATTTGTCTCGTCGATCATCGAGCAGGGGTTTCCCCCGAACAAAATGGAGGAGGTGCGGGGTCGGCTGCGTGGGCTGGGGCTGGAGACGTTTGATGTGTTGGCGCCCGGGTTGATGGATGCTATTGCGGCGTGGACGGCGGAGAGGGAGGGGAAGCTGAAGGCATCGCTTTAGGTCTCTGTTTCCGGGGAGGAAGGGTTGGGTGGGGTTGGCGATGCTTTTTGTGAGAATATTAGCGATGGACTTTGTGAGAACTATGCTGGACTTTAAATGACAATGTTAGCAGTCAGACGCTGAAAGGATGGCGAGGAGGATTTTGCGATGGTGTGCGTTTGACTGACTGGAATAACCACGGAATGAATCACCGACGATAGGTGGTTTGGTGTGAAGGATCAGGAACCCGTTGTGGTAAACTTGTGGAATTCTGGACGTGGTTGTAGATCGTCGATGATGCTAGTGCTGGGATTTGATGTAAAGGAAATGAGATTCTTATGCTCATGGGATGCAGTGGACGTAGACTTAAAGGGCAGACAGTGGTTTTGTAGATGGGAAGATTGGGTACCTTGGAGGCTACTAGTGAGGAAGAGTGAGGAAGAAGCAAGCACAGTACGGTATACTCGGGATTCGCTCCTGCCTGCAGAAGTGGGTGGCTGAAATTTGTCAGCACGGAGGAGAGGTCGTACTGGATCTGCCGAATGTTTGAGACAGCACATTGGTAAGCGGCATCCTGCACCCGGACGTTTACCAGAGCTGACTGTTATGTACTGTACGCCGATGACGACGCAGAAATACGGTCATTAAAGGTACGATTGCTGGCTCTTTCCTGTTCCAGAGACTACGAAACTGGTTCTGAGTGACTTGGCAGACGTTGTTGCTGACCAATTCAAGAGCAGGGCTGGGTTGAGCAACCCCCTTCCCTCTCACAATTCCTTGGCGGGGACTTATAAATGAGACGGTTTAGTACTTCAAGGAAGATAGGAAGTTAGAGAATAACAACCTCATCTACGACCAATTTTTGTAATCCTCTCTCAACATGGCCGACCTCTCCAAAACCGCCCTCGTCCTAGTCGACCCCTACAACGACTTTCTCCACCAGGACGGCAAACTCACCCCGTTGCTGAAAGACCTGGAGGAGAAAGGGACCGTCAAACACATCGAAGAAGCCGTGGCTACCGCTCGCCTGCATCGTATCCCAGTTTACTACGGCCTACACCAGCACTGGACCCCCTCTGCCTTCCAGGAATGGCGACACATGACCCCTAACAACGTCAAGCAGGAGAATATCAAGTTCTTCGAAGCAAACACGTTTGGTGCTCAAATTTACCAAGGCTTGGAACCTGATCCCAACAACGGGGATGTGGTTGTAAGTCGACACTGGAACAGCGAGTGAGTGTTTCCCTCCGACATTGTAGCATATAGCTGAGCTATTGCTAATCTGAATATGCTGGGTGAAGCTCCTTCCAGAACACGGACCTGGACTTTCAGCTGCGCCAGCGCGAGATGATACACCTAGTACTTGCAGGTCTGACGGCCAATACATGCCTGGAGGCTACTGCGCGCCATGCTTTTGAGCTGTGAGTTTGTTTTTAGGAGTCAAAATGTCAAATTTGTGGGATGCTAATGAGATTCTTCGACTATGTAGAGGATACCACGTGACTCTACTGTAAGAAGAATGCCCCTCGATTGATATTCACATACTAATAGGAATGCTCGGACAGCAAGGATGCAACGGCCGGTTGGTCGAAGGAGCTGACGGACGCGGCGACCGAGTTGGTCTGGCCATTGTTCGCGGAGGTGAAGACGGTGGAGGAATGGGTCGAGTCAGTGAAGGCAAAGAGAAAGGCTTAATGCTCTTCGATATCAAACGAGCAATCTGGCTGGTGCTGAGAAGGGTAGTAGGCAGCTAGTTTGGACTGGATAATGTTGATTATTTTTAGCTACTGTGTTAAATTTATCATCATCCTTAATTGGAAAGCCATTGATTGTGTGATACTGTCACGTGATATAGACTGTTTGCCCATTCTTCTGACTAATCTACTCCCGCGCCTCGGCTTGTTGACGGTAACAGAAACGTTCGAACATCTTCAATCCATCCCACCAACATACAACCACATACACCGATGGCCGTACGAAAAACACGCTCAAAACGCCCTACAAGTGGTTCAGACAATCGGCGAGTTGGTCTCCGTACCGCCCACGCGGAGACAATCTCGGAGCCGCCGGTCGGCCATTCCGAAGCGCCACCGCGGATCTCATGGGCAGACACCCTCGCCGCCTTAGAGCGAGAGCCCATAGCATCGCAGATTCAACGGCATAAACAATGGAAAAGTACGCGCTTGCCTCTTGTTGTCTGTGTAAATTGCTTCTCATTCTCACCACCCAACCTCTAGGAGACGGGTCGATCCACGAAACATACTGTCGCGTTTGCTTCCGCGAGAAGAACCTGGAGCCTTGTCTGACCTGTCGACTGGCATTCCACACCGACTGTCTGCCGACCGGTTGGATACGAGACGCCGACTACCACATGTTCTGCTCTGTCTGTGTCCGGCGCGAGTGGCATATCTCTCCGCCGACATTGACACCTCCTGCCTCACCGCGACTGACGGGGGTAGAGACGTCTGATGCAGCCCCCGCCGCCTCTCCAGCTGTCCACCACAACACTCTGTCTTCTACGTCATTGCATTATACCGATCTAACGCAACCTAAACCGCTCATCATCTCCCCGCTCCCCGAACATAGCATCACCCTTCAACCCAATCCAGCCAGCGACACCACGATCACATCAACCCATATCCCCGTCACATACCCCGACCCATCCCCCCCGCCAGCCCGCCGCAACCGCAAATCTCGGTACACGAATCTCCCCGCCGACGTCGACGCCTCGCTGAACGTCCTCTACCGCGAGCTGGAGTCGAACGCGTCGCTGCGGCTCGAGAACGAAGAGCTGCGCGAGGAGAATCTGCGGTGCCAGCAGATTATCCAGATCCGGGATCTAAGCCTGACGGCGCTGCGGCGCGAATTAGAGTATCGACGGTCTTCAGAAAAAGAGATGGAGACGCTGCGCACGACGGCGGCGCAACTGGAAGGCGCGAGGAAGGAAGTGCAGGAGCTGCAGGCGCGGAATGAGGCATTGGAGGCGGAGTTGGAGACGTCGAGGCAGGAGGCGGCTGAGGCGAGGGAGATGGTGAGTGACTGGAAGGCGAAGCTGTCCACGCTGTTGGGGAGTTGATCATATACTGAAACTACTGGGATGGCTTATGCCGTTTGGGGCTTGGATTTGTATATAAAGACATGATTCTCGTTCTTTGGCAATCGTAAGAACCTCGTAGAAGACTCTGGCTCTCTTTGACTTTTCTTCCGCTGCCCTCCAGGTCTATCCTCAAGCGCACCCGGTGAATACGGTGCCTTCTCACGTCTCCAACTTTGTACACCCTGTCGATTGTCATGGAACAAAACCCCGTACAATCCGACCCAATCAAGCTTTCGCCCTCCACTCCCACCCAACCTTGGCTACCCTCGCAGCCAACGCAGCCCCGGCACCGAGTACAATACAAATCCCCGCGAATATCTGCGCCCCTGTATAACGCCCCCCGTCTCGCGAGATCAACGCCCCCTCCAGCACCGGTCCCGTCAACGTCGCAAATCCAACAAGACTCAGAATCATCCCGATCCGCGTCCCCGTTCGCTTGATATCAGGGGTCATTGTCGTCGCAGTAGCAGGGAAGAGTGACTGCGCTGCACCGCCCACCAACCCATAGACAACCGCAAACACATACAACCCAGCGACGGTGTGGACCGCCATCCAGCATAGAATCACGATCGCAGAGGCAAAACTGAGCGGGATCAAGACGTTTAGTTTGCCCAGCCGGTCCCCGATGAGACTGGGCCCGATGCGTCCGATAATTCCCACGCCATTCAACACCAGGATCAGATCCTGCGTGTCTATTACCCCGAGACGATCGCGAGCGAAGGTTCCAAGGTAGAAGAAGGCGAAGTAGAGGCCCCAGAAGTTGAGGAACATGCTCACGGTAAAGAAGAGGAAGGGCAGCTCGGTGAAGGCGCCCCATTCGATCAGAGGACCGCTTCGTCGCGGCGGAAGACGGGGCTTGAAGAGCACCACCCCGGGCATCTGCGTGACTAGCATCAGCAGCCCCGCAGCGCGGATCGTCCACCCGAATCCAATCTGCTGCGTGTACAGCAGCTGGTTCACCAGCACGGGGTAGATCAGACCACCTGTCGCGGCCCCGGCCGCGGCTACCCCCACAGCGAAGGCGCGTTTTTCGACAAAGTATGAGGACATGATCGAGAGTCCCGGGCTAAAAGTCAGGCCATTGCCCAGACCCATGCAGACGGCCTGCGTCAGGAAGATCTGCCAGTAGGTCTTGGAGAGGGAGAGCATGAAGATGCCCAGCAGCTGCAGAAAAACCCCCAGCGAGAAGATCAGACGGAAGTAGCCTGCGTCGGTGGCGCGGCCCACGAACGCCCCAGCGAAGAAGAGGAGGGAGACCTGCACGCTGCCGATCCAGGAGATGGTCGAGGCGGACTGCGGGAGGGTTTCGGTGTAGAGCTGCTCGAAGACGGAGAAGCTGTTGCTGACACCCCAGGAGTTGAAGAAGACAAAGTGCATGCAGAGGACTTGCTTCCATGCCTGGAGTCCTCCGTCTGGAGGGGGTGGCAGCTCGCTGCCTTCTGGGTTGGGGCCTGGGTTTGGGCCTGGCGAACGAGTGGGGGCTCGAAGTGGCTTCTCGGTCCAGTTCATTCTATCCAACAAAAAAAAAAAAGAAAACAAGAAAGAACAAAAGAGAGAGGTTGCTCTATAGTAAGGCAGTTCAATGCCTTCAGGCTTTGAGGCTGGAGACAGGTAAGGAAGAAGGGTTCAGAAGGTGGGCTCGGGTGAAGACACCTCCATATGCTGCACAAGTCCAGTCAACCCTGGCAGGAGACGCAGAATGACAAATTTGATTACTGATCAATTCTTGACTCAGCACACCTAACAACTTACCGAGGAAGCTGCGTTGTGTTTGGGCACGGAGCAACACATACCTGAGCTTACCGCAGCTTACCATACCGTACCAACGGTGTGGGGCGGGGCTTGATTACCAATCTAAGTCTGCAGCTCCTTGTCGCAGTAACACTGATTTTGATAGTGATGCTGTTTTCGCACTCAACTCAGTTGCTTGGTGACAAGTTGAAGGCTCTGAGGCTCTGAGGCAGACTACCACGTGACTCTCGTCGCGTCTTCCACTTCACCTTCTCATCATGCACCACCGCTTTACCCTCCTGCCTCTTTGCAGTATGCATGCACGTTTGTCAAGTCTCGACTTGAGTCTCAATCATGTCTTTGGCAGCCGATTCCTGGTTGCGATAGATTCCTGTTTTTTTATCCGGGATAGTATGTGAGTATGGTCGCGAAAGTCACAAAGATAACCAGACTGAACACCAAAGGACATTTGTGTATCCTTGCATCGTTGATTCCTCAAGCTTACAACCAAGGTATGCCAACTTACATTACTTGCTCGAAGATTCACTGCTAATTGTTTGATCCTCCAGGAACACCCAGACCCGACGTTCTCCCCGTCCCCCTCGTCCTCCAAGCCTTAAATTGAGATTTCGATCTATTGTACCTTGACCTCGAAGCAAATTAACTTCCCTCCTCATCTATTCCAACAGCCTTGCTCGGTCTTACGGATTTCCAAAGGAATCCGGGATTAGGCACGCGGTGGAATGATCCATTAGCCGGCATCTCTGCCGGCTGGACGGGTCGATGATGCGGGTGGCATATGCGACTTCGACTCCTCACTCTAGCCGTGATTATTCGCTGAAACTCCCCAGCGGACACACAACTCTTCTTGTGCATCTATAATAAAGGTGCCATGCAAGAAGATAGACGTAGGGCAATGACCTTCTCCAACGAGGCATTCCCATCCCACAGCTTCTGTCTGAGACGTGACTTTGACAATGACCCGCAAAGCCCTGGAGGAACTCGTCGACTCAATCGCAGAAAATGGAGAGATCCTGAAGCAGCAAGTGCGGAGCGAAACCAACAATTAGCTCGGCAACTGCCTAGCTGATCCATGTAGGATGGATGAAGAGGCCTCCAAGGCGGGTCTAGCTATCATCGACGCATCGAAGCGGCTGATCCGTCTGGTGACTGGGCCATACAATCTGTTTTATGATATGATGTCCGAGGTAGCTACAGAGATCATCATCAAGAAACACCTGTCAGAACTCTCAGACGCTAACACACTACGTTCGACAGGTTTTCCAGGTCGGCGCGATCCGCGCACTGATGAACTTCGGTATTCCTCAGTTGATCCCTCTCCACGAGCCCCTAGCTGCGATCGTCCTTGAACTCCGGTCTGGGAAGGGACCCCCTCCACCGTCTAATTCGACATACGGCAAGTTACAGCTTTCTGCAGGAGGTCGAGGCCGAGATGTTCGGTCATACCCCGCTGTCGGCGCTCTGCGTGCACGACCCTGTCGCCACGCGCAGCTGCATGTGGAATCTGAACGTCACCTTTCCAGTCGCCAGTAAGATCTACGAAGGGCTCAAGGTTGACCCCACCGCCAGCGACAACACGCGCTGCGCTGCCAGTGTGGCCTATGCTTCCCCCGAGAAGCAAATCACCAATATCCGGGACTATCACCGATCGTACCCAACGCTGGAGCTGGGGTTTCAGGACTACGTGAAGGCGACGACGCGGAGTGCATACTATTCGTCCCTGCACACCGTGCGGGAATTTGACTGGTCGAGCGTACAAACTGTCGTTGATGTAAGAAGTAAAATGACCTCCCAGTGCTCGCTCGCTTTGAATACGCTAATGATGATCCTGATAGATTGGCAGCTTCTCAGGCCACGTGAGCATGGCCCTCACAGAAGCACACTCTCACCTTCACTGCATTGTCGAGGACCTACCCGACGTAATCAGCGAAGGCCGCGAGACGCTGCCCCCGACCTACGCGGACAAGATCGAATACCTCGCCCACAGCTTCTTCGAGCCCCCGCCAGTTGTCACGGTGGACTGCTTCCTACGGTTCATCCTGCACAACTGGTTGGATGAGGACGTCTGTCGGATCATCGCAAATCTGTCGCCTGCTCTGCGGCCCGGCGTGTGGGTGGTCATTGCGGACATCGTCCTCCCGGAATTGGGATCGTCTTCTGGACAGGTAGAAGCGATCGTGCGGTACATGGATAGCCGAATGCTAGCGCTGTTCGGGGGTCGCGAGCGAACCAAGAATGATCTCGTCGCGGTGGTGCCAGGGGTGGATAGGCGGCTGGTGTGGAAGTCGTGCGCGCAGCCGGAGGGGAGTGTGGCAAGCTTCCTGTCCTTTCAGTGTATTTGAGCTGTACTCGCCCTCGTAGCCAGTAGGTGATCTTTACATGGAGTTTAATGTTGAGAATGATATGAATGCATCTACTTTTAACAATTCTCGTAGAGCGCGATGCGACTTCCCTTATATATTGTTTGACCGTTAAGGCTACCTGTCCCGAGGAGAATTATCATTACCTACGCTATGCATAGCGTGAGACTATGGCATCAGATCTCGTGAACTACCGTCATCTAAATTATGATGTTAGAGAAAGTTGAAGCTGTCGGCGTTCCTGAGTAATCCAGCCACGTGATCCGGGGTGATTCGCCGAGCTGCCCACCTTGAGAACTCAGATAGTTCAACCACAATGAATTCGGAAAGTCGTTCGATAACCCACCCCTGATTCCTCATAACACCTGCAGAGACTTCGATAATGTCGATATTTGAAAGACCCGTTCACGTGGTATATAGTTATGCATCTGTCTCATGCTGCGGTTGGGGATTGACCATGCTGTTTCTTAGTGTAGCGCGGCGCAACACTCAAACCGCTTTCGCGACAAGCTTATCGAGACAAAAGCAAACACAAGACCGAACAGAGTTGACTCAGTGAGTTGGAAAGGTCCTATACATATGAAAAGATTATTCGAAATAGCCAAGAAGTCCAGATGTTCGTTGTGTTTCAAACTTATAAAGCAAGTGAGCTCAGCAGTACAGACGATCGCATCCTGCGTCGCAGGCTATTCCGCGGGATCCCTGTATTTGGCATTCAAGACGTTGCCAATCTTCAGCAGCTCCTCGCGCCAGTGAACCGAGTTCACCCGCACAATAGCCGCCGGGTCCTTGTTGGGCCAGTCGGAGTCATAGTCCAAGTCCTCGCCCAGAGTCAATGTTCCCGTCCAGAAGGGCTCGCCCAGATCGTTCAACAGGCCGGGGCCCTGGGCATCGCTGGCCTTGAGGTCCCTCCAGACGTTGACCTTGAACTGTCTTCCACGACGGAAGAAGAAGTCGTCGGGCGAAACGGCTGTCGCGGACACCTTTCCGGACACGGGCTGCATGGCGACCTCGGGGTGGTCGGTCAAGGCGAGGATCAATCCGTTGGCGAGGTCGTCGGCGCTGATGCTGTCTTCGACCCCGTCGTCGGCCGACAAGGAGACGTTGGCAGCAGAGAGAGCGATGTTCGGCGCTCGAACCAGCACGTGGGAGATATGCATGTGCTCGGGCGTACCGTAGAGGTAGAACGGAGTGTTGGTGTCCGGGTATTTCGGGTCTCGGTTCACCACGTTCAACGGCCGGCTCTTGATGATGTCATTCTCTGTGATGGTCACTTCTCCCTGGGCCAAGGAGTCCACAGTACTGGCCCATGGTATTAGTGGTCATTCAGAGGCCAAGGGACATAGGGAAGAACTTACATCTCGGGGTTCTCGTGTGTGCGAAGATATTCGGCCTTGTTGTAGATCGCTGCGGTGAACGTGAAAGCCGCGTTGGGAAGATCTTGGATCCCCTGCTGAAGATTGATTTTGTCTTGCGTGACTAAGAGGAGAGACGTTTCTGGCTTCTGACTCTTGTAGGCACGATATGTTTCTTCGAGGTCAGGGCTGAGTGCTGCGCGGACAATGAGCTGCTGCCGGAGGGTCGCAGTGTGGAACGAGGTTTGCAAGACCAGGAATGTCTTTCCGGTCTCCTCGAACCCTTGCAGGAGGAATTGGGCCTTGTGTGCCGTTGGATCATTGCGTGTCCGGACTCCTTTGACTTCTTCGTTGACGACCTTGTCGAATTCGTCCCAGAGCTTGCCGATAAAGTAGTGCTTGGTGGGGAATGGGCTCATGACCACGTTACGTAGGACGAACAGGTCTTCATTGACCGCATTGAGTCCCAGTCTTCTCATGAAGGCCTTTGCGCATTCGCCATAGTGCTTGGGCTCGAACTTGGTCGAGGTCAAGTAGACGGGGATCTTGGTTGGGTCGGTGTCCACGCCCGTGATGGACAGCCGGTCAACGACCCTCTTCATCAAGTAATTGGCTTCCTCAATGTCGGTGTTCAGGGTTGTCCTCTCTTCGCCGACATAAAAGTTGAGGGCGAAGGCGTTGATGTTGGTGTCAGAGCCTAATTGACGGAGCAGATTCATTGCAACAGGGTCCTGCAGGAGGGCCTCGTTCTGCTGTCCCAGGATGCGCGTTCTGATGATGTCCCGGTTACCTTCTACCTCTGGGGAGTTGAAGGCGTATCCTTCCTTCTCTTTGGGCAATTTGTTGAAAGGAACACAGATGAAGTCCTTCCTGTTCTCTTCTCTGAAATCACTGTGGACTGCATACCGCACAGACAGCTGCCAGAATGTCAGCACAGATTATCCATAATTCTCCTTCACGAGGCACCTACCCTAGAGCTGGTGAAAGATGCTTGACCAAGCAACTTCCCGTATCCGTCTGGATCCAGACCAATTGTCTGATTCGAGAGCCAAGTTGACATGGCAGCAGCACCGGGTTTACTCCCCTCTACACCATAAACCCCAATGTTCTCCGACGATCCCTGCGACAGGTAGGGACTGGACCAAGTCACCAGGTACCGCATCCGACCGTCTCTGTACACCAGGCTTCCGGCCGGGTATGGGATATAACCAGCCTTATGTGGATCCACGGTGATTGAGTCCGCATGCCGAAGAGCCAAAAGGTCCGTTTCAGTCTCCTTCCGCAGAGTCAATGCTGGCACAGCACCTCTGTCGGCACCGCCTCTTTCAGGACCCCTCAGCCCTCGGTGCAGCATGGTGGCAAAGTAACCTCCCCAGGCAGCATCAGCATGAACGAGAAACGAAAGACCTTTCTTCTGCATCTCTTCTCGAATTTTCACAATCTCGGAAAGCCGGTCGACTGCACCTTCTTCGGTGGACCCAATCACGGCCACAACCGCATACACAGGAGTCTCGTTTTCAAGGCAATCGGTCAGTGTAGCCCTCAGTTGCGCAAGGTCAATGTGAGCATCGTCGTCGACCTCAATCTCCAGAAGATTGCAAGAGCCCAGCCCGGCAATTGCTAGAGAGGTTAGCTGTGCGCTCCTTGGTGACGGACATCTTGGCAGATCGGAGAAGTCACATACCAAGTCCCTTCGGCCAGGAGTAATGGTTAGTTCTTGACACAATGAATTTCATCGCCTTGAGACTCCTGTAAAACTGGTGGATCTCATCGGCCTCCTCGTGCATTAGACCAGCTGACTGAATGTTATACGGGTCCAATGCATCCTTGAGGAAGTCACTGGAAATGCCAAACTGTTCGTACAGTTGGTCCGGCAGATCAAGGACAGTCTTGGGCTTTAGATTGAGAAGATCCCAGGTTTTCAAATCGACAAGTTTCTTGTACCCGTCCTTGCAGGTTTCCACCATGAATTTATCCGCGATGAACTTGAGCTTTCCCTTTGTGATGGCCTGATGAAGGGCCAAAGGATAGAACTTCAGGTTTCGGGCTGGTCACATCTCAGTGCTTGGCTCTGGAGAATTCAGAAAGGGCATACAGCACATACCAACCCAAATGGATTCCAGATTGGCGACGGTGCCATCGCAGGTAATATGGCCCCATGATATTGGCTCATTCTGTCTTTCTTCATGACGATCCACAGTGAGGGGGGTCCTGTATCCGAACAACTCGCCAAGTTGCTGCCCCACCAACAGTTCCGCGACCGTGGTCATGGGACTGGCTTCGAGAGCGACGTTGTTAGGATTGTACAGCATTGTCATGAAGTATCCCAGCAAAGAAGGCATAGTCAAGTCAGTGCACATGTGAGCTTCATAACGTGGAGACCAAAAAGGCACGGAGTGCTCTCCTAGAAGCTGGGCCACCTTTCGGACGACATCACCGAAGTTGTCCCTGACCTTGCGGAACTCCGGCGATCGTCGGACTTCCTTGGTGATGAATTTCTGATTCTATCGAGGATCAGTCGGGATGAGATAGCAGAAGAAAAGGGGAAAGAGTTACATCATCCTCGGGATAATAATCCAGCCTGGTTTCAAGGAGTTCGTCCAGGATGGCGTTGATGTTTGCTCGGAAATCAGGCATATTTGCAGCTCTTGGGCCGATGAAATAGTTGTTGATGACATTTTGGTTGGTGATCTGGTCTTCCCCGCGCTCAGCATGAGCTGGGGCAGGAGGTACTGCAGCCATGATGGATGAGCTTCTTTCCTATCCTGAGACTTTGATCTTGAGCAGAAGAAGAACAACGGAAGGAAGACTGGATCTGATAAGGCTTTTATATCGCTATTCTGTTTTTTTTTTTTTTTTTTTTTTTTTTTTTTCCACACATCTGCTCGCCTCGTGTTGACTATCGGGTTTATCCTTGTCTGCTATGACTCGACGTGCATCCGACTTGACACCTCGTTGGTCTCTGCACCTCAGCCAGCTCATCTTGACCTAAGGATCCGCAGAGTCTAGTCATTATGTTCGAAATTGCAGTGGAATCACGCCTGGTGGAGGTTGCCGATCATGTTCCCCTCCTGCACCATCCCGGATCTCATCTCTTTGCCTTCCTCATCACAGCCCTATGCTACATGCCGCATCTCGATAGCTAGAGCCGTGCAGTATTTCACAATCGCACGATTATCACATTCGCCGCGTGTGAAACTCAATTCGTCACTATGAAAGTCACGACAAAGATCTTTGCCTACTAGCATACTTGAGCTAATACAAGTGTGGATGCCTTACAGAAAGGAAGGCAGAGCACTGTGGCTAGCTGACAGACCCATGATCTTTACCCGATACGTCTAGCGATGCATACGCAAACGCCCCCGCACCAGGTTTACTACATAGTATTGTACAGTACATCTCCCTGGATGGTTCGTCGATCCATGATGGTATTGATGTGCCATCCGACGCGCCGAGAGGTAATTCGTGGTTGTGCATGACATCGCCAAAGAGGGATGGGGAGTTGTGGTTCTCCACAGGGTCGAGCGGGCTGGAGATCTGCAGGTCTTTTTCAGCTCACCCCACCTCTGGTGGATACTATGATAGGTCACATAGCTACAGCCTGTGCAGGAACCCTCTATTTAGCTCTTCAGCTTCTATGTGCACATCATATCGCAGACGATGCTTCCTCGACCTGCAAGGCTAACCCCTCACGTTACCCCACTAGGTCACCCAAGACCTAGCCACTTGCCATAGTCCGTCTGATCGCCGGGAACTGCCCAGTTATTGTGTTCTTCCCATCGTCCTTACAAGCTTGCCAACCAATAGTTACTATACTCCCACGTACCGCTCGAACCTCTCCGAGTTCTGCACCCTGTCTCAGGCCACGCCACATCCCGCATGCCCCTCAAACTACAAATGTATGCAAGGTTGCCTCTCTACGCCTATGATGCTCTACACCCGGCCATAGCGGTCGGCTGAGTATACTACGTAATGGATCAACGAATGACCACATTGGACATTTTGGCGAGGGGAATTGCGGCAAGAGCTGAAATCTCAGACTAACCACGAACCTCTGAAAACTTCGTAAGATGCGGCGTTTGTTGCCTGGCAAGCCTGCCGCAGATGCTCAGCGATCAACTGGTTTGGGATGTTTGTGGCCCGCTGGCAGGGATTACGACCTTGCCGGCCATCCACCTTTTTTGATCGGACCGTGAGTCCCTCATTTCCGATCTTAGAGGGCCATGCGTCCTCTCCGAACTGGGCCATACACTTGAGGGAGACCTTAGAATAGCAGCAGGACATGAGTCTGCAGCAGGAGGTTCCCGCCTTGCGCATTGAACGGATGAGGAAATATTCATCCCTTACCCTTACCTAGATCAGATGCGCTACTGCCCGACGGTCCAACATATGCAGCGATTCCCGACCGTTTGAAACAGAATATGATCCGGAGTTGGATGCATCCTTTGTGTATTTATGGAACGTCCTCGTTGGGATAGATGCAGATTGCTGGATTCCTATGATTTGATTTGTGACTACCATATCAGACATCTATATTTTACAAGGCTTAACACATTGCGGAGTATTTCGGGATCAGCATTCCTTCGATACGAACAACAACCGCTGCACGTCTACATTGATGTTAATTCCTCACTACCTACGGGTGCCCCTTTCTCCAACCCGCGTGATTGAGTTTCACATACATTCGGAACCATGGAGATACTGGACTAATGTCTGAGCGGAAGTGTCCTTATATGCAAGGAGCGCCTATTCCTCGGGTCTGGGTAGCCTGGCACGAGGGGATCGATGATGTCAAAGCAATCAGATACCGGTTACACTGTGCTGGATAGTATGATAAGACTATAGTTCTCTAGTAAAGACAACCAAGATGTCTCTCCAGATTAAGTGCCAGTTTTACTCTGGATTTATCGACATATTTGGTATAACTGATTATGAGCCGTCAGCAAGATAGTAGAATACCCCAACCCTCTATCTTCAGTCGGATCAGTCATTCCATGAAAGAATGACAGAAACTGCTCTCAGCAGCATACCCTCGGATTCATCCTCCGCCAACATATAAGCTTCCAGTTCTGTGCTTGGATGAGTAACGGATGAAGCGAACCGACGCTCACAGCAGGCACTTGTTTGTTTGCAATGTTTGCACTTCGATCAAATGATCCCATCAAAAAGGAATGTCAGTCCCTGGCGTCAGATACCAGCAGACTGAGACCATCATCTCTTGCAGAGAAATAAATGAATTAGGTGTGCGTCAATGCAACCTCCCCTGCAGCTGTCCCACACTAGCAGCTGGAGACCCCGCCTCGCAATGGCGCGATACACCGGACTCCGGCCTCGCTCCGACGTGCCAAGATAACTGCCTGCTGCTGTCTCGGTTGCTGAATTGGAGTCCCAAAGAACGGTGAGGTATTCGGACGGACAAAGTCTATCGTTTTCGCGATCTAGCAGGTTTCCTAATTGTCTCTTAAAAGGAGTCGTCTGCGATGCCCGAGGAAAGATGACAGAACCGAGCCGAGGGAACCAAGTGGGCGAAGATAATCAATCACTGATAAGCAAGCGGAAAGGAAGCTTAGATCCGGCTTGGCATTCGGCAAGGAGTATGACGAATCTGCAGAACGAGAGTTGAGGTGGGTTGGTTCCTGCATCACACCTCATTTACCGTGCACGCCATCCCCGGCGTTGCACCGCTCCCCGTCGGGGCAATCAATCCACCCGCGATGGCCTCATCGCTAGAGAAAAAAGTCTTATAACAGGCGGCGGCCCCGTTGCTTCCTGTCTGCTCCTCGCCCTTCTCCCCCAGTGTTCATTTCTAGTCGCTGGATCTCCCCTCATCATGGTCGCCTTCTCGCGCATCTCTACCGGCCTGTTGGCCGTAGCTGCCCCTGCTCTAGGCAATGTGGTGCTGGAGAAGATTCAGGCCGTGCCCAGCAGCTGGTCGCTCGTCGAAGAAGCCGACATCAGCTCGAACATTACTCTTTCCGTTGCCCTAACACGTCAGAACCTGGATCAACTCGAGTCCAAGCTGCTGTCTGTCTCCACTCCGGGGCAAAGCACCTACGGGCAGTACCTCGACGCCGATGAGGTCAACGCCCAGTTCCCTCTGGCCGATCACTCCACTGTCATCTCCTGGCTCACCGAGGCGGGCGTCACCGACATCTCCCACCAGGGCGGATTGATCAGCTTTGCCACCACCGTCGGGACTGCCAACAAGCTGCTCAACACCACCTTCTCGGTCTACGAGAAGGCCGGCACCCAGAAGGTGCGCACCACCCAGTACTCGGTGCCCGACAGCTTGAGCGGGTCGATCGACCTGATCGCTCCCACCGTCTTCTTTGGTAAGACGCGCGCCGAACGCGCCGCCGCCTTCCAAGCCGTGAAGGTGGCCAGAAGGTCCAGCAGCGCCAGCCAGTACATCACCCCCACCTTATTGAAGCAGCAGTACAACATCGACTACACTCCCAAGGCTTCTTCCGGCAGTCGCATTGGCTTCGGAAGCTTTTTGGGCGAGTCCGCCCTGTACTCAGACCTCGATCTCTTCACCGAGCGCTTCGGCATTCCGCAGCAGAACTTCACCGTGGAGCTGATCAACGGTGGCGTCAACAACCAAGAGGAGGATGGGGGTGAGGCCGACCTTGATGTGCAGAACATTGTTGGCCTCTCGCATCCTCTGCCTGTGGTCGAGTTCATCACTGCTGGATCTCCGTATGTCGTCCCCAGTGAATCGGGTCTGAAAGTAGAAGCTAACGAGACGGCAGTCCATTCATTCCCAACGTACTGCAGACCACGGACACCAACGAGCCCTATGTGGAGTACTATGAGTACCTACTGAACAAGACCAACGACGAGCTGCCGCAGGTTATCACCAACTCTTACGGCGACGATGAGGATGTACGTTCGCTGAGCCCTTTGCAAATGCTCCGACTGACCCCTATAGACTGTCCCATATGCCTATGCCACGCGCGTCTGCAACCTCATTGGTCTGATCGGCCTGCGCGGTATCTCGGTCTTGGAGTCCTCTGGTGATTCTGGTAAGTTTCTTGCGTTCAACCGCCCCAATCACCGGCTAACAATTGCCAGGCGTTGGTGAGGCCTGTCTCTCGAACGACGGTACCGACACCGTCCAATTCACTCCCGAGTTCCCCGGCACCTGCCCCTACATCACTGCCGTGGGTGGTACTCAGGACATCCCCGAGATCGCCTGGGTGGACAGCAGCGGCGGCTTCAGCAACTACTTTGCACGTCCATCCTACCAGGCTGACCAGGTCGAGACTTACCTGGACAAGCACATCTCCGCGGCGGTTAAGGAGTACTACACTCCTTATGTCAACTTCACCGGGCGCGCGTTCCCGGACATTGCCGCCTATGGTGGTTCGCCATAGTAAGCTCCACTCCGTGACTTTTTGACATGCCGAAAATAATTCTGACGGGTAAATTAGCTATGAAACCTATGTGAACGGTGAACTGGAGCTTATCGGCGGTACTTCGGGCGCCAGCCCTGTCGTTGCTGCCATCATCGCGCTGCTCAACGACGCTCGTCTGCGCGCGGGCAAGACGTCCCTGGGCTTCTTGAACCCCTGGCTGTATTCCAGCGGGTACAAGAGCTTGAATGATATCACCTCTGGTACGGCGGGTGGATGTGATGGCAGCTCCGCTGGTGCGGGTTACATCCCGTGGGCCAGCTGGAATGCCACGGCGGGCTGGGATCCGACCACCGGTTTGGGAACTCCTAATTTCGCCAAGCTCAAGGCGGCCGTGTTGGCTTTGTAAGTGATGGTTAATGATTATGTATGTACTCAGTGATCACGTCGCTTGGCGGCAGTATATGTTTGAGACATGTGATGGTCAATGCATGAAATATTCCTCAATTTTCTGTTTCGGCGGAGGTGCTAGTGAGTGCGACCGGAAGGACAATTGACCACGGACCAGCAATAATAGGCAATGTCTCAGTGAAACAGCAGCGTTTAATTTCAGTGTCGAGCTGTCAGGGTCGAAACTGAGACCCTTGGGATTAAGGTGAAACGGAGAGCCAGAGTGCGGGTGTTTCAGCACACGCCCGTCAATCTAACCCTGACACCCGCTCCACTTTCCATCCTCCCCACCGCAACCAGGATCGTGAAGATAAAAAGACTCCTCATCCCACCATTCATTCTCCAAACCAACTGTGCCGGTCACAACTTCCATTCTTTTCCTTTTCTTCGTCTCTCCTTCGCCCTTCACTCACTATGAAGTCTTTCGTTTCCCTTCTCGTTTTTCCCGCTTCCTCGCTGGCTGGAACCGTGCTATGGAGCGGCATTTTCAACTCTTCAGCTACCGTCGAGGACTTTGATGAATGTAATTTAACCTTTTCCGTGGTCACGAGCCCAAACTGACAAGATAGGGTCGTGGTCCAACCAGATTGAACCGTGGCAATGGTACATCCATGGCACCGGCAACACGTCGAATTACCTGGGTCTCTCCACCGACTTCAAGAACCCTGCCGATACTAGCGACGCCCAGGGTCTGCGCATCAGCATTGTATGCCACTCCCCACACTCTGAGGGACGGGATCGAGCAGACTAACTCATTTCACCGTCTAGGACGGCACCTCTTACTGGGAAGGTCAAACGATGGAGCGCTCCGAACTCATCCCCCAGACCAAGGCCGACCTCGGCTCCGGTCACCTCTACTACCACTTCTCCCTGTCGACCAAGACGGCCAACGCGCCCGACGCCTCCTTCGAGCACCAGATCGCCTTCTTCGAGAGCCACTTCACCGAGTTGCAGTACGGTCTGGCCTCGGGTGCTTCGGGGTCCTCTGACAACACACTACGCTGGAACGCTGGCGGCAACACCCACTGGTCCGTGCAGCTGGAAGCCGGCAACTGGTACAACTTTGCGTATGATATCGACTTCGACGCCCAGACGGTGGGTTTGTGGGCGTCCAACGGCTCCAACCCCTTGACTGAGGTTGTGTCGCCCGTCAGCGCGTCCGCCTCGTCCAACTCGGCCGACTGGCATGTCGGTGAGCTGCGTCTGCCTGGCAGCGGAGCCTCGAACGATGCGGCGGAGGATTGGTTCTGGTCTGGCATCTATATCGAGGAGTCGCCAATCACGAAGGAGATTGGGTCGGGTAGCGCTTCGAGCTCGAGCTCGGACTCTAGCTCTAGCTCCAGCTCTGCGGAGATATCTAGCTCTGTGAGCTCTTCGACCTCCTCCGCTCCCCAGTCCACCGCCGAGGCTACCTCAAGCACCACCGTCGCCGCTGCTACTACCAGCACTGTCGCCTCGATCACTACCTCTGCTGCTCAAACAATTGCAACCGCCCAGCCCGCCGTTGTCTCATCCGCAGCCACCAGCTCCGTCTCCACCGCTGCTGCGGTCGTGACCTCGGCCGTTGCTCCTTCAGTGACCACGGAGGTGGCAGTAGAGATTGCGACGACGGCCACGGCTGCCTCGGTGGCCTTGGCTACTCCCACCACTCCTACCGAGATTCTGGATGATATTCGCGCTATCTTCGGTGCTCTTGTCTCGCGGTCCAGTGGTGTGCATGCTCGTGACTTTGCTCCTCGTGCTTAAACGTGACACATATTGGTGCCTTGGCTCCTGTTGGGTGTTTGGACAGGGGACTGAGCGCGGGGGTGTTGCGGGAGGCTATGACTTGGTTTTTTAATTTCTTAGTCAATTCAGTGTATTATCTTGTGTCGTTTGATAGTTTGACGGAGTATAAAGAATGAACTCACCGCGTATGAAGATACACTTGCCACTATGCAATCATTGCCAATTCAACAACACTTGCAGGTATCGTATCGTGCGGTGGTAGGTTCCTAGCCATGTTGAAGTCGAAATTTCTAACGAGTAAGGATGATGTCAAAGATGGGGGCCAATGAGTCTCTCCAAACTGGATGCTGGAGATAAAATTTGAGTCTCAGTGAACTCAGTGAAGAAAAAGTGATGAAGGGGGCGAATGGTTCCTGCTTTACACTTGCGAATGCTAGCCTGATATCTTGAGATGGAACGGAACTCTGCTGTGGCCTGAGGGGTAAGGGTACAGAGTCAGGCAAACACGGCAACAGCAGAGTAAAGGCAAGTCCCGCTTTTGTGATAATCCTCGATACTGCGACGCACCTTCCGTCTTGTTGCTAACGCCAAGCTGAAACAAAACAGATCTGATGACATGTTTTTACCTCGCAGGAACCACTGCACAGGGACTCTGGCTGCTGCAGGAGGTCCTAGGCGAGATGGAAGACAAGGAACATCATGCGCAGGTGGTCGAAATCATGCGGGAAAGGCTGACGCCGGAATCAGGCTTCATTGGACCACAAGAGGTGACTTCCCATATTTGGTTCTGGAACCGACTGAACGAACACGGGCTCACCGAAAAGGACTTGAGATCGCAAGCTCACGAGGCCTTTCCGTTTCGAGGCGATCATGTTCCAGACCCGAAGGGAGAGTTTCCTCCTCGAGCATGGACCCTGATGTGGCACGACACTTACAGTAACCTGTATGGGGAGTGGATCCCCGGGGAACTGCGGAGCTGGGGATACGTCTTCTGGGACGCGGGGCGATTGGAGACAGAAGCACAAGAGGTACTACTATGGCGTTGGAAAAGGTCCTTCGATGAAGACTGGGATCCGCGGGACGAGTATGACCTTGCTGATGTCAGAGCCATCCGATGATCAACACCGTATGTATTCTGCATACTACCACGCCTGGAACAGGGGCGCACATGGTACTATACAATGAAAAATCTTTTTACTGATCTATCAAAACACGGTAACAATCTAGCATGATGCTACTCCTTTCAACTGAACTATCCTTATTAGCAAGCATTGCACTTCGAAACGTACAAGTCGCGATGCACACCCGAAACTTAAAAGAATGAACCGCTTAGCGAAGAGCGACATTAGCGAGAAATGCTCCCGATGTGACGTTTACTCTCCGCTCCAATTCATCGACAATATATTTAGCAATAAATCAACTTCGTCCAGGTAGAACAGTGCTAGGAGGTAGTCCAAGTTAGACTTGAATCCCCAGAATCGAGCGCCCGAGATGCAGTATTACGAAAGAAAACCCGAATAGTAACCCTCCTCCACATTCTCGCCAGCTTCTCACCGTACTGGGCATCAAGCAGACGTAGCAGCCGCACCAGCAACTCCACTCGAAGAAGCCGAATCACCAAAATCCCCCATGCCAGCCATGTTCATTACGAAATCATCGTTCACCTCGCCCCCGTCCTCGGTCCAGAAACCCTCAGGGGAAAGCGAGTCATCACGTGTGCCATCCACACCAATGGAGATCCACGCAAAGATGCCATCGGAGACACTATCTCCCAGAAGAACATACTCCATAAGCGGGTCAGTGTCATCCACCTCCGTCTTCAGTATGATATCGTCCTCGTTCAGGGTCAGATCCTGCGTGTTGGAACTGTAGGGCGTCGTCTTCTCGACCTCCGTGATAAGGTTCTGGTCGAAGTAGATCTGGCCCACGTGAGAGGAGTGCCCGTCGTACATGCCGGCAATGGTGCCGTTGGGGAGGATCTTGGTTTCGTTGGCGGGGTGCGTTGCGACTACCACGTTCGAGTCAGTCATACACATGAATGATACAGATATGCAGAACCTAGTTAGAAGGGATTGGCGGAAGGTACGCACCGTGAATATGGATTGCGCGGCCGGTATAGTGGCCCGGGAAGATGGACTCGAAGCGCACGACGCCGTCGTGTCCGCTGGGCTGCACACCGCGCAGGAAGGTCGTGTCGATGTTGGTCGAGTCGTTCTGGTTGCCGTTGCCGCTCGCGACGACTCCGGAGTAGACTCCCTGTTATAGTGCAAACAAGAGGTTAGTGGTTCAGTTCTAGCTCGTCCCACAAAAATGACTGGGTGGGTGCTCACGGTCGCGTTGCAGTGCCAGATGTCGGTGTAGATGTTCCGCAGCGGCTCGCAGGTGTTGGTGTCGATGAGCTGGATGTCCAGGAACAATGGCACGCCCTCCTGGTCCTCGGCCACGTTGCGACGGATGAGCTCTCCCGCAATATCTATGGATGATTATTCGTGTTAAGATAACGAAGATGGGTTCAAGACCATGATGTGGCAGGCATACAGTATGGCCCCTGGGTGACCTCCGGCTGCACGATGCAGGTGCCTCCCGACGCGAAGAGGATGCGGGGATCGGTCGACGGGTCAACGTGGGTCAGGTTTGAATGGTGATCTGTGCCTAGGACGGAGTCCAGGTCGCGAACCTTGAGGTATTGGTTGTCTGGGCTGTCAGCTGCGGCTCAAAATGAAGATATCAGGTGCACATTCGAGGAAACATACTGGACAACCCCCTCTCGCGGCGCAAGTGCTCGAGCGCGTCGCCACGACGAGCAACATTCGCATCCTCAACCTCACGAGCTTTCAGGCTGGATGCACAATGAGACAAGCTGCGCGAATGCACGGGGGCCTGTTTGAGGAAGGCTGCGCGTTCAGCGGCTTCCTCCTGGACGTTGTGGCCTGGATGGCCCAATCCAACTGAGGCCAGCAGGGTCACGCTGGTGGTCAGGTACGAGGTCAAATAAACCATGTTGGATGATGAGGAGAAAGAGTTTTCGAAGAGCAGGTTGCAGTGGTACTGGAGAGAAGGGAAGTTTGAGCTGTTGATGGACGAGGAAATGGAGCCGGAAGACGAGGGTTTTTATACCTCCCTCTCGAGATTATCTTCTCTTATGCCATCATCAAGATAGTGACCGGAGCAAATCCCGTGTTTCCGTTTTTGATCAATATCCTGGCATCAACCCCGACACATTCCCATCCACTGCACCGTTGTGACTGTCGTTCTCCCATGAACTAAAGGTGTTTGCTTCCGCTTAGTAAAACAGGTATCGGGAATCAAATATTGCGTACACGCGTTGCTGGCGGTTTCATGTGTTAGAGAGCATCGAAGTGGAGAGCTGCTGGGCAGAGCTGCTGGGATTAAGGTAGGGCGGGCATACGAATCCACGGTATGCCTCACACAAAACGAGGTCGCCAAGGTCGGCCAAGAGAGGGTCAAGAAGGTCCCCGGGAACGATCTACATGCGTGGCGGAGACTTTTGTGTCAGAACAACTCGGTTGGATGAGAAGAGACGGGACGAATAGCTTAAACACAGTTTCAAGGTATACCTTCAAGGTTACTAGTAGATGTATAGAAGGCTGAGTCAGCGGGATCTACGATTTCCTTCTCCAAACCTCGGAACCAATCGGAGGGCAGAGATTTCACATGGCGGGGAGACCCCAACTTGGAAAATTGCTAAAATCATTATTCAGGGACCCGGGCTGGGCGTCAGGGACAGATCCATTGAGCGCCTCAGGCATCGGTTTGAGCAGAAAATTTCCTGACCTCGAGTCCTCGACAACTCCCACACGCAAAGAGCTTACGTCACTTACCCCGGATAATTCCTGGGCCGGGAGTCTCTGAATTTGGAGCAGGCAACAGCCACTTTCGAGCGCGTGCTGCGTGCCTTCCATAGAGTCATATGGGCAGAGTAGAAAGATAATTCACCCAACTCACGTCCGGCCCATCAGTCTTCTTGTCTATCCATGTCCGACTCAGCCATTGCTCCTCGGGCAGGGCGGGCGCGCACTGCTTGTGATCTGTGCAGGTCTCGGAGGGTAAGCTTTCCGATCTCCGACCTCCGACCTATGTATATCTATACTGTACATGTACCTGTTCTAACAGTGAGAGCCAGATCCGCTGTGACGGAGTCAAACCTGCATGTGAGACATGCCATTTCGCCGGAGTGCCTTGCATCTTTACACCGCCACCGGACGTGCCTCGGCAGACAGTCCGAGAGTCAGTTCTGCCCCGACATATTTTTTCTACATGTTTTTGAGTGAACAGATCTGATGCTCAACAGACAACTGGCCAACTGCAGAATCAAAGTGCAGGAGTTGGAAGAAGCACTGAGAGTGGAGCGAGCCAAAAATAATGCAAAGGATAATGCTCCCAATGCATTCGTTCTCCAAGGAGGATTGGCGGATTTGCACGGATTCGACGCGGCTCTTACCGCGTTCCTGCGGATTCTCGGATTCTGTGGCTTCGGCCCTAAGTCGACCCCGTTCCTCTTCCCCACCGACCAGCATCGTATGCCCACTCTTGTCGACTTGAATCGCTTTGCCCAGGATGTGACTTGTTCATTCAAGTCGGAATTTCCCCACCATGCCTCCAGGACCATTCATCCCAAGCAACCCCCACCGACGCTGATCCGCACCGTTATCGACTATTTTATAACCAACAGCCTCTACTCCGTCTTTCCCGTAATCGACCCCGTCACCTTGTTGTCCCTTCGGGGCTCAGATCTTTTTCATTCTGCTGAGGATCAGGATCGTCTTCCCAAAAGCGTCCAGGTCTGTCTGGTGGCCTTGACAGCCCTGGTCACTCACCTGCGGGACGATGAGCCCGCTTTTGGTGAAGCCGACCCAGAAGCCTTTCTGCAATCCGTGCTGGCGCAGTTGCCTGAGCTGGTCATGTCGGGGGACAATGATCTCTGGACCCTACAAGCTCTAATCCTGGTGGTAAGTGATTGCCGACCTTGGTCTATTCTCCCCGGACTCGCTGACAGTTCCAGGTGCTGTACCTTGCTCCACTCGGTGCGCCTCAGTCTGCCGAATTGATCCTGGCAATGGCAATCCGGCTCCTCACCACCCTAGGTGGCAATCGGGTTCATGTGAACCACGACCTTCACCTCGATGACCATCGTGGTCGACATCTTCGGGCTCTTTTCTGGCTCTGTTACTCTGTGGACAGGGAAATGTCAATCCGTAGTTCGCATCCGCCGTTCCTTCATGACATCGACTGCGACCTCGACCTGCCAGAGAAATATGTCATGGCTTCGTCCGAGAGCCAGTTCCGCCTGGCCCCCTTGTCCAACGACGAGCTACTTTATCCCTCTGACCTACGCATGTGCATCATCAAGTCCAAGATCTACCGTCTACTGTATTCGGATTACGGCCTGGCGCAGCCCGCTTCCATCCGCGTGCAGTATGTCCGCGAACTGGACGAGGAGCTCAGCAATTTGAGAGCGCAATTTCCCGCCGACTGCCGCCCGGAGAACTTGTCCCCGGGAAGCATCCCAGACTCTTTGGTTCTCGACCTCAGTCTACGGGGGATCAACATGCATCTGGAATACTATTATTGTCTCGCCAAGATCCATGGCGCGTGTCGCGTCGCTGGCGGAGGGTACCCCTCGCTGGACGATATTTCGCCCCTGACTTCGAGTCGGGAGCTGTGTTATCAGGCTGCGCGCTCGATTCTGCTCTACCTCAGTCGGTTACGCCATCTCATTATTCCACAAACCTTTTGGTATGCATTTGTTCTCGTCTCTCCAATCGTCGTATTGACCTGTGCCCTGTGTCTAGGATCTATGCGCAGTTCATCCTCTCCGCTGTCGTCTCTCTCGGTTGGAAGCTTGTCGCCGAACCTAACCACCCATCCGCTGCCAGCGACCTCCATCTCATCCAGCACACGAGGGACCTGTTCACTAGGCTAAAGGAAACGTCGGATCCCAACAAGTTTCCACCTTTCTACATAATGGACAACTTCATCCAACAATTGATCGCCGCGGTAGCACATTCGGGCTCGCCACCGATACTTCTGGCATTCAACCATTCATGAGATGCGCCATACGCCTTTGCTGCATCCTGGATGCATACACATCGCGCTCTCATGGCTTCGCAGACCGAAGCCCCAGTAAGAGCTGGGCATGCTTGAGTCATGCACATCACAACATGAAGATAGCTCGAGTCCGTATTTTGGTGCTGCTCATCATACCAACTCAAGCAATGCACCATCCACCCGGCCGGGTACGAGCTGAGCTCTATTTTATAGACGAAAGAATGTGCTTCGCATTGCCCCGGCAAAGGCTACTAGTTGCATGCTATGAAAACGCTCCACGATGCACACCTTTGGACTTCACCACGCGAATCCAAAACCAAACGGTCCATCTCATGCTCTTTTATTGGATCTGAAGCCAGTTTCGTCGGCATAAATTAATGGCTCGCTTCGGAGTGAGGTCCATGTGTATCTGAGGATGTAGAGCGTTCGACCAACTCGGCCGAATGTGGGGGCGTCAGTTTAAGCTATGTTATCATACTGGAGCAAAATGATTGCACACCCGGGCCTAGATTATCAACTCGTGTATCCAGCCTGGACGGGACTGGTCGGAGGCCCACCGTCAGCACTAAGCTTCCGACCCGGGTCGAAGCATGAATTCGCCATTCCCGTTCGCCATTTCGTGTGCCCTCCGATCAACTCGTCAGGCAGCCAATACGCTCAGGGAATGGGAACAAGCACGCCCGGCGAGGGGAAGACCCTCGCCTGATTGGATCTAGGGCTCAGTGCAATGCAATCCCGAAAATGGTCCGTGCATTCGGAAGAATTTCGGTACTTGAGGGGCGTCTCCAAGGCGGTCTGCAGTCATTTAGCATTCAGATAGACCTAGGTTCTAGAAACCCAATAGATTTGTTTGATGATCATTCATGCTCCATCTCAAGCGTTGAAATGCTGTGCAATTTAGGAGGCGTCAAAGTTAGACCCTTAAAGTCGATTCTGTGTTTCCCCCCTCCCCCGTGCGGGGAATATATCACCATCGCTGCTGGTCATGGAACCTCAACCCCCCGAGATTCACACCTCATGTTGCTATTCAGGCAAACGATACTCTGTTACAAGCTGCCGTTTACGAAGCAAATTCATCGCAGAGATTCGAGATCCGCCTTTTGATACAGAACTTCTGCCGATATCAAGACTGGTGGGCGTTGATGCCTGAGGCAGAAGTCCGGCCCTTGGGAACCTCTCAGGGAAGCAGGCTATGAATCGAATCATGAATCAGGATGCATTCTTCCGGAGTGGGAGTTTACGCGGTGGCAATGCGACGGGCGGGGAGACGACATGCAGGCCGCAGGTCGGGGTTAGCCATTAGCCACCTGGAGCAGACCATCCATGCACACGATGGCGCAATCCCCTTGGGTCGCTAGTGATCATGCAGAACATCGATTCTCCACCGCGTCGCGCTCACAATCTTTGCACAGCAGAGAACAAATCAGATACAGAAGATGAGAGTGATTTGAACAGGATAGAGTGCTGTCGCTCTCGAGTAATAATCTTAATTCGGGAGGTGGTACGTGCCGAGCGTGCGCCATGGATGGGCGCGACAAGGGACGAGGTATAGAGCGCGGGGCTAAGAGTAGAATACATCAAGAGATAAGCTGATGGCGTCATGACCACGATCAATGAGACCATGCCTTGCCTGTTTGGGTACATATACTCTGCTGCTGTCATACCAAAACATGCAATCGCAACGGCAAGCAGACATCGTCGACCATGGGGTACGAAAAAGAAGACAGCGGCCGGTCTGAGAGCCCCCACGAGGAGTCTGGAGTGAGCCACGGCAGCGAGCCGCTCGAGGTCCGGCCGCTCCGTTCCTGGAAAGGATACCTCTGGGACACCTGGGAGCTCCCCCGGGACCAGCGTTGGCTGTTGTTCAAGGTCGATGCCTTTGTCCTGACTTTCGCCTCGGTATGCGCTCGCTTCGTCTTGAGGGCTGCGATGCAACTGCTAATTGGCTGGGCAGATTGGTTACTTTTTGAAGAATCTTGATCTGAACAATGTCAACAATGCCTATCTCAGTGGCATGGAGGAGGATATGAAGATGTACGGCAACCAGCTGGTGACCAGCACCTCGATCTATACCGTGGGATACGTCATCGGACAGATTCCCTCTAATCTGCTACTTACCCGTGTCTCGCCCCGTTGGGTTATCCCTACTGTATGCCCCTCTCCCCAGTGTTGCCGAACCACGATGGGATGGCTAACACTAAGGCGATAGCTCGAGGTGGGCTGGGGAATTGCCACGATATGCACATCGACGGTAAAGTCCTATCATGCGCTCTATGGTATTCGATTCCTGGTCGGACTGTTTGAGTAAGCATTGCCTCTACACAGACCTTCAGTAGGGTGCTGACCCGTGATGAAGATCGGGCTTCTACCCCGGCATCCATTACCTTCTCGGATCGTGGTACACCCCGCAGGAGATCGGCAAACGCGCGATGATTTTCTGGTTGGCGGGTTCCATGGGAACATTGTTCAGTGGCTTCCTTCAGGCCGCCGCCTACACTAACCTCAACGGCGTGAATGGACTTGCCGGCTGGCGATGGCTGTTCATCATCGACGGAATCATCACCCTGCCGCTCGCGCTGGCTGGATACATCTTCTTCCCGAATCTGCCGCAAGACGGGCGGAAGACCTGGTGGATCACGCAAGAAGAGCATGTCCTCTCCGTCAAGCGCATGGACGCCGTCCACCGCGCGGGCAAGTCGCCGTGGACCCGGGCCAAGGTCAAGCGGATGTTCCTCAGCTGGCACATCTATCTTCTGCGTACGCCGTCACCCTGTTCAACCGAATCGAATGTTTGCTAACTGCTTCAGCTCTGCTCTACATCGTGTGGAACAACGGATACCCTCAGGCGGGAATGGGCTACTGGCTGAAAAGCTTCAATGCGACACCTGCGCCTGTCCCAGGAACAAGCTACACTGTTCCACAAATTAACGACTGTGAGTTGATTCGAGTTTTTGGACAAATGCCAGTGTGGACTAACCTAGTGTTATAGATCCGCTGCTCACGACCGGTCTATTCATCATCGTGTCGCTGACTTGGGGCTGGCTGTCTGACGGACCGCTCCGAGGGGCTCGCTGGCCGTTCATCTACGCGGGTGCGGTGATTACGGTGAGCATTAGACCCTTTAAGCTTATATTTACCTCAGTGCGGCTAATGAGTTTTCTTTTGTAACGCAGATCGTCTTCTGCGCGCTTCTGCGACAGATGCCGCTCTATACGAATATCACAGGTCGAATGGCTGTGTACTGGCTAAGTAACATAGGGGTAGGTGTTTTAAGTCCAGTCCTGAAAAAAACCGTTCTAACACGATCACCACAGCTGGGCGCAGGTCCTCTGATTCTCAGCTGGGCCAACGAGATCTGCACAGCCGATACCGAAGAGCGAGCGTTGGTGATTGTGCTCGCGAACGACCTCGCGTATGTGGTGCAGGCTGTTGTAAGTTTATGAATTGAATCAGAGTGCAGAGTGTTGAACATTCAGAAGCTGACGATTGATGCCCCAGGCACCGAACTTTGTGTGGAAGACCACCGACTTCCCCGCCGCGAAGAAAGGGTATCTGTGGTGCATTATTCTGCAGGTCTTGAGTAGTGAGTTAACCCAGCAGCATCTGGATGTATCAGATTCACGGGCTAACCAATTGACTCTGCGTACAGTTGGGGTTACAGGCGCGATTCAATGGCTGGTGGCGCGAGATCGAAAGGCTGCTGCCGCAAGAGCTGAGGTGGGACAGTACCCCGGATCTGGCGTCAGCGACGCTTCTCTGCGGGATGACAACAGTGGTGGTGTCGGTGGAATCGGAGAGACCAAAATCCTCCCCAGCAAAGTCACTCCGGTGTCGGAGTAGCGTGACTCGGGGCCCGTTGGCGGGATTTCGAGCTGAGCGAGCATCGGAGCGGAACAACAGCCGGCACGGCAGATGCAAACCGAGCAAACAAAACAATACTGCCCTTGTAATTAGACTGTCCCCTCGTCCTATTTATTTTTAGTGGGAGATCAGCCTCCACTATGCCTGTCTAAGAGACTTCACCCGCCCCGTGGCCTGTCGCTTGTCCAGGCACAGTGTATCACTGCGAAGTGGGTTGTGGCACAACGTTTCTCCACTTCTAAATCAATAGTCGATCGTATTCCGTCTGCTTAGGGTCTCGGGGTCTCCGCCCACCAATCAGGGTCTGCCTTGGCATCGCTTATATCTACTTCCTCAGGATATTCAGGGTCCAGACGATGGGATGGATTCCCCCTATAAGACTGTCGAGTCTCTGTGACTCTTCATGTTTTCTTCTTGCTGCTGTCATCCTTTTTTCATGCCTGCCGTCATTTCCAACTGCTCTGTCGCTCTTTACTACACAGGCCATGGCAAAGTCACTCTTTACAAGCGCTGTCGTCGCGGGCGTTTTGGCGCACTCGGTAGCCGCCAGCGTAACCTGCAGCAATGAGGTTGTCAATGCCTTTTCCAACCCGTCCTTCGAGACTGGCGATGCCACGGATTGGACCGCCTGGGTCGCCACGGCGACGCCCTCAACCATGGGCAATGTCCTTTCTGGGGAGGCGTCGGACGGCAACTACTACCTGTAAGTCGTCTGCTCATATGGGTCTGGAGCTGGGAACGGGCAGGGTTGACCTTGAATGAAAAGGTCCATAGATGCAGCAACCTCGATATGGAAATACATCCAGCAACCCGTCACCGGGCTGCAGGTGGGCAAGACCTACAGCCTGTCGGTGGACTACAAAGTCACGGCTGCAATCGCCAGTATTCCCGCCATTTACAACACGTGTTATATGGGCTGGATGGTGGATAGATGGTACACCATGCTTGATCGGATTACCGTCCCTGCGATCCTCGGTGGTCTAGACCCATCGTGGGAGACCTATACCTATTCCTTCACCCCCACCAGCTCTTCGCACACCATGATGTTTCTCTTTGCCTGCAGCGGCTATACTACGTTCAACTTTGATCTGGACAATTTTGTCTTGCCGCTGTCAACTCAGCAGGTGTGCACCACCTCTGCAGAGGTGGTTACCCCAACCACAAGTGCGGTGGCCATCTCGCCATCCAGCGTTCCTCCGAGTAGTGCTGCGAGCGCCACACCAACGCCATCATCTGTGTCGCCTGCTTCGTCGGTGGCAGTGATCTCCAGTACTGCTATCCCGACTTCGTCTCCAGCAGTACCAAGCAGTCTGGCATCCACACCCACGACCTTGTCATCTTCTGCTCTAGCGACCCCCACAGCGTCTTTGGCATCAAGCTCAAGTGTGGTTGCGTCGACTGCCGCTGTCTCGTCTCAGCCGATCATCTCTGCCAGCTCAAGTGTCTCCATTCCCATTATCCGACCATCCCAGTCCACTGCCAACTCCGTGATCCCGCCACGCAGCTCGCCCATACGATCATTGTCTTCTTTCGTTTCATCATCCAGCCCAGCTGTCTCCTTTGCCTCCTCCCATCCGGTGGTGACACGTTCGGCCGGCCAGTCTTCCGCACCCGGATTCACCCCATCCCCTGTGCGGACATTCGCTACTTCGCTTTCCCAACCGGGCAGGATCTCATCTAGCGCCCCCAACGTGGGCTCTTCTCAAGCCAGCATCCCCACAGTCACTCCTTCAATCTCTGCCCAGGAAAGCAGGACCACCATCGGATCCGCATCTGCAGTCAGCGGCGCATTCATCACGAGCACGCTTCTCACCACCCGAACAGCCACAGTCACAGCCTGCCCGTCGAGCGTGGCCAACTGCCCTGCCAGCGAGCGCACGACCTCTCTCACAACCGAAACGGTGGTCATCGGAACCACCATTTGCCCCGCCACAAACCCCGCCAGCCAACCTACAGCATCTGCCAGCTCAGGGCCAGAGAGTGAACTCCTGACCACATCGACAGTCTTCACCACCCGCACCTCAACCATCACCGCCTGTCCATCCACCGTCGCGAACTGCCCGGCCTCTGCACAGAGCACCTACGTGATCACCGAGACTCTGGTTGATTATACGACCATTTGCCCCATCACCGCCACCCAGACCGCGGCACCCACCGCTCCGGGTGCTGGGGTTGGGGGTACTGGCACTGCCGTCGTGCCTGCACCGACTGTGTCGGCGGGTAACTCGGCTGCTACCGCTGGAGGTCAGACTGTCTCCTCGGCGGTGGCTCCGGCCGTGACCCAGCCCGTGTCGGAGAGTGACGAGGTGGTGTCGACTATCTACGTGACTGCGACTGTTACTGTGGATTGCTATAATTGATTGGGATCGTGTAGGGTCTGTCTCGTTCCCATGATCTTATAAATTTATCGTCATAATTAAATGTATTCAATCTAATGGTGCCTATGAATTTTGGATCTGCAATGGCTGTATGGCTATGACCGTGTTCTTTTCTCGACTTGTGCTTGCAAATAGGAAAACTGGTGATAGCTCGTAGAAGCATGAGTATTCTTTGTAGCTGCTTATGGAATACAGGACTTGAGAAGTCAAATGAAACGGTCCGCGTCGAGAATACAACAGACACACCGAGTAACTCGCAGCTCAAGTATCACTTCAAGAATAATCCTCAACTGTGGCTGTAGATCACCTTCATTGATAATTAACCTCGATACGAATGTGGTTGGCGTGCGGGTGAATTACTGCTTTAGGAAGTCCGCCTCCGCCTCAACTCCGCTCCGCTACGCGCCGTAATGAAGTCAGGTCAGGGGGCGAACATCTCCATCAAAGCTGAAGGCATCGGCTGGGAGAAGCTATGAGCTCGATGGCATCATGACCGCTGGATCGTCGAGCGGAGAAAGGGGGAGTCGTGCGTTGGGGCTGGATGAGTCAGTTCTGCTTATGCAGGTGATGGACGAGGTCGGAGGTAGAATGATTTGGTCTATTCTTCGGGCATTGAGGCTACGGATTAAGTGAGAGGGTTGTTAATGAGCTGCAATGGCTTAGTTTCATTTGAATTCACTTGTCCGTAACTGTCCAATTTAATTGAGAGCAGAAAACATAACGCAACCAAATCAAAGGCCCGTGTAGATAGGCTCAACATCTGTGCATCACCATTCCCATGAGTTTCATATAAAACACTCTAGGTCTGGATGCAGATTCACATTGTCATTCCTCGCATTTCATCTATACAAACACGACTAGCATCAGCTCGATCTTATTTCCTCTTCCTGCAGTGAGAAGGGCTGCGCTGTTTCCACAGGAATTTCGTACCAGGTACCCTTCGTCCAACTCGCACACCTTGGCTCCCCAGTCATAGCAGTAGGTGTCGGATTTGTAGCAGGCGGCTCGAGCCTGGAACACGAGGAGGCCAAAGGCACAGAGGGCGAAGATGGGTTTCATGTTTGAGGTGAGGTATATGGACAACAAAGGAGTGAGGAGAGAAAGAAGGAGCAGCTATCGGGCTTCTGTTGGCTTGATCCCGCTTGAGACCCTTTTTGGGTTAGTTAGGGTTGCGTTGCTGGAGCGCAGTGGAGGCCGAAGCTTCATCTTCATATCTTTCTTTCCAAAACTTGACTCGATAATATGAACCATCTGGTTCGATACTCAGCCATAAACACTGGGGCCGTATACTTGACCGAGCAAGACATATCTCATCAACTGCTTCAATCGGGCCCTTCATTTCAGCGCGCGGATCTTTCATGAGACGAGATCTCATCTCCGAGCATGTCTGAGACCTCCGTAGCGACCGGAAAAGTCGAGAGGTGATCCCCTGCCTGCCTAGCGGGTCCGGATCGGATTGTTGCTCAGTGATTCTCAGCAAGCCTTGCAGTCCGAGGACGGCTTTTGTGTTGACCTGTAGTTTGACATTGAATGGGCACAGAATACCGTCGGGCTCGCATGGCCGGCTCGCTCTGGCCCTCAAATATACAATCCTCGATTTGGAAGTGGGACTTGAAAGCAATAATATTCCAATTACCTCATATTCCGTACCGTGACTACTCAAAATCCTCTCGTACCAAGTTTGAGGACTTACTGTCCCAATGCATACATGCTAGACTTCCCCAGCTCACCGCTTCATCTTATTCAATGCCCACCTGTTGAACGTTGCCATAAAAATCAGACCGAAACGGCTCGTCCTCCGGACTCATGTAATGACACCGATGCCTGGAAGAGATGATCGTGTTAGCAACCGCCCCTTGGAACAAAGCACTACCACAAGACCTTAAAAAGATGAATCAGGACGACATACCAACACATGGCCCGAAAAATCATCCCCAGACACGCATCGCGGATCTCCTCCGAGCCGATCTGGTCATACCCCACCACATTCTCACAAGGGACCACAACATCGAACTGGCCCCCCAGACCGGTGGTTGCGGACAGATGGTATCCATTAGCGCGCATCTCGGCGCGTCGTCTCCCGCGTCTGCGGACATGGGCTTCGATGGTGGGGAGGTGGTCGAAGAGCGCATGCATGTTTCGGCGCCAGGTGGCGAAGGGGTGCTTACTGGCAGCGTGGGGTTTTTGTTTTGGTTTGTGCTGGGGATGCGGCTGTCGTTGCCTTGTAGATCTGGCCTCTATCGAGCCTTCCGCGGCTTCATCATGACTGTCCTCTGCAGCCGCCCCCGAGCCATCGTTTTCGAATGCGACGATGAACTCGAGGAAGGAGGAAACTAGATCCCAGTAAAAGAAGCTGTAGGGTCCGATATTGCTATCTTCCCGCGAGACGAACTGGCTGAGTTCATGCTGGTGTGCAGGAAGTGCATGAGATCGACAGTCCGGACTGCCTATCTTAGATATCATACTATGATGCACTATAAAGCAGCCTTTGAAGGTGGAGTAATTCTTCCTATGTAGCTTATTCCTGATAGACTCAAATATAGATTGCGGTGCACGATGGCAGGAATGCTGAGAACTTCAGGCCTGCCTACATAATTTCTGGTTTGGCCAGGCGTTGGAACAACCGGGCTCTACACTTTATGGCTTGCTATGGTGCCGCATCCCTGTCCAAACTCTTGTGAGGCTGCGGAAGTGAAAGTAAGCATGAAGAAAATAGACACCATTTCAGAGATAAGTGGATATAACAAGTCGCAAAGTCATTATTAAGGGAGCTGCACAATTACACCGGCTTTGCGCCGGACACTGGGCTTAAGTGCGAGTTTTAGATTCATGTAAAAGAATACATGTATATAACGCGCGACTCTGACCCGTGTTCTCGTAGTTAGCCCGGCTAGCTCAATCGGTAGAGCGTGAGACTCTTAATCTCAAGGCTGCGGGTTCGAGCCCCGCGTTGGGCTTTCATTTTTGTGCTCATCTTTTTATGGCAATTCTTGGTCCGTATCATCGCACCAGAGAAGATTGAATCCGTGGGTTGGTCCACTACAAGAGCAACAGCAGCCTTTCTCGTGGTTTAAGCATGTTCAAATGGCATCAAAGTGCTCATAAGTTAGCGAACATGCAGGAAGAGATGACTTGTTCACCCGCCGCTTACGGACTGTGAAATATATAAGATAGATTCCGACTTCCGCAACTCAACTACACCTGTACACCTCGCCTAGAATCCAAGAAGATTATTTGTGGTACAAGAAGGTCAAACCTCCGTGACTAAACTTTGCCTGATTCTTTAACTGCAGGGACCACAATGCATCTTATAGCATCATAGGACAGTAAGAGCCCCTGAACCTTTGTGGTCTGTGACTTCAAGAAAGGGAGGGAAAAAGAAGGCATGGCATAGAAAAAAGACGTTTAATCCAAGTAAATGATTGTCCCATACTCAGCATACTTGATTGAATATACCCCCGTCAGCTACTTGACCGACCAAGCCCATGCTCCAAGAACTCCTAGCCACAGCCCCACAAGCTCCCCGAACGCCCGCTCCGGCATGAACCAATTCTCTGTAAAGTTGGCTTCATCCTTACAACCCTCCATCTCTTTCATCCCCAGTATCATGATCACAACCTGTCAAGCTATTCCGGAACCTGCTCTAACGCGGGCAAAATTTTGGTTTTTTGTAGCTGGCCATCGAAGAGCCACTAGATTGTACGAGGTTTGGAGCCTAGACAAGGACTTGGACCCAATTAGAGGAATAATATGGTCTAGAGTCGGAAACCATCTCTGTACGCTAGGGGAAGAAAGCTTTACCAAGAAACAGGGATGTTCAGACCCGGAAATGCCAGAAGGATACTGATCTACAACTCTAGCCTGAGTTACGATGATTTATTCGACATAAACTATCGTCACGCCACGGCGACTGCCCCGCAAACGGCTCCAGCATACGAAGGGTCCCGGTGACGACCGTTGTGGAGTACCTGAGCTGATTAGTGATGGTCAGGGTGATGCCTTCCTCGCGCAGGAAAGGCCTGGTCAATTAATCAGTAGATAGAGGATATAGGCCACAAAGCAGAAGAAAAACATAGCACAGAAGGGATTTGCTGGTGGGTACCCCCCAACTACTAACCTCCCGGCGTGTGGCTTAATCACGGCCAGAAGATGGGTGGATGCATTTAAATAAGCTAACAGATAAGGCCACTTTACAGTTACGCGATTAGGGTAAGTTGAAGTAAATATACTGTAAAGATAGAAAAGTAATTATTCTGGTTGTGTAATAGTTATATAGTATTATCTATAGATATTTTACTTAATGTTCTTTACAGTATTTACAATTGGTTTAAAATAGTATGCTGGGATTGCTAACCAACAGAACTGACTTAAGATTATCTTCATTTAGGTCTAGCTAATATGAAATCCTATTCCTCGCACCCACGCAAATACTAGGCCCGCAGGGTGTGGCTTAATTGTGCACCACAGTCAATTCCCTCCCTTTTCAGATTTTGGAAACCATTCTTACCCTTCGTTAAGTTCTCCGATTCGATCCACCCTACTCTATCTAGATTATTGTAAGACATATCATACATCCCTAGTATACATTACATACATTTCACAATTTATGAAAGCTGCTGCCCGCCCTGCCCAACTTCCATCCAAGCCGGTCCTGCGCACTAAGCCTTTGGCTTATGTCAACTCCATCCACCTTTCCCTGGGGATGTGCTAAGACTTTCAGATGCCCACGCAGATGTACTCATCCAACCAGAGGTCCGTACAGGCGGACCCGACTTTGGGGTTCCACTGCTCAATATCGCCGACGGTGATTCCGTGACTGCTGGCAATGGCCGGGCACGTATCGCCCGAACGGACGAAATAAAAAGCGGTACAGCCAGCCACCATTTCGGGCTCGAAGGGTGTCGGGGTAGTAATGGCGTTGCCAGCGGCGGCTGTCGTGGCCGTCGGCGCTGTGTAGCCCAGGGTCTCGACACAGACATAGTAACCCACGTCGAGGTTGGCGCAGGACGAGCCGACAGCCGGGTTCCATGTGTAGAAGCTGGACAGTTGGATGTCGTATTTCGCGGCGATGGCTTCGCAGCTATCGCCGGATTGAACAAGATCAAACTTGCTGCAGTTGTCGGTCATGCCGGTCTGGATGGGGGTGGGCGTGGTGATGCCATCGGCGGGAGTGGTGGTAGTGGTGGTCGCTGGCACTGTTGTGGTAACGGGAGCGGTGGTGCCGGGGACGTCTACACAGTAGTAGTAGCCTGCCAGGATATTGGAACAATCTACGAGGCTGATCAGCTATGGGAATCGGTGTCTATGAGCTGTACCCCTTTTTGTTTCACGGGGTACAGGCACGGATTGGAAAACATGGAAGGACCTACCAGAGTTGACAGATGGATTCCACTCAAGGAATTGGGTTGCGCTGATGTCAAACTGGGCTTCGATCTTTTCGCACGAGTCTCCAATCTGGACAAGATAGAATTGGTCGCAATTGGCGGCGGTACCAGTTTGTTGCGGTTGATGTGGGGTTGATGAGGATAGCGATACCGCTGTTGACGTGGAGGTGGTAAGAGTTGAGGAGCTTGTAGTCGATCCACCAGATAAAACTGTGCCGACCACACAGTAGTTCTGACCTGCCACGAGGTCCGGGCAGGTGATGCCCGGGTTGAGAGACCTGAAGGTTGACACGTCCAGGCCCCAACCCGCCGAGAAAGACTGGCAGGTATCTCCGGAACTGGCTGCCGTCTCATAGGTACAAATCACTTGCTGACGGGGGGCGATGGCCATACCCCATGCAAGGTGTAGCTGCGGAAGTAGAAGAAGACCTGCCTTGAGGGATGTTGGAGCCATCATGGTGGGTTAAGGCTTGTTCAAGTCAAGAACAAAGGAGTAAAATACCTGGGCAAGCTAAGAGATAGTGATGGGAAACAACAAAGCTCTGTTCTGCTGGGATCAGGTCTGACCGTCGACCGTTTTATATCCTGTCGTGCAACCGGACAGCCATGGAAATCAATCTCAACACCGAACATCATATGGTATAGAAGATTGTGTGGGCTTTCAATCCTTCGAATTGAGGCGATGTTCGGAGTACTCCGCACTCATACATTCTCCACCTTTGTGGGGCAGGCAATGACACCCGTCTTCCGCGCTTTTCGGCCCCCAATTGAATTAGGGATCCGGTAAAGCTTCGCAAAGCTTCTCCGGGCTCGGGATTAGATCAGAAGTAGAACAGACAAAAAAGCAAATGTACTGCAAGTATACAATTCATAACATTCAATGCCGACCGACTCGGACTTGACGAGTAAATATGCTTCGGCAATACACCTAGAAAACCTTTTAAGTATGAGTGCATGTCGCTTTTCCTGGAATACTGTATCGAGTGGCTTTTCCGTCTGTCCAAATAGGGCCCTTCCATGTATCGAGGTGACTCATTCGCCGTGAGAGATAGTCGTCAATTCTTCGCTGCCTAAAGTCCCGCTCGAAAGCACATTGCTACACCGAGCGGCTACCTCGTTATCTTACTATTAAGTACAAAAACATACCATTCGAGTCATGTATACAATGAAATTGTGAGGTTTATCAAGCCCTTGTGTTCAGGCAAGTGAGGTGGATACCCACTACTAACAATTACTAGGTATACACGTACTGTACAGCACTGTGGGACGTGCAGGCACCGCCGGCGTTCCGATCCATCATCTCACGACCCCGAGGATCACGAAAAAGCTTCGCAAAATTCTGTAAAGCTTGGCTCAGACCCTAGTCTACCGAAGGGGCCAATCATCCTGCCGGCACAGAAATTTTGCCCCCACCCCGCCCCCCCCATGTCTCATGCATCGAGTCAGTCAATCAAAAATATGTCTAGTAGAGGTCGGATCTTTGATTTCGTTAAATGTTGCTGCCTTAAGCACTGCTCATCAGGGGGTCGAAGGGGCACCCCATTTCATTTCCCTATCCATTATAAACTTCAGATACGATCATGTCGTCTGGAATCGTGAATTCAGGGAGCTGAAAACAAGGCCTCTACTGGGTAGTACGGGCACATTTCTCGCGCCTACCACAGGTCCATAGTCTTTGTCCGCAGGTGGCTGTCGATATGCGAGGCTAGTCTTGCCTCACAGGGCATTAGTCAGGCTGCAATAACAAATAAGACTCGCCCATCTTGAGATATTGATTTTAGAGAATGATTCGCCTCGTAGGTTTAGCCTTTTTCCGCTTCCTCTTTGTCTTCTCCTCGTTTCCAGCGCATGGATTGTTTCTTTCATGCTCGGGAACACCTGCCAGGAGCGTTATAGTCTAACAAGCTTCAGGGGCTTGACCTGTCAGCAATCTAAGTTAGCCAGTCAACCAACTAGCGGAATAGGCCTGACTTTCCGAGATTTCTTTCATAGCAGAACTCTTCATGTGGGGAAGTCTGCTTAGGTGATTGGGTAGAGCGCAAACGCGATTATAGCTCTGACTTCCTGCCCCGTCGCCAA